TTTTAATTTATCTTTCTTACTAGTATCGACTATTTACTACTAAATTTGTCTGAATTGTTAGTCTTGCCACTAAATAAATTTTCATCAATTCATGTTATTTCTACATGATGACATACCTACATATAGTCATATCTCCTATGCGATATTCGTGATTGTTTAAATGATGACCGATTCGATCCCTTGACGTTTTTGGTTTAGTATGAGGACATGCAAACATTATACAGAAGTAAACACGATTGAAAAATCCGACTAAAAGAAAAAAACATCGCAGATATCATCAAGCAACAAAATACATTAATACTCCGATAATCTTAAAACATCAACGGTAATCTTAAATTTAAGTAGATGCTTCTATTTTTCTAAGAAGTAATAGATGCTCTCTCTGGTTGTTATAGGGCAGCGGTCGGCAACTGGCGGACCGTGGTCCAGATCCGGACCGCGGAAGATAAAAAACTGGCCTGCCAAAAATTTTTTGAAAGTTTAATTAGATATCCAAATTATTTAAAAACATATTTTTCTATAGATAAGAATACGTTTGGGGGCCACCCTTATCATTTTTTAATGGTTAGTAAGTTAGTATAAAAAACTGACTCGAGATTGCAAATGTAATTTCTCCCATTGATTTTTGAATACAAATACGCATATCTATTGTATTTCATATTATTTTGTGAATGCAAATTAAAATAAAAAATTAGTAAGGTATATGAGTTTTTTTTCTGGACCTTGTTAAAAATTTTCAAAAGTATGCGGACTCTGCATAAAATTACTTGCCGACCCCTGTTATAGGGCATAAAATAGGAAGAAGCAAAGGGCTATCTGTAAAAAATATCAGCGATTGTTTATCAAGGAATCTATTTAAATGTCTACAAAGCCAATAAACGACAGAATGCAACTGTGGCAAGACATAGTTTAAGTCATAATTTCACCATTTAGTCTTGACGTACCCAATCCTGGTTTAATCTATATTAGGCGAAGATTGTAGTAAGGGTATATTTATATAGGGTGATTCAGAACTTATCCAAAAAAAAAAAAATTCTGGATGTAAAAAATCAAAAAGGTCAGTTCGAAATTGATTTAAAAATACACTTCTGCACGGCACTGGAAACTGGTCCACTGTAAAACCTGACCTCGCACAATGCGACCGGTATGGCAGCGTGAGAAAAACGGACAAAAACTTTCGCAAGGAAAGAAATATGTAAATAGAATTTTATCGCACCTATTTATATCGGCAAATTCAAATGCTTTTGCCTTTATTAATTATTAATAAAATTAATTTGTGTTTTTAAATAATAAAATCATTTGACATACCCGATGCTGCAACAGCAATTGTTCAAAATTTTATCCACTCACGTGTAAACACATTTGGGTCCGTCTTACTCACTTTCTACGAACTAACACAAATGATGTCTTGTTTCACCATAACACAAACGCTTCACCATAAATTAAAACGATATCCATCAACTCCGAGTACACGCAAACCATTTTTGACACTAACTACCCATTTTTGACACCAACTACTAAAAACGTATTATAAAAACCACAGATAACAGATAAATATCGCAACGACGATTGCAAAATCCGAATTCAGTATACGGAGTCGATGAGGCCACGTGGCGAATGTTGCTAGAGACTACAGTTGTCCAGCTATGTAGTGGTTTAATGTGCTATAACTTCAATAATTTTTTTCTCAGAAACTAAGGATTTTACAAAAAAATTTTTTTACAATATTGATTCCATTTCTCATGCCGCATCTATTCCCAAATTTTTTTGGATAAGTTGTGAATCACCCTGTATAGTCAGTTCCAAAAATACAATTTAAAATTGGCCTAGGAATTTCATTCATTATTTGAGTTGCGGAACCTTATAATAAAAAGATATTACTGTTTTTATCGAACAGGCATTATGTCAAAATTAGTTGCAGAGTAAGTAACATACTCGTACAATGGGTATTAAACAGCTGCTTCACTGATGTCGTTTGTGCAGATAACATATGTTTTATATCACATAATTATAATGCTTGGTGATATGCATCAACCGATGGTTGACCTCAACATTGATATCTGAAAAAAGAACTGCTTATCAAAGATAGGACTAAGCGTTCTAGTAAGAGACGATAATTTTTGAACAGAAAATATTCGAAGATCCTACTTTTATTTAGATAGATTTATGCAGGTACTATTAGTTCTTTATAACTTTAGTCGAATATAAATAATTTAATGGTTAATTTCTATACAATATATTTTATATTGATGTCATAAGATATATTAACACTAAATTATAAATGTCTTCAGATTTCGTAACTTTGAAAGTGCTGGATAAAGATACTGATAATATAAGGATTTATAACAAATGAATATTTGACAATAATAAGTAGGTTTATAATGTAGTTATAAAAATATTCTATAACTAATAATGCTAATCCTTATAATATAAATATGTCTAGTGTTAAATATTTACAATGAAATTTTTGATATACGATATACATATTTTTGTTTACATTTAATTTTTATCTTATCGGTAAGCCACTTTATTACATATGACACTAGATAAAAGATAAACATTTTTTTACTAATTCTTAACATGTTCAGTGTATTTACTTCTGTGAATCTGTGATTATAGTTTTTTAATAATTATTGTGTTCCGAAAATGTTAATTCAGAAGCCCTCACATAACAGTCGTGGCATATTGTTGAAATAACCGTTATCATATTTAATTGTAAAAGTTTCAATGTCATAAAACGAACAAGTGAGTGTGTTTTCTAAATTCATTGTTATTTACATAAATAAAAATGGATTTCTGTCTGTTATTCGAATGCGGTTCTATTTTTCTAGTGGATTCATGTTCAAAATTTTCTAAATTCTTTTTCTCAAATTTAAAAAATCAATATTGGTTAAAATAATTTTATTGAATTTTGGTTCACAACATGTTTGGGAAAGTTTAAGTCCCTGGTTTGATTAGTTTTTAAATAAATTATACGTGTGTTATGCTGCAAACTAGGAATATTTTAGGTCACAACATTATTGAAGTTGGGATTTTGGAATCCTTCTTATATTTTCCTATGTTTTTTAAATATACATATAAAATATACTCTTGCTAAAATTCACTGAGCTGCTTTGTTTTTGGAAAAGGTGCAGAAATTGAGAACTGAGTATGACAGTGACACTTTGTACAGATTTACATCTACGTGATCTATAAAAAACTTCAGGCATTTCGAAAAACTAAATTTTTGCTTTATTTTAATTGATATGGGTTTTCTAACATTCAATCGTCATTTACTCGAAAACTTTCCTATGTAAGATGACAAGATTTTAATACTGTCGGATCGACAATGAAACGATCTTTCAGAATCAAGAAAAAAATAAGGGGTTGCTATTTAAAAAAAATGTCGAGGACGTCATTACTCGAAAAATAATAACGGTTGAAAATCGCCTTTTATGCTAAAATATGTATTTTTTAAATTAAAAATCGACCTGTTCGAGGATTTTCCCCATAAAAAATTTGTTTCGTTTTTACTGAATTTATTTCCTACTTTGGGCGCGTACTGTATAAAAAAATCCAATGATTGGAATGTGAAATTAATTTCTGGATTGGTGTCATATGAATTACTTTTATTCAAAATCATCAAAAAAACACTGTTATCATATTATTACGCTCATTTTAATTCTAGAATAGGGTGTAGTATATTATTGGTCCCCAAAAATATGTAGACTTTTTTTAATTTCTGTTGTTGTTTTTTAAGATCTCTCTACTTTTTTAAGTGAAAAGTAACTATGAAGATACCATTAATTATAATTGTATTTTCATTACTTTTTATTTTCTAATTTGGTGCCGAGATGACAGTTGGCAATACCAGTTATTAACTTGTAAAGTGAGAAAGAAGAGATGGATTATATTATAAAAAACCAGAAATAACAAAATCCATCATAAGCCTTACAATAGTAATAAATAAATACATGAAAACAAAAATTAGTCATTTGTGCAGCAAAATAAATACGTACCTAATATCATTTTGAACTATGTATTTGTTTTGCTTTAAAAAAACTGTTATTGTTTTCAGGATTTAAGTATTACCTAGTGTTAAGCTGGTATTTTTACCTTTAAAACTATTTATCTCTGAAACAGTTTTCATTTACAATAGTAGAAAAATTTCAAAAATGACGACAAAAATTAAAAAGGTAGGCATATTTTGTGGGGCCAAAACTGCCAAGGTGGCTTAGACGCTGTGTCCCCAAACGCTGTCGGTAATTTGAATACATTAGTAGAAATAGCTTCGAAAAACTTCACTTCTATCCACAAATTATTCAAATGTAATGAGAAACTTTACATTGGAAAATAGATTTTCAACTCTCAACACCAAAAGACAATAAACTCTACAGAGTGACCCCGAATAAAAAAATGTATATACACTTGACCTTATTTTTACAATTTCTACCCAAATCTGAGAGACTGCCCATAATTTGTTGAATACCCTGTATATATGAAATTTTTGTCTTTGTTAAACATACATTTACATTACTTGCAATTAACAATTTTTACCATAACTATAATATAATTAAATAACTATAAATCATGCCCTATTTTCAATGGTTTTAAACGTCGTCTTTAACACGTCGTTTTGGTTGATTTTTTAAAGAGAAATCCATTTTTTTTCACGATTGAACATTTAACTATTTGAAGTGTTGATAGGTGACTTGTTTGTGTTGTTATGGATATCTTTAAATGTTCTTGTTGACTAATCCTCCATCATTGTATACATTTTATTTGATAAAGACAAAATAATAAGAATGATTATTATTATTATTATTACTGCTAAAAGCATTTTACTGCTCCAATCAGAAAGATATGGACCACCTGTTTTAAATTTTCATTTTAACCGAGAGAAAAAACATTATACCTGAGCCAGATGGCTCTTATGTACCTCCTTTCCCGGCTCATCATTTTTATGCATTCCTCTTTATCTCCTAATTTCGAACGCTATGAACAACCAAATTTGTTTCTAGGAGCCACCTCGTCACAGTGCTATCTAGTTGACTTCCCGTGGAGCTTCCCCCATCGAAACGCACATGCTGCCGAGGGGCCTGAGGCAGTTAAGCGGGCTCCGGCGGGGGACTTCATCCCTTGGGATCCGACCCCCGTATCTCCCGAGGCCGTCTCAGAGCAGGGGACTGGCCGGCACCCTTCCCGAACTCACCAAGGTAGGTCAGGAATCGCGTCTGCATTGACTCATTTAATCAGATTAGGTTTTATTAATATCAGAGGTATTATAACTACCAAATGATAACAGTTGAAAGCCTTGAACCAATATGAAATGAGATATAGAGTGTGGCGTGTAGAATATATAAAAATTAAACTACAGCTTCCTAACGATATTTGTAATAGAAAAGTCTTATACGAAGAAGTTATATTTTTGCGTTTTTTTTTTTCATAAATTAAAGATCAATTATGAATCAAAATATTTTCTCTGGAACGGTCCTGTCCGTGTGCTGTACAATGAGTTATGTGCTGTAGACCAGCCGCGTAAACAAATCGTCGTCAATTTTTGTGGAATTTTCAATGCAAAAGTACAAACTAAGAAAAATAGATATTTAAAAAAACTAATATTTTCTTATTATAACAATTAATAGTAATTACTATCTTAAATGCATTGTTGTTACTGCAAGAGTTCACAAACAAAACCACATTCGTAAGCATCTGTAGTTGCCAACTGCGAATAAGAAACAAAATTAAATAAAACTTACCATTTCTAGAGAAAATGTTGAAATTGATCCACATTAGCGCGGATACAGACATGGCACCGCCGCACCCAATTTTAGCGATTATTTATACGGTTTCGCAATTCTTCCACCGTAGCAATTGGAGTATTGTAAACCAATTACTTCAAGTGACTTCAAAGACAAAAATCCATTGGGGTTAGATCGGGTGACAGATGTGGCCACGGCACAGGACCAAAGCGTCCAATCCATCGCTGAGGAAACATTTTATTCGAAAGTGTCGTTACTTCTCGAGTACTGTGTGTGGAGCCCCATCTTGAATATAAAACATGCGTGCTCGAACTTGTAATGCTACATCGTCCAATAATTCAGGCAACTGGTTCTCCAAAAAGTCAGCATAAGTTGGTCCATTTAGTCGTCCTTCAAAGAAATAGGGACCCACAATGAGTTTCCCTAATTGCGCGAGGATTTTCATCGGCCCATATGTGCATAGGGTAAATGTCGCCTCATCTTAGTCTACTTGATTGGCACATTACCGTAAAAACCATCTGCAAAAACGCATTCGTTGATCACAATCCGGGGGTAAAATCTGTTGAACTGGTTGCAGATGATAGGGGTGCAACAGCTGTCGGCTTAAGATGCGATGTACGGTACGAGGTTCCTACTTGCTGTGCGAGTCGTCGAGTACTAATTGTGGGGTCTTCGTCAAGATTGTCCAACACTGCATCTTCAACATTAAGGTTCACTTGCTGACCACGTCCTTCTCCTCGAGGAATAACACTTCTCGTATCTCGCGGTCGCTGAACGCACTGTAGGATTGTATTTGTACATGGGGGGGGGTGACGTTTTGACCATCGTTTCAGGTACAACCTAGACGGCGCGAGCACATTTTCTCCGGCTGCACCATACACTAACACCATATCGACACGTTCGGAAATAGTAAATGCATTGTTTTTCGGTTCATTGTAAAACTAGTTTGTGCACAAACTAAAAAATTAAGCACAGTGAGAAATAAGAATCTCGTTTTTAATGTAATCGGCACGCTTTTCTTATTTTTTATTTCTTTATAAAAATTACACAGTCACTATCGTGGAATTACAAAATAAAAACTTTTGTTGAAATCTTTCACTTTTTAATACTGATTAGTCGATTGGACGATGCTTACTATTTAATAATTAAGTGAATAATGAATTCAACATAAATACAAAATTAGTTGACTGCACAAATTTTTTAACAATGTAATCTAACCTTTTAGTATTAATATTAGATTATACCGTCTTAAATTATAAGGTTGTATCTTGGGTCGCATAAAAACATTTCTAAAGTTTTTAATAAATAACACAGGGGCGGCCTTCATTTTCGTTGAATAAATGAACTATAATTTACAAAAAAATGCGAAGATAGAACTTTTTCGTATAAGAGTTTTCTATTACAAATATCAACAGGAACCTGCAGTTTAATTTTTATAGATTATACGCCACACCCTGTCTACTAATGATCGGACAAAAATAAAAAATTTAACATTTGTACAAGTTGTAATTTGGAAGTTACAATTTCATAAATTTTATGTAAGTGCTTTAAATAATCTTATTTCAAAAGGTAATTTCTTGAATTACAGAGGCCGACAAAATTTGACGGAACCTCTAACCCAGAAACCAGAATGTACTTTTCTGAAGGAATTGGTGTGCCGAATTCGAATCCGAGGTCAAAATTTCTCAATTGGCTCTGGTTTTCGAGATATTCTAACCTAAGCGTCAAAATCGCGATTTTTTGACATTATGTGAGGTTATGTTACTGGGATAGGTAAATTTGTTTGCTAAAACCGGTAATGGGACTATACTTACTCTTTAAAACACATTTAGATTTATCCCAATATCATTTTTCATCTTTGAGAAACTAGCATGTTGAAATTTTGTAGTTTGACTATTGACAACACAACACCGTAAACCTAAATTCATCGTCACCCGGAAGTAGGGATCTTCCATATTTTTGGGGTCACTGATCATAAATCTGAACTCCAAATTACTCTATCACGTCAAATCTTGCAATAAACTTAAAAATATGTTTGAAAGCTCTATACATGTATGGCCGATATTTTACGCATTATATCAATCTGGAAATACATTTACACGCTCAATCCCGCACTCATAAACCCTAAGCCCAAAAAACCCCAAACCCATAAACGATTAGACCATAAACCCTTCACCCATAAACTCCAAACCCACAAGCTCTAAACTCANAGAGTAAACTAAAGTTTAAAGATGTGAAAACGGTACATTTCAGTCAACGAACAAATCCGAATCCCTTTTCTGTCAATTTATTACAGATATTATTATTACAGATTATTATTATCAATTTATTTATTCTATAGATTCTATTACAAATTATTTAAGCTCTGTAACAACACTGTTGACAACACAACACCGTAAACCTAAATTCATCGGCACCCGGAAGTAGGGATCTTACATATTTTTGGGGTCACTGATCATAAATCTGAACTCCAAATTACTCTATCACGTCAAATTTTGCAATAAACTTAAAAATATGTTTGAAAGTTCTATACATGTATGGCCGATATTTTACGCATTATATCAATCTGGAAATACATTTACACGCTCAATCCCGAACTCATAAACCCTAAGCCCAAAAAAACCCCAAACCCATAAATCGATTAGACCATAAACCCTTCACCCATAAACTCCAAACCCACAAACTCTAAACTCATAAACCCACAAGCATGTAAACTCTTAACTCAGAAACTCACAAACCTCAAACACGTACGTATTTTGGAGTTCAGATTCGTGATCAGCGACCTCAAAAATATGTAAAATCCCTACTTCCTGGTGCCGATGAATTTAGGTTTGTGGTGCTGTGTTGTCAGTATATTCAAAAATCGAGAAAGTCGGAAGTACTAAATTTGGACATGTGATTTCTCAAAGACGGAAAATGATAGGATACCTCGAAAACCAAAGCCAATTGAGAAAATTTGGATTCGAATTCAGCGCACCAAAATCCTTTGGAAAGTAGGTATATTCGTGTTGTTGGGTTAAAATCTTGTCGGTCTGTGTTACTTTAAGAAGAAATGTTTATATGAATCCATGTGCTGAACGGCTTAATTCTACGAGTAGAAATTAGGATGTTAAAGTTTTTGAACAATGTAACATTTAGACAAGAAAACATTTGATCTGCTTACTTCTGAATTTTTAAAAATTAATAAAATTATTTCATATTTTTGCTCTTGAAGTTAAAATTCATGAATTAGATTTTGTTTAGTCGAAGTATCCAGTCTTTTGTCCAGTTTTATATTTGATTGCATGCTTGTTGGAGTAGTGGATACTACTTTATTTTTGCCTATATTGTCGTGTCGTCTATGAAGGGTGGTCATATTTTATATCTGAGGCATGTCACTAGTACAGCACGTACAAGAGTGGCCCTAGTACCATGAGGTACACCAGCTTTTATGTGTTGTGTTAGGAGTCATTTTTTTTTAACTCTGAATACCCTATCAGATATGATAAATCACAGTTTCTTTGCACGCTATTTTGGTAACATTTTGTTAATTTTATATATTAGCTCGCAAAGGCTTATGCGACGTCAATAAATTATTGTGTTCAGCGCTTTGTATAATATGCCTTAAATTTGACCTTGAGGTCACCGGTCAAGTTCGGTCAAGGTTAACTTCAAATTTTTAAATAGGGACCCTTATTTTTGACCCCAGAATTTTAAAGAGCATAAATTTTTACGTTCAGATATAGTCCAATATGTTGGCGCTCAAAAAGGGGGTTGCCTGTGAGGTTTTAGGGGAGTTTTGAAAAACAAAACAGGTTTTCGAGGATATTTCCTTTCCGACTCAGATTACGGTGAAAATAGTTATGTAATAAATTGAACTAGAAATCATTTCCTATAATTTATGTATCAAACTTTTTTCTGTGAAATGAATAGTTTCGGCGTACGAGCACCGCAAAGTCTACTCCAACACGAGAATCGGGCAACAAACTCATTTCCACACCACCATGATGTAGAGATCCTGGCGCGTTTTTTTTTTTTAGTGATATCCCCAGTAGGTCTAATCCACATGCGAAGCACTGTTGACTAAATTTAGTGCATTCTCCTTCGCTTCGCTATCCCTGATGGACCAGATTATGCGAGTTCTTCGTCTTCAGAACTGAGCAAAACCTCACGAGTAGGAAGTTCTTCCAAGTTATCCGCGATAGGGTTCTTTTCTCCGACTTCATCACCTTCTTCCTCGATTTTGTCGAAGGTTTGCTGAAGAACTGTCTCCGTATCTTCCTCTTCATCACTGTCTTGCAGATCAACATCCGAATTGTCGCAGGTACCTACCATTGCAATTCGCGCAGATAACGGGGCACTTTAGTCCAGCCTTTCTGCATCCACAGACTCCCCGACATCCGTTTTTACATTTGCAAGAAGTTAGTTTTAGCAAGTTTGCTGGAGCTGGGGGCTCGAGTATGGTGACAGGAATTAGCTCATTCTTGCTTTTTTCCATCCCCACCGCACTGTATTTTTTCCAACTCCATACCACGGCTGAACCTGGTGATAGGAACGAATGTTGTCGTGCTGTTGGTTTTGTCGGTGGCAGCGATGCAATATTAAATTTATTTTTAAATGCTGACTTCGTGAAGCATGTATATTTGTAGGTGTTTAATGACATACTTTTTACGACACAGTAACCGTACAACCCAAGGAGGAAGCGTTCTCCAGCTTCAGCAATGCTTTCCGGGTCAGCATTTGGGTTTTTAAATACCCGGACGTTTAAATCTCGGTGGTTCTTTAATAAATTCTTTAAATAAATTTTATAATCCAGAAAGGCTGGACTAAAGTGCTCCGCTATCTGCACGAATTGCAATGGTAGGTACCTGCAACAGTTCGGATGTTGATTTACAAGACATAATCCAGAGGAAGGTACGGAGACAGTTCTTCAGCAAACCTTCGACGAAGTCAAGGCAGAAGGTGACGAAATCGAAGAAGATAATCCTATCGCGGATAACTTAGAAGAACTTCCTATCCGTGAGGTTTTGCTCAGTTCTGAAGACGAAGAATTCGCAAAACCTGGTCCATCAGGGATAGCGAAGCGAAGGAGAATGCACTAAATTTAGTCGTCACATGTGGATTAGGCCTACTGGGGATATCACTAAAAAAACGCGCCAGGAACTCTACCTCATGGTGGTGTGGAAATGAGCTTGCCAATACGCGTGTTGGAATAGACTTTGCGATGCTCGTACGCCGAAACTATTCATTTCACAGAAAAAAGGTTGGTACATAAATTATAGGAAATGATCTCTAGTTCAATTTATTACATAACTATTTTCACCGTAAAGTGAGTCGGAAAGGAAATATCATCGAAAAACTGTTTTGGAGCACCATTTTTCCAGTATGACGGCTACTTCCGGAAACAAAAAGAGGTGGCAAAGTAAATTTTCAAAACTCCCCTAAAACTTCACAGGCAAAACTTCCAACTGATTGGATTAATAGTGTCTTTTGTCATGACTCAAAATTACCTCATAAGATCATTCTGAGGTCAACATTACCTTTTACACACCATTCAAGTCAGTAACTTCAGCGTGGTTGTTTCTATCGAAAAATGACCTCTTTGTAGGATTATAACAGGGGCTAATTGGTGCTGACCTTAAATTCAACCTTAAGGTCATTTCAAGGTCAAATTGATTTGTGTTGAAAGAAACCCCTCTTTTTAATACCGAATTAAAATTGTACGTTTTAGGTAGTATAACGTTATTTTTTTCTAATGTGATCTGGACAAGGCGTTTCAAAGTCAAATGTTTGATAATAACTCAGAAGCTGTCAATTTAAATGTAATTTTAAAAATTAAAATAATTTCAAAGTAATAAACGTAATGTTGACCTCAGAATGACCTTATGAGGTTGCGAATTTTTTTAGTTTCAATATATACCAGTATCTGCGGCACTGGTTTATATATCTATAATTTTATACAGATTCAATTAATTTTTACCTTTATTTAATTAAGTTATTAACCATCAGTTTACATCAAATAACTTTGAAGATATTTGTACAAACTTTAACACCCTGTATTAAGTCATTCAGGCTCATACTTAAAATTTTTCTTCTTAAAAGGTGCAAGGAATCATCTCTCGAAGTATTTCTACATACTAAAGTTACACCCTGTATAATATAGTAATACAGGAGGTTTCGACCTGCCCCATATTTTTTTCTATTCTACGTGTTACCTGTACACGTAAGTATAAACATTTTCAAAGAAAAAAAAGATCTAAATAGTATAAAGCATCATTTTCATCACACATTTTCATGACACATTATTTGACAAAAAGACATAGTATATGTTAGTTACTAGTTTATTTTTTTTTATTTTAAATTCACACATTACTTAATAGTAACAGTAACAATTATATCGCTTGCAAAAGAGAGAGAAAGGAAACATAGAACTCTCTGTTTCCTTTTGGGGTTTGGGGCAGATCAGAAATCCTTTTATCAGCTTATAATCAGATTAGATTTTAATAACAGTAGACGGAAGTATCCTTTGTGAAGTTACTAAATACCAATTATTTCTGCGCGGAGATATAGAAATTATATATTTATTGGATTAGAAGGAATTAACATTTTTCAAAAATTACTTCCATCAAAATGACAATTAGGTTTGAGTTTTAAAGAAACGTTTATTTATTCTGCATTTACTTGGGACATCTGTACACCAAAAGTTCTTTGGAAGATGATGTTTTTTGACGGCTTCATTTCAGTTGTGCTTCTCTATGCAGTTTTTGCATTCATTTGTTTCTTTCACTTTCCTTTGTTTACCTTACCTATATTTTCCTTCTCGTCCGAAACTCTTACAATTTCAGCCTTTTGCTGGATGAATTGGTTCCTCCATATCTACTAATTTAACTCCTTAATAATGCAAATTATTATTTTTTCTACCATCATCTCCATTTGCTTTCATTAAGTTGCATTGCATAACGCAACTTTCAAAAATGCTGCAATTGAATTTTGGATGATATTTTTTTGGAGAACTTTAATAACATACTGTAAATAAAACTTAAGTAAAATACTTTTGTCTTCGAATCTAAATATCGACAAGAAATTTTTTAGATTCAGTCCCTGTCAATTCTCGGTATTCTCTGTAGAAGATATTTTTTTACAAAAATTTCGTAAATCAAATATTTGCATAACTTTTAATTACAAATATATTGTAAGATATTAACTAAATGTAATAAAGTTATTTAACTCAAAGGGGGTATTAATCACGAGGTCTACAACTACTTATGTTACTAAACATTATGTTTTAATATTTTTTAATACTATTTCAATAAATAATTTGGTTTTGTTGTTGTGTGAAGCCTGTAAGAATTTTGGCAATGATATCGCCTTTTCAACTATGAGTTAAGGGTTAATTTAGATGATCCAAAAATAAACAAATTTCTTTCAAAGACGGTGCTGACAGTTTTTGATGTATAATAAATGAACTTTAGTTTAATGTTTGCCTTATTAGCTACGAAAATAAGTTTCTGTTTTCCGTTCTTTTGTCGGCACTTAATTGTATTTTTTGGAAACCGATGGGAAACCCGTTTTCGTTTCCAGGATCGATACCCGCACGTGAAAAGGGGCGACTATGCCACATTGGACGGGAATCACTTGAAGTTCTTTACAGGACTGCTCGGCGAGAATCGCGTGCTCACCGACCCCTCAGAATGCGAGGGATACAACGTCGATTGGATCAAGAATGTTAGAGGTAACGTTCGAATAGTTTTAATTAGATTAGTGGTATCTGTTAAATATGGTGTGAATGATTGACGACAATACTTAAGATAAGCTTGCTTGTTCCCGCTATTTAACACGCTCTGTTGTCATACACGATGCCTCTGTTGTAATTCGCCACTGAGGCAGAATTTTTTAATTTAAGAAATGGATTTTCCTTGAAATTCTTGGAAAAAAAAGGTGTAGGCCGTCAAATTCGTAACTTTAAGCGGTTTTTGAGTAATATCTCGGAAAAGACACATTATAAAAGATGAAACACAAAGCATCCAATATTTCATATTTCATAGACCAGAAGCACGGGGAGGCGGTTTGACCTGATTTTCTTTTTGAGGGCCTTCTGTACACCTACATTTGTTGAGGATGCTAACTGCATTTTTCAATTCTTTCTAAACATGATTTCTTATCAAATAGCTTTAAAACTACATTTTTAACAAAAAAATAGCTTTAAAAATTATTGTTGCTCACAGTCGCTTTAATTTGTTAGAATAATAAAATTCATATACAGGGTGGTCCAGATTTTAATAGACAAACCTCGGGACAGTACTAAACAGCAAAAATTAACATCACTTTGTTCTACAAACATAGGCGCAAAAAGCCACCGTTTATGAGATACAGGGCGTTGAAATTAACAAAAATAATCGTGTATCAACAAATTATTATACAAAACATACTATTGGGAATATACTGAAGGAGTACCCTGTAGGTATGTAGACTGTTGGAAGCAAATTTTTATCCCAGAAGTCGATTGAGATTTTATTATAATTTTTAAAATGTTTAGAATTTTATTAAAGTAGAACAAAACGCACGCCATAAATGTCGCGAGTTTCTGTTCTATAATTTAGTGACTAAGTGACGTCAGCTCATTTGTCACTTGATAAGCTGCCCGATATTAGACGTCATCTCACGTCACGCACGTTATCCATGTTATTGTTTCGTTATAAGTGTGTAACAGAACGGTTCTGATTTGGGTAAACGATATGACGGCACCCCTTATTATGCCAGAAAGTGGACATGAAACTCCCATTAATCCATTTGAATGGAATAATTTTCATAAGTCATCCTGATAATTCACGCATACCAAATGGTTGAAAGATATTATTTATTCATTCTGAAAAATTCGAATATGTTGAAAGATTGTGAAAATTGTTGTTACTTAATAGCAATAAGAATAAAGAATAAGTAACAAAAAGAAAGAACAAAGCAGTGGCGGCTCATGACATTGAGAATAGGTGAAGCATATTCACTGATTGACTAAATAGAAAGAAAAGCGAAAATTTTCAAATTTTCAAGGCTTTAAATGAATCTGGAAAGTTTTATATTACAATATTACTGAAAAACTGACGTTCGCGAGAAGGATTTTCAATTAGATTATTATTCCACACGCCCGACTTTACACCCACAATTAAACACGGCATACAGAAAAGTTTCTTTTAAATAAACACTTCCACACAACCACTTATACTCCGAATTTCATTTCGAAACTTTCGAACGTACACATTGCCTTTTGACCCCTTTTTCCATATCGAGAGAATAAGGCACAGGTCTCTCGCAATTTAAAAAATCCTTTTTGACCTCAATTTTCCATCTGGAAAATGGCATTTTCAATAAAATACATACTGGGTTATTCATAGAAAACATTTCTACGATTATTACACAAAACAAATATTAACTAAGAACCGTTATAATCGTGCACTAGGCGACGCGTATTGTATAAACTGTTTAAAGGCAGGCGATGGGCGATGACAGTGCTGCTTCAATTTCCGCGTCACTCGTTCCCCCACGCCGTAGTTTACTCCCGTGTTAGTCGTCTCGTTGCCATGACAACCACCGTAGACAATGCTACGAAGAGAAGCGGAATACAGACTGATTTCGATCTGAGTCACTTGCTTATACTATACGTTATATGGTACGAGGTCGATGTTCGCGCTAAACGAAGGCAATATTTTTTTAGAAGGCGTACACCGCGCAAATTAATGTTTATTTCTACGTATTAACAAACAAACACAATACGTTTTCAATATAGAATTAGATCTGAATTATAAAATTTATATAAAATTAAAAATAATTTTAAATTGCACAACGAAACGGAAATTATAAGTGAAACGGTGCGTCACTTGCGTCACCTGGCAAGTCGCCACTGGAACAAAGTCAATAACAAAAATAAGAAGAAATTTGACTATACTGTACTTGAAATTAGTTTTCTTAAATGCCGTTCCATATTTGTGAGTTATTTTCAATGTGGTCAAGAAAGGCACGTAGGAGTTGATGGTTTCTAAGTTTTTTACTCATATTGTCACTGACTTTTTTTTATAATGTCTATTACGATTATACCATCTGTTAGTTTTAAAGTTTTTAAACAAACTGTTGCACTTTATCTCAATGTCGGCCACTCCTAATTTTATTTTTTATTATTTTTATTTTAAGGTACTTACTTGACACATTATGACTGAATCACCCTGTATATGTAATTCTCAATTTCGTTTCCGGCCCGTCCCAAATTGACTTCATGCAGCTCATACTTTTTTCTTGCAATTTATTTTTTTTCTGTTTTCTCGTAGTTCATTTGAACTAGTTTACTTGTAATACATGTATGTACACGTTATTGTAACGATACAGAATTTTTTTTATGTGACTTGTTAAAATGTACACTATCCTCTTAGCCCATAAAATTAGTGTTCCAAAAAAAGTTTGACGTAAATTTTGAAATAGGTATACAAGTGTTAGTTCGTACAAACCATAATTCCTACACATTTTTTTTATTTGCGAACGCCGAACGTTCTTTATTGCAGGTTACAGCCAGTGCGTCCTGAAGCCGAAGACCACGGAGGAAGTGTCCAAGATACTGAGTTTCTGCAACGAGCACCGCATAGCGGTGTGCCCGCAAGGCGGAAACACGGGGTTAGTTGGGGGATCGGTTCCGGTTTTTGACGAGGTCGTTTTGTCAACGGCCCTCATGAACGAAATCATAAGCACGGACGACACGTCAGGTACGTTAATTGAAATAGGATTAATGAGTTGTTGCCTGTTGTGCGGTTTGATGACAGTATAAATAACAGGAAACATAAATAAATATACAGATGTACATAAATTAATAAACTATATATGAACGGGAGAATAAAATAATTTAAAAATTGTGCGAAGATAATAGTTGTCTAAAATTCTTTCAAGTTTAGAATACAAAAATAAACACTCGTTTATAAATATGCGATGTCCTATTTTGAATAGCGCATTGATACTTTTTAGACAAAAATTGTAGGGTTCTGATGGGAACATTCGATGGTGACCTTGACCCTGATACAAAGGTCAACTGTAGAGGTGATTTGAAGGTCAACTTGTATTATTAAATATAATAGATGTATTTCTGACACCAGAAATGGACAGAGGGGAAAACTTCAGATATGAGCTGCTCAACTCGCGAGTCTATGTATATGCGCCTTAGGTAGGACAAAGTTCGGATCAAAGACGGTTTCTGAACTATTTAGCCTAAAAAGATATCTGGTATCCAGATTCTCTTTGTCTTCAAGGTTCTTCGCATGCCGTTTTGTATGTTACTTGGGCCAGATATAATGGAATAATTTTGCGATAAATAAAGTGGCTTGACTGTCTATAGACACTATTTAAAAAGAACACCAATACCCTTCTAGACTAGAGGATAGTTACTATCATGAACTTCTGCTATCCAGATTCGGTAAAATGTCGATGCGTGATAGACTACACAATAATGTTGATTGTAGTCTTTTGTTTTAAAATTTGTTATCGTTATTATTGGTTCTCTTTTTGTATGTTTAAATATTTCTACGATATATTTGAACTATATTGCTGCACTTATACTCTATCATCTATTCATAAAGTAGGAGTTTTTATTGAAATTTCAGTTTTAAGTACATACAAGGTAGGTACGAGTCAATAAAAGTTTTAAACACCCTGTAGAACCTTACAGTAGCGAATGCCAGTTTAAATCAAACACTAGTCTCGTTTTTTCTGACCATTTTGCCTTTTATTCACGTCATTATGTTATTATTGAAAAAATGATTTAGCGCAAAGAAGAACATTACTGAGGCGTATTTCTTCTCTTACTTCTAATTTATGACTTTACGTTGAAGACTCGTTTCTGGAATTGCACTTCTAATATCTTCTTGATCTGTCATTCTATATTTCTGTGAGCATTTTTTCTATCATCAAAGATGGCAGGTAGGGCTTATGGTTTCTAAGTTTCTGCTTATGTTGATTCACAGTGCCCCATGGGGTTGAGATCTGGATTACATGCTGTCCAATCTAGAGACCTCATGAAAGCACCAGCAACGCGCTGTATTGTCATTATTTTTTTTGTTTCGAATTATGTTACTAGTTTTTAAAATTTTGCAATAAACTGGTATAGGTAACTGTACAGTATACGGGTTGCACTCTTCTTCACCCCTTATATGCTGAAAACTGAAATTTCAATAAAAATGTTTACCTCAGCCACAGAATAGTTTCTATCCTATTCTGTGCCTCAGCTTCGTTACTGATGAAAGGATCATCAAAACCAAATTAACTGTCGCATTGTACAAGCCTGATGTTAAAGATAACACAGCCACACAGAAGAAAAAAAAGTTGGGTATACTTTTTATGCGACATATATTTTTCATAGTAACTTGGCCTCCTGGACACGAATCTGGGGTCAGAATTGGCCCATCACGTCACAATTTTTTCCTAACCTCAAAAAACTTTTCATAAATCAAGGTAAAAGGTTCCACTCCGTCTAAAAATGTGACTTCGCTTAAAAAAATGACTTAAGGACTCTACACATGTAATGATGTGTAGTGTGATGTGCTTGTTTACAATATAATAAAAAAATATACAATTTTTATTATATTAACATTTATAGGTACTGTTATACCTGCTGCTTAAAGGTCAATTGGTCTTGTGTCTGCATCCAGGGCACCTCCACGTGGTGACGGTGGGCAACGGAGTTGTCTCACTATCTTTTTTTGTCTTTTCTTGTCCCATGGAAACAAGCACATCACACTACACATCACTACATGTGTAGAGTCCTTAAGTCATTTTTTTAAGCGAAGTCACATTTTTAGACGGAGTGGAATCTTTTACCTTGACTTATGAAAATCTGGCTCCAGATGTGTGATTAATGAAGGTGAGATCAACCAGCAATCCTTATGATGCCAAATTTTACTGAAATCGGTGGATTTCAAAAAAGTACACCCGCCATATTGGATCAGCCATCTTGAATTTTTACAATGTGAATTCATATTCGTAATCAGCGACCCAAAAAACCCCTTTATACAAAATCTGGTCAAAATCCGCTCAGAATTTGAAAATAGCGATTCCTGCTCGGTTTTTTGAGGTTAGAAAAAAAACCACACGTTCTAGCTCAATTCTGACAGTGGATTTGAATTCAGCAGAGTCTTTTACATAAAAATGTACTATTTGATGTGGAAATAAATTTTTTTCCAAATTTTCCCAGTAAATTTTCATCAATTTTCACTATTTTTCACAAGTTTTTTGAGGTTAGGAAAAAATTGTGACGTGATGGGCCAATTCTGACCCCAGATTCGTTTTCAGAAGGCCAAATTACTACGAAAAATATATGTCGCATAAAAAGTATACCCAACTTTTTTTTTTGTGTGAATCAAAGTGAATTAAAATGGTACATATAAAGTAATTTATTGCATTAATATAATTGATTTCGTATAATAAATCATACATATTTATTACAACAGACATAATGGGCTATAAATTATGTACTCTAAAACAATATTGATTGTTAATATATATTTTTTGAAGTTACAAACACACAAGGTGGGCTAATGAACATCAAATAGCCTCGATGTGACGGAAAAAATATTCTTAAAAAAAAAGTTGGGTAGCTACTGAAATGATATCTAAAATAGAATATTATTAGGTGTTTTAGTTTGTCAAGCTGGTTGCATATTGGAAACTTTGGATTCGCATTTGGCGCCTCATGGTCTGATGATGCCATTAGATCTGGGAGCCAAAGGTTCCTGTCACATAGGAGGCAATGTAGCCACTAATGCTGGAGGATTAAGACTGTTGCGTTACGGAAATTTGCAAGGGTCTGTTCTTGGTTTAGAAGCGGTAAGTAATAAAAAATAGCACCTCATTGTTACTCTGCAGGTTTATCATGAAATGATCAAATATGTAAGCGCATTAATTCAATTTTGTTTTTAGTATTGTCAAAAATATTATTTTCTCACTATCCTACTAGGTTACAAATCACATATTTTTATGGCACATGTATTTCATATTTATAATTTTCTTTTAAATTATGTATATATGTATTTCCAATGCAGGTTAAAGCAAATGGAGAAGTGTTAGACTGTTTGAGTACATTAAAAAAGGATAACACAGGATACCACCTAAAACATTTATTCATTGGATCTGAAGGAACTCTTGGCGTTGTAACAAAAGTAGCCATCCAGTGTCCTCCAAAACCGAAGTCTGTAAATCTAGCATTTTTAGGTAAGGTAGTTTATGCACCCAGTCACGCAACAGAACACAATGTCATATCATGTCTGCACGCTACCTCACAGTAGCGTAACATGATAACATCGAAGAGTCGAACAAATTGTCGGACGTTCTCTGTGACATCGAACGATTGTTACGAACCCACGTTGTACAAGGGGTTTGCATGTTTGGTCGACTATTTAGAAATCTCCAGTCATCAGAGAACGAGTTATTACTGCTATGCTTCCTTAAACATAAATAACATCCTTCATATGAATGTTACGAGATCACGTTACACCGTAGGTTTGCTTATTTATACTGTCATGCGGACGTTGCATCTAATCGACATTTTAGAAATTTTAAAGAGATGTTACAGACTTGTGAGGGAATCTCCAGTCGCCAGAAAACGATTTATTACTGCTAACCTTTCTTTAAAAGAAATAACCTCTGTCACATCAAAGAATGCTATGGTGCGTATCCACCGGCGCCCACGAACAGCTCTCGATCGTCCAAAAATCTATTCGCAAAATCTTTACATCAAGATTGCGTTAGTAGATCGTATAACATTAACATCTCTATATATTGTCAACATCGATCTCTCCAAATGATTAGCTTGCGTACTTCTCGCAAATAGCAGTTACTTCTCACATCTACAAAAACGAATTTTTGCATTTAGAGTTATTTACTATAAATTGTCGTTGGCAAAGTAAATTTAGAATCTTCTGTCGTATACGGATCTTCCATTTTTGGTTTATTTTCATAGTTAGTTCTGTTTCCCGATATTTTGCTGTACCTAACCTAAGCGACACAACTTTCTCATCCGTCACTCCATAATTTTTACAAAATTGACTATTTCAGCTGTACCACAAATTGAGGTTCGACGAACATATATTTCGAAGTTACCAATAGTCTATGGGAGAGCAACTCGCAATCTCAACGTAAACATTTTGCGGAGAGATCGTTGAATGATCGTGAACTGTTCGCGCCCACACGAAGACTCGGTTGCGCTGACTCATTGCGAGCAGGGTTTGTAACAGTGTACGCATTGTTCGTGATAATATGTTCGCTGGTCGATATGCATCTTTAAGAGCATATTCCAATCGTCACCAGAAAATGAATTTTTCAACTGCATACAGAATTATCGATTCCTTTGCCCATATAAGACGATGTCGTTTTAATGATTTTATTTTATTATATTTTAGGGCTAAACTCATTTGATAATGTCTTGAAAGTAGTAAAGAAGGCAAAACACGAATTAGGAGAAATTTTATCGTCTTGTGAAATGATGGATGCGCTTACAATGGATCTAGTAGTTAGCCATTTAAAATTAAAGTGTCCTTTGATAGAATATCCCTTTTATATGCTCATAGAGACACAGGGAAGCAACCAAAACCACGACGAGGAGAAGATCGATAGATTTCTGGAAGTTGCAATGGAGGAAAAATTGGTATTAGATGGTACAGCAACAAATGAAGTTAGCAAAATGAAAGTAAGAAATACTTATTTGTCTTGTTCTGTTTATATTTCAGTTTTTTATTATAAATAATTATTTCTAGAACATATGGGACATTCGAGAACGAATAACTGAAGCACTAAATCATGACGGTTATGTTTTCAAATACGATATATCTTTGCCAATCGAAAACTTTTATTCCTTGGTACCTGCAATGGCAGAAAGGCTAGGGTCTGATGCAAAGAGGGTCTGCGGATATGGACATTTGGGTTTGTATATTTGCTTCCATGTAAATAATCTTTCAAATGAGTTTGTTTTTAGAAGTCCTTTTGTTCTTATTTTGATACACCAATACGGTACTATTATTAAACACATTAAACATATGCTGTGTTCTCAAGAATAATCTTTTAGTTTAAAAATCACTATTAATTTTGGTTTCGTTAGTTTAAAAAATATGTAAGATCTCCAAAATTATATAAAAACTCATTTTGAAAATCCACTTAATTTTTTATTTCTTGTTGACACGATTCATTTTTAAGGCGATGGTAACTTGCATCTGAACATCACAGTAAAAGAATTCACCCAAGACGTTTTGAAGAAAATAGAGCCCTTCGTTTATGAATTTACTTCTAAACTTAGAGGTAGTATCAGTGCCGAACACGGCATCGGTTTCAGAAAACCGAAATATATGCACTATTCTAAGAGTCCAGCTTCAATCCAACTTATGAAGCAACTGAAAGCCTTGATGGATCCCAGAAATATATTAAATCCTTACAAAGTTCTGCCTTAGGATAAATAAGGTTCTTACAAATCATATAAAAGACATGTAAGAAAATTTCGTCTAAAAGTTTATTTTACTATTGATGCAAATAAATGTATTTTTTCAAAGAAGTAAGAATATTGAATATTGCGTCTGCCCGCTTCCAAATGTTCTTCAAAATGTTAATAAGAAAACAGTTAATTCTGAATCTAATGAAACATATTTTTATTTGGTAAAAAGAATTATTTTCCTTCGAAATTACCGCTGCCTACCTGATCTTCGAATTTTCGTAACGAGAAGAAATTAAATTTAGATTAATTGTTGATTTAAGGTAAGTCAGTATTTAAAAAAAGATTTAAATAACAGCTTCTAATCGAGGATTAGTGAACCCCGTTTTTTTATTAGTCGATTTTGATGAACCTTTTTTGTCATATAAATCTTGTGATCCTCAGTTTCATTTTTTTAATGGAAAAATTAGAGGAGTACCAACCTTTTAAGTATTTTTTTTAATATTACAACGGATTTTTAATCAAAGTGATTTGAGACAAAAATAATAATAATGTTTGTAGTACCTTCCAATATAATGATTCCAATAATTAAGGACATGTGTTTAGATAGGTATCCACAACACATTTTTAAATAACGTATCCGGTGTTTCAGCATAATTAAAGCTTCCGAGCAACACCAACATGATTTGTTACTGGGTGATACATCTTGCTTCTGACGTATTTTCACGAGATTAAACAAAAAAAAAATCGGTCAATAATTAAAAAAAGGCCGTGGATAGTTACTCAAACCGAACACTCTACAGAGTGTAAGAAGTTTGACTGCCATTACTTCAGCATGATATAGAGTAATCCTAAATGAACAAAAAAGTTATACATTACAGGGGCGTAAGATTAACAGTTTTCAAAATACAACGAGTATTAATATTGGGGAGTTTCATCACGACGTGACAACAGCGCTTAACCTGCTGATGCATACAACGTGTGCACGCGGCAGACTTGTCCTACGGAGAAAATGTAAACAACTATTATTGTGAAACATTTAATAAAAAGACTATTGTTTTCCAGTTTTTAAATAAATGAAGTGAACTGTAATTTTATAGTACAAAGATAGTTGTGCTTTTAGCTCCAATTTTAGTAATTATAAATCACTTAAAACAGGAACTTAACTTTTAATCAAATTATGAATTTGAAAAATATGTAATTAAAGTACTCAAAGATTCACGTCGTCCAACTAATCATACGTATTAAAAATAATTTAGGTAGTTACCAAAAAGTAAAATTCAGTAATTTTTAAACGCACAAGTACAAAACAAGCTACATATGCTCAAAATGTCCATCACCATTTTCGATGTACGCACGACACCTTCGAATCCAATTTTCGCGCACTCGCTGGAAAACACCTCAAGGAAAGGAAATAGTGGTATGCCAAAAACACTCCGACACGGTCGAATCCAGATACCAACTGAATTATTGGTGATTACTGAACACCTTAGTACCTCGTGTTAATAAACCGTCGCGCTGTTGTCACATTGCTCGATACGAATTTTATTGAATTTTAAATTTATTACAAAACAAATTATTTTTTAGAATTACCTAAGCATAAAGAAGTTCAAAAAAGTGATAAACATTGTATTTTATGGTATTCTATGTACGCAGTTATGTCAAAATTCCTTAACTAATTGAACTTTTGTACATCAAGTTAGAGATTTTGATAATTTTTTTCTCGGAAATGGTTGAGTTTAGGACCCATGTCATATAAGGTTTTTTGTTTATTTTAATGTATTCTATCGGCTGTTAAAATCAAACTTCTAACACTCTGTATAGATGCAGCTATGTGAAGAATAAAACATTGTGTTTTATGTTTAATGTGACTAAATCCTGAAGAAAATTTGATGGAAAATGGATGGATGTTTCTATTCATTGTGATAAATATCTATTATTTGTTCCATGGTCATAGTAGATCATTATAAAAATAATAGACACATAAAGTATAAGTTATTCTTGCCATTGCTCTTACCCATGCAGATCTTCACTTATCTTTGACTGCATCTTATTTGATTTTTTTAAAAGAAATGTATTTTTTTTAAAGAAATACTTGTAATCTGTTCACGCTGAAGCAATTTATGATGTTTTATATCAGTTTTATGCTGGATAGGGTAAGTAGGATGTGAAAATAATATGAGACCGTATTAATACACATACAGGGTGTTAAAAAAAGAGTGTAAAATATTTAAGGAGGTAATAGTATGAACCAAAATAAGCAGAAAAGTCTCAATAAACATGGGTCCGCAAAGTAACCGTTGCGGAGATATGGAATGTTTTATGTTTTTTAGCCCCTTTTGCTCCTAGAGCAGAAGAAGAAATTCTAGCACTGGTAGAGCAGAATCCAGGTACGAGTGTGCGGAGAATATCAGCCGAGGTAGGAATTAGTGGTCCTCTTGTTTGGAGAATCCTTCACGAGCAACTGTGCACATACCATGTGCAACGAGTACAGGCCTTAAATCCAATAAATGATCGTCAAGCACATTTGGTTTTTTGCAGCTGGTTTCTACGTCATGATGCTGAAGACCCTCGTTTTCTTGCAAACATTCTTTTTACTGATGAGGCCGGGTTCACAAGAAATGGAGTGTTTAATTTTCACAACACGCATATTTGGGCCGACGAAAATCCTCATGCTCTAATAGAATCTGGACATCAGGCACGTTTTTCATTAAACATATGGATGGGTATTGTAGGTGACAGGTTTCTAGGTCCTGTTGTTTTACCAAACCGATTAACAGGCTCTGCTTACCTCAACTTTCTGCAGAACACACTGTATGAGTTTTTGGAAGACATTCCTTTGAATCAGAGGCAACAAATGTGGTTCCAGCATGATGGTGCTCCAGCTCATTTTTCCATGGCCGTTAGAGAGCATTTACACCAAACTTTTCCACATAGATGGGTAGGAAGGGCCGGACCTGTTTTATGACCGCTAAGATCGCCTGATTTAAACCCTCTAGATTTCTTTGTTTGGGGATATTTGAAGACATTAGTGTATGGTACTCCTGTAAATAGCCTGGAAGAGCTGCAGCTATGTATTAATCAAAAGTGTCAAGAAATCCAAACCGAAAGAGTTCGAGTATCGTTGAGACGAAGATGTCGTGCCTGCTTGGAAATGGACGGAGGGCACTTTGAACATCTTCTGTAACTTTGTTTTTTGTTTGTTAAAAGCTTCCTTTGTCGGTTTATTCCTAATAAAATAAAATGTTTGAAAACGAATAGTGGTCCATATCTCCGCAACCGTTACTTTGCGGACCCATGTTTATTAAGACTTTTCTGCTTATTTTGGTTCATACTATTACCTCCTGAAAAATTTTACACTCTTTTTTTAACACCCTGTGTAACTTGTTTGACATTTACATGCGAAGTCAGTGGCGTCACTAAGAAATTTAAATTTAATTAACTGTATTTAAATATATTAAAATAAACATCAATATATAAATTTAGTTTCAAGTCAAACGTTAGTCTCAGCAGATATCTGTATCATTAAAATGGCTCGTAGTGATCTTCCGCACTTGTCAGTGAAAAATATTGTCCTTTATCAAGCGTTAGAATGCGCACTAAATAGTGTTTCCACGATTTTTCTCCACTCCAGTCCGACCATATATTGTTCTCTGTTTCTTTAAGTAATGCAATATGTGTGACGATACAATCGACGGCTTCAATGACTTCTTAGGTATATTTCTAAGAAAATAATCAAAATCATAATCATCATAAAAACGTTTAATATTTTTATTATGATAAACATAACCCCAACAACAAATTGAAATGCAGCTACGATTCAAAAACCGTAGACCCCGTTACCGTGCTATTATATTTATGCACCGAAGTGACAAACTCTAGTTGTTACCATTAAAAGTTTCAAAGGTAACAAAAAATTCATTCCTAATCAAGATTTAAAAATGTGTTTGTTTATATAAAATGGTGTTTTTTCATTCCCCCATTCTTCTTTCATGTAAATGGTACCCAAAACATCATATCAAGTAATCCAGTATATTAAATGTAGTCAGTAACCAACTTAAATAAAAAAATTAAACTTAATAGTAAACCGTAAACCAAGTTATATTAGACCAGCCTTCTAATATATTTGAGTAAATATAGAAGCTGCCTTAGAATGGTTTGCTCTACTGCACACTCCTAAGTCAAAATAAGACAATTTAGAACCCTTTCAGTACATTCAGTATCGAAGATGTGACTGTTTTACTAGAAATCCCTAAGGGCTATCAAAATTTAGGAAGCAATAAAATAGGGTAGCCATTGGCGTATGCATAAAAAAATTTAAACAAAACATAACAGAAAATGTCTACAAAATAAATTCAACTACACATATTTCACTGAAATGCGACGAGTAATGAGAAATCTCTAGCTAAAATAGTTTTAGTCATTTTAAAAAGTGTTGTTTCGTTATACCGCACTGAATATAAGTTGATCTAAATGGTCTTATTTGATCTCAGGAATCTGTACTTCCAACCTTTCTAGGACACCTTGTAGATATTTTTCAAGAATTTTACTTCAAACTTTAAAATTTCAGTTTACTTGCTGCACCTATGGCATAGCACGAAAACACGGTGTCTAGGAAATGGTGGGCAATCTCATATTGAATAATTCTCAATGCTCATTAAGATGAAATGATACAGGACGAGCCTGAAAAAAATTAAGTATAAACTTCTTACTTTATTTTTGCAAGACCTACTCAAATTCGACAGATTGACCAGCGTCTCCTAAACACTCTGTATATGCAGTACTTGATGAAGTAAAGTGCAGAATAATTACAAGCGTCATGGTCAGTAATTTTTTTAGAACAGTAATTTTACTTCATGTTGCAATTGAATTACCATAAAATTAAAACAATAAAATCAAGGTTACATTAAAACACAACGTAGACGTAACGGTTTGTCATTGTTCATTGTAAATGAATCATTAATATCAGTGGCGCTAAAGTAAGGGATTTTTAAATGACGGTACCACCCGTGAAATGTTGGTTGCCTAAGCTCTGCGGTCACGTGGCTTGTAATCATTTTTGAAGACTCTGTACCACCAACTCACAGACGAAAAAGAAATGAAAATAATAAAAATATTCGCATTCATCAATTATTTATATTATATTCAGTATAATGTACTAATCATGGTAATTTTGTAAGCTTACATTTTTTATCGTTAAAACAGTTTTAGTGGTTAGCATGTTTAAATATGTAATTACTTTTAACAATGTACGACAAAATCAGGTTAAAAATGGAAATCATCCTTATTATTATTACTTCTTTGAGAATCCCATGCGTCATTTAGGTGGTACCTGTTAAAATAACGTTGGCTATAAAAAACTTTTTGCAGCTACTTACTTCATCAACAAAAAGAATCTAAAGAACTGCATTTTTGTTAGTCAAATATCGAACGCCGAGTGATTTACAGTTCCGTGCGTGAATTAAATCGAATATAGTAAAAACGTGTAAGCGAAATATATTTGCTTTTGTTTTTAAGCATGTACACTACATTTTGTTCGTGATTTTCCAGTTAAATTTAAAAAACGTGGTATTTAAGTGTGTAGAGTCGTTTTTAAAATGTGTGAAAGGACGGTTTTAAAGAAATCTGTTAACATTCATCGCCAGCAGAAAATGGTAGTTTTCACTGCAAACAATAAATATTTCAAATGTTATTTTACCTACCTTTCATTGCTGACAGTACTAGTGCGAAGATTATGGAACTGACACATCTATGTAGCATGAGGAATAAGTAGGTAAGTACGAAGTTAAAAATCAGATTATTTTAACACATTCCGAACGATGAATAATGTTCAGTACAGAACAGACTGAACATTTGTGTATGCCTCTTATATACAGGGTACATAATTAGTGTCCAAAAATAAGAATATTTTTTCATTAATGGGTCGAGAAATGCTTCCTAAGGGAGCTACGTCTCCTTAAAAGGGCATCAAAAAATTAATTTAATATTTCCGAAATGGGTTGAAGAAAAATTATGAATTTTTACATCGTGAACGCTCATTAAAAGTCGTAAAATTTTTCAAAAATTTTAGTCAGGGGTGTCTCAATTGGGAGAGGGGGGGAGGTCGTCGGCTAAAATTTGCCCCAATTGCCAAATTTTCAAATTCAGATACCAACATATGATCTACCCTCATTTCCTCTACAAAAAAGATACTCTTTATTTCATTCGGTAAAATGCTCCATTTTCGGGAAAAAAGGATATAAGCATTTCATTACATACATTAATAAAACAGAAAATTTTTCTTGAATAGTTATGTCATCATATATTGTAATAAACAACGTGAAAAGTTCTTAGAAAAGTTTGTTGTGGGCATCTCAAGCAGGGGGGGGGGGCTCGGATAAAATTTGCCCCAAATTTTTTACATGTTGCTATTTACAAATATAAACATTTGATAGATCTGAGTTTTCTATTAAAAATGGTAATGTTTTATATCGAAAAAGTAATCCGTTTTCGAGAAAAATCGGTTTAAATAATATTATTACCACGAAATTTGTTGATTCATTTTTATTAGATTATTAGCTACATAAGAAAATGGTATACAATGTATGACTGCAGTCTGTTTACCTATGTAATTTCAAAAGATAACAAATTCCTCCTGAAATTTTGATATTTCCTATGAATTTTAAATAAAAAAACATAAATTAGCACTAGAGCTATTTAAAAATTATCCCTTTTTACAAGCTTTGACTTCACATATTTGTATGTTTAGTTCAAATCTTGCAAGCCAAATTTGAACCACTTTCTCTAAACTTACGACTTTGAAAATTTTCTTGCTTGTTCAGTTCTGATAACAATACACTAAAATGGTAGAAATAACCTGATGCTGCAGCCAGGATTGTCACCTCACGAGGGCACTCCTCAACGACTAGTAGCACGGACATGAAACTTTGCATATACGTTTAATTTTGATAGCTAAACATGATCTTCACTATGTCATGAACCGATGCTGCAGCCAGGATTGTTCCCTCATGAGGGCACCCTTCAATGATTAGTAGCAGAGGAGTTACTTGAAAGGGATAGATTGAGAAAAATTTCTACAATACAAAGGTGTAAATAAATGAAAAGTAAAAAAAAATAAAAACAAGCTTTTATTAAAATGCACTAAACAGAAAAAAATAAACCAAGAAGTTCATAAAACCCATAATGTTGTGTAAACCCCAAACTCACAAAAGGGTTGAATATTGCTGCTCTATAGAAATGTCATCATCAAAATAATGATAAATAGACACGTAATATCTACAGGGTGTCCGGAAATTCATGCAACAAAATTTGGTCATAGATTCTTAAGACAAATTCAGGGCACCCGTATTTTTTCTTTTTGCCAACTGGCCCCCTCTTTTGGAGTTACAGCCCCCTGAAATCTGCCCCTAAGAAGTCTTTTTTATATCTCAAAACCATGTTGTACGAGAATCACTAAATTTGGTACACAGGGATTTTATGACATGAGGAATCTCACAGTGCTACGCTTTTTGGCGAGAAACCCCCTTAAGACACTTTTTCGTGACCCCCCTTGTCTTTGGAACCAGAAAAATTTGGTCGCAAATTTGATTTTTTTTAATTATTATATTATAGCTAGAAAGCCATTGAATTTAGAAACTTTTTTGTTTCTTGATATTTGTTTCGAAAAACGCAATGTTTTTTAGGAAAATGGCGAATCACGATATGCATTTGATCGCATTTTGACATTTTTCTCGAAAACATTGCGTTTTACGAAAAAAGTATAAAGAGACAAAAAGTTTCTAAATTTAATGACTTTCTAGTGGATTGATAATTTTTAAGAAATTTAAATATGCGACCAAATTTTTTTGTCTCCAAAGACAAGGGGGCCCACGAAAAATTGTCTTAGGGGGTTCCCCGCCAAAAAAACGTAGCACCTTCAGATTCCACATGTCATAAAACCCCTGTGTAGCAAATTTAGTGATTCTCGTACAACAGGGTTCTGAGATATAAAAAAAAATTATTCTTAGGGGCGGACTTCAGGGGGCTGTAACTCTCAAAGAGGGTATAATAAGAATGTTCATGTTGTTATGCCATTTAAAAGCGTAATTTCCTTAACTTACCCCTTAAAATGAAAATTCCAATTAGGAATAAACCTCACTACAATATACTGATTATAAATAGTACGTGTCTATTTATCATACTTTTGCTGATGACACTTCTATAGAACAACCATATTCAACCCTTTTGTGGGTTTGGGGTTTACACAACATTATGGGTTTTATGAACCCTCTGGTTTATTTTTTATTTTTAGTGCTTTTTAATAAAAGCTTGTTTTTAAAATATGTTTTTACTTTTCATCTATTTATTTTTATTTAGAAATAAAGTTATGGGGTACTCAAGAGGGTGGGGACTCGCAAAAATAACACCCTGTATGTTATTTTCTTACATATTTTGAAAATATAATACACTCAAATATAGAAAGACGTGTACCAAATAAGGAGTCTCTAATTAAAACAGTTTTAATTTGAAATTAAAAATGTGTGTGATCTAAATAGTTTCAAAGAGTCTGTAGTCTATCGGTAGACCATTCTTCCTGGAACACTCTGTTTAAATTTTGTGTATTCATATGTGAAAAACAGTGGATGATATCTCTTTTCATAAAAATATTTTTCCCAAGGTTTACTTTTTTATATTTCTTATTAACAGTGGTACATATTAAACTGATCATTTTATAAAATGCGCGTTTATATATTGATATTGATAAGCTAAATAAGTAACATTTTAAACATATGCCTAAAATCAATTAATATTTTCTTCTAGATAATTTATACATCTATTTTTGGATTTTCTGCTCCACAACAACTGATAATAATATTCCAATGATTATTTAGGAGGAATAATTTAAATTGAAAAATCCTATTCTAAAATGGAAAAGTGTCGGTTTTGTTGAACTTATCTATAATGACCTTCAAATAATGTTCCACAATAATTACTGTATCTTATTTACTTAAATTTAAATTTAAAAGTACGATAATATTTAAAGAGTCGTCATATATCGTCACGGAGGATGTTAAATTTATAAACTAACCATTTTTATTGCGGCAACATGTTTTACAGTATCCGGACACTTGTCAGATTTCGGCTTTTAAAAGTGTGTGAAACTCAAAATTTTAAACCACGGAAATATTTGCATAACAGAACAAATTTTACCAAAGTAAGTGAAAGCATGTTAATTGAGTTTTGGATAGATTGTTCGTGTTTATCTGGTTCATTTTTTATTTTTAGAATACGTACAATGTATCGAGAGGAAATTATAATTATTTGCATGAAGCTCATATTGCGTTTTTTGAAAATTTGCTTGGGGATAATAGAGTGATTATGGATCTTTGCGATCTGGAAAAATATAACGTGGATTGGTATACTCAAGTTAGAGGTAAGGCTAGAATGTAGTAATATTATATCGGGGATTCCTAACACTTTAGATAAAAATGGGTCCAATTTTTTTTCCTGTAATATGATCTGAAACATATTTAAAAAAATAACCAAATAATTACACTTTTCACTGCTAGTAATACTCGTCAAAATAAGAGAAAACATTTTGTGAACATACTCTAAAATGCATTAAAAAGGAGATACAGTTTTGTAAACAGTAAATTAAAAAGTTAAACCTTGGCCCCAATATCCTAGCCATTTACTAGATATTGAGGGTGTTATTCAATGCTAGCTGGGACATATATCCTGAGAAGTAGTTGTTCCTCACCATATCATTAATTAAATAAGTCTATATATGTTGTTAAAAATTCTAAAAATGTTAAATAATGATAGTGAGTTTTGGAATAAAATTTTTCATTTTTTTAATTTCCCTTCCGACATAAAAGACGAAGGGAACTACATTTTTTTTTAATTTCTAGCAATACAGAGACGACTGTCCATGTTCATATTTATAATATCTAACATCTGATGATCCGTACTTTTTGATGTATCGCTGAAAAACCATTCAACCACGATGTTGTGTTATTTTCTTCTATTTTCAGATTTCAAACTAGTATGCGTTTTTTAAGTAAACTTGTGATTACTTATAAAGTTCGACTAGATAAACTGAAACAAAACATAAGCACAGGGACAAGTTTTGTTCTAGAAATTACACATTTTTGAAAATTTAAAATCAATTACTTACAAATAATAGTTTTCAGTTTCAACATATTTTAAAGATATTGCATATAATACTTTCCTATATACCGGGTGATTCAGTTTGATATTTGCGGCTTCGTATCTCTTTTATTTTAACAAATAGCTATACCAAACACTATATATTTTTAAATCGCCCCTCAAACTTAATCAAATGACATTATTAGATCGTCTCCATGGTAACAATTGTCAAAATTGCTATAGTCAACTGTTTTTGTTCAAATGACACACTATATGTTTTTTCGTCAATTCTGGAAGATATTTTTTTTCTGCGTTCAGCTAGGTATATAAGAAAGTCTATAGTTTCATTAAAAATATTGCTAGAAAAACAGCAAAACCCTTACTTTCAGTAGCTTTATTCTGAAAAATGATAGCAAGCTGCGGAAACAACTGGATTTTGACGGTTTGTCAAAATAATTGACATTTTGTACCTATCTACTCTATCTATAATTATAACATGAATACTTACAGTAACCAAGAAAAACTAGATATGATTTTAATTTATGGAGAGGACTGAAAGAACTCTAAAGCTGCCAGGTATTTATACCAACATCGTTTTTAGATAAAATTTTCGAAAAGTTAGCCAGAAATTTGGCGGCAGATGGAAGTTTTCAAAGGAAAAGAAGAGTTTTTAAACCCGGGAGAACATTCGATAAAGATGTTAAATGGCCTGCCAGATCTCCGGATCTCACTCCTATAGATTTCTTTCTTTGGCCTTACCAAAATGATATTGACGACCTTAAAAACAGAATAAGAGTAGAATGTCGGAGATTAAATGAAGAAACACTAAAATGTATTTGTAGAGAGGTAGTGATAAACAGAGCTATTCTATGTTTGGAAGCAAATGGAGGTCATTTTGAACATTTGAAATAAGTGTTGTTTTAAACTGTTATATTATTAACGCATTAAAAATAAAATATGTTACTTTAAAAAACATAGTAGCTTGTTTCCGCACCTGGCTATAATTTTTCAGAATAAAGGTACGAAAAGTAGGGTTCATCTTTTTTGTTGTTTTTCTAGCAATATCTCTAATAAAATTATAGACTTCCTTACATAGCTGAACGCAGAAAGAAAATATTTTCCTGAATTGATAAAAAAATACATGGTGTGCCATTTGAACAAAAACGGTTGACTATAGCAATTTTGACATATGTTACCATGGAGACGATCTAATAATGTCATTTGATAGAGTTTGAGCGGCGATTTAAAAATATATAGGGGTTGTTATAGCTATTTGTTAAAATGAAAGAGATACAGGGCCGCGAATACCAAACTGAATAACCCGGTATACAGAGCCTTCATAAATGTTTACAAGCCACGTGACCGCCCAGCTTAAGCAAACAACATTTCGATGCTGGTATTGGTAAAGAAAATTCTCTAAATCTTGGCGTTACGATTTCGTTTACAATGAACATTAACAAACCGTTACGCCTACGCTCGAGATAATGCGATCGCTGATCGGTAGAATATAATCTCGTGAAAAATTACACCGATCACAGCCCACGAAACAGAATATTGAGTAATGTAATCTTGATCTTATTGTTTTAATTTTACCGAAATTTAACTGCCAACGTGAAGGAAAAAAATTAATGTTCCAAACAAAACTACTGGTCACGTGGCTTGTAATCATTTATGAAGGCTTTGTATTTTGAGGTGAAAATATTATAAAAGCAAAATGGAAATATTTGTATTAAAATTTTAAAGATTTTATGGATTTTGTATATGTACGAGTATATGTTTTCAGGATGTAGCGCTATAGTATTAAAACCAAAGACGACAGAAGAAGTTTCTCAAATATTATCATTTTGCGATAAAAATAGACTTGCTGTGTGTCCTCAGGGAGGAAATACCAGCGTTGTGGGTGGGTCAGTACCAGTTTTTGATGAAATTATCGTATCCACAGAGTTAATGAACGAAATAATAAGTTTAGACGAGACATCCGGTAAGTGATTGATTGATGGTATATGGTGCGTTCAATTTTAGATAGTAATATATCTGTAGACAATATAGACAAATATTATCTTATTGTTAGGATTATACATATGATAATGTAGTGACTCTAAATCCCTTTTAAGAAATAGTTAAATAATGAGTACCCCAATTGACATTTTTTTTGTCTTAGAAGCGCTATTTTTTAAAAATGTATCGCTGCAGTTATTTTTTAAGAAATCGCTTATTGGATTTCTGTGACGCAAAACGGCACTCAAAAGCAAAATAAAACAAGTAAATTTGGTTGGGTATTCAAAATAATCCCCATTAATATACGTACAGTAATTCAGTGAAAAAATGTTGACATTTGTGGAACACAAAGTATAAACTATACATATAGGATGAAATCCTATCAAAAAAAGTTAAAGAAAAAGTTGTAGGATTTCAAAAAACCAATTTACAGGTGACCTTGTCTTTGACCTTGATTCCAATTTTTAAGGTCAATTCAAGGTCAACTTAAAAATTTCAACTTGAAACCCCTATTTTTTATTTTATAAATCGATAGTGCGCAAAATTTTACGACCGAATTTGGAATCAAAATTTTTTTCTTCGATATCCTTGAAGGTTATTTCAAGGTGAATTTTTTGTTTTCTTAATAACTCGAGGGATTTTAAGTGTAGAGAAAAATGTTGCAAGAAATATCAGTGGTATGTAATAAAGCACCAAACAAACATCAATAAAGCACCAAATATCAATGAAACATCAAAAAGCACCAAGAAGTAGTTTTATCCCGACGAGTTATAAAAAAAGAGAAAATTTTTTAATTTCAAATAACTTGTAAAGATGCAAATGTTTTGACCTAATTGATGCTTTATCGACACTGACTTTTTAGTTTGATCTTGATTTGACCTAGAGGATAAGGGCATAAGGATTTCTCTATAGTTCGATCCCATCGAGTTATTGAGAAAAAACAAATTCGACCTTGAAATGACTTTTAAGGACATTCAAGAAAAAATTTTTGATTCCATATTCAGACGTAAAATTTTAGGCTCTATCGATTTATAAAATAAAAAATTGGGCAAGATCAAAGACAAGGTCTCCAAGTTATTTTTTTTTACATCCTACAACTTATTTCTTAAACTTTTTTGATAGGATTTTTTTCCTGAAGAGTTATCGGGGGTTCGAGACTTTTTGGATCACAGTGTATATGTTTCGTGTTTTGAGGTGACAATTACATCTTCTTAGACCCATTTTTGTGGAGACGTATCAAAAAAACTAAGTTTTCGAGGCTAAATCTGAAAAGCAGGGAAAACTTGCCCATTTAAAATAAAAATTCTTTAATTTTACCATTTTATTTACAAGCTTGAAGAAACATCCTTCTAGGTTCTTATTATAATTGTTTCAAATTGTTCTTATTGCTAATCTACTTCACGATAGAATTTTTGATAAAACATTTTGCTTAAACGCATAATTTCGATTTTTTTCTCTACTGTAACGTGTATTTTTAGGAATTTTGGTATGTCAGGCGGGTTGCATTTTAGAGAATCTCAACAATTACTTAGCAGATCGAGGTTTAATCGTACCGTTAGATCTTGGATGTAAAGGCACTTGTCATATTGGAGGAAACGTATCTACCAACGCTGGTGGTATGAGACTATTACGATATGGTAATATGCACGGAAACGTCATAGGCTTAGAAGCAGTAAGTACTGGTAATATTTTTACTATATCAAAAGAATGTGCAAATATCTACTTATATTGTTACTGAAAGTTGTAAGGATTTTCGAGCACATACTAATAACACTTATTTTAGGTGAAAGCCAATGGGGAGGTGATAGATTGTTTAAATACATTGAAAAAAGATAATACTGGATACCACTTAAAGCATCTTTTTATAGGATCTGAAGGATCGTTGGGATTTATCACGAAAATTGCTCTTCATTGTCCTCCACGATCGAAAAGCAGAAACGTGGCGCTTTTAGGTAAATATAGGTTATAGTCCAAGAGCTAGCTACGTGTGGACTGCACTGATCGACTATAGTCATGATTTTTGGTTAAAAGTTTGTTATTACATTGACAAAGCCAGAGCCCATCAGTCAGAAGTCGTTCCAGAGGCGGAGAGCGTGAGCGGGCGGTTAAACGCGTAAAGTTTTATCAATAAAAAAATAATCGAATATAGTCATGAAAACTGGTACACTTATAGATTTTAAGTGGATAAACATAGAAAAAATATCGTCAGAAGGCTATGTGGTGGCTTAAGCGCTCTCAGAAGCGATAAAGTGGTAAATTGTGAATTGAAAAATAAATCACAATATATAGTTCTGACATTTTGTTTATTGTTAGTTTATAATGCAAATAGACTATCTGTAAAGTTACAGAAGTTAAAAGTGAGGCTAATAGTCAAAAAAACATTATTTATCACTGCGCTTGCAAATTTTGCCGTGGTTGTTACGCCCGGCGTTTTTGATCTTTTATTGTTAATAAATGATTAAGTACAGTTCTAGCATTTTACGTAGCCAATCTTTATATTATATATGTTTCTTATAACGAAACAACAGAAGTTTACTCAGAGGTTAAGGCTATGCCAGAGCTACATAAGTTTTAGTGCAATCGAATAAATTGCTATAATTTTTTTTATTTGTTAATATTTGTTTTCACAATGGTTTTAAATTGTTTTTTTTACCGAAATACACACAGTACACTTTACTCTGAATCGCAATCTGATGATTTGTCCTGAGTACCATCATCGCTGCTGTACTCTACATCTGTCATTTTTTTTGTCATTGTAACTGCAATTGAAAACACACATTTTAACACTCGCCATTCTTGGTGGCTTAAAAATTTATCAATACACAAAAAATCTAATGCACAAGCAGTGAACGCTGTTAGAGCTGTGACTGGAGCGAAAATCAGAAGCGAGTTGACGCTTAGTTACTATTTTGAAAGCCAGGTCAGAATAACGGTCTGACTACACAGGCCGACAAAAGAAATCCTGTGTTTTTGAGACGTGAACCTACCCTTCTTTAGTAAAATTTTCCGCTGAATTCGAAAATGATAAGAAACAATTCTGACGTATAGATTCCAGACCACATACCCTTAATTTCCCCAAAAATTAAAAAATTCAAACTAGTCATCCAATCTCTTTAGTAAAATTTTCCACTGAATCCGAAAATGATAAAAAGAAAAATTTATGGACTCTCCCCCACACACCCTCAATGCCCCCCAAAAATTTAAACTGCCCATCCAACTTACCTTTAGTAAAATTCGCTAAATCCGAAAATTGCAAAAAAATTTTTTGGANTTCTTAAACTTTTTTTGATAGGATTTCAGCCTGAAGAGTTATCGGGGGTTCGAGACTTTTTGGATCACAGTGTATATGTTTCGTGTTGTGAGGTGACAGTTACATCTTCTTAGACCCATTTTTGTGGAGACGTATCAAAAAAACTAAGTTTTCGAGGCTAAATCTGAAAAGCAGGGAAAACTTGCCCATTTAAAATAAAAATTCTTTAATTTTACCATTTTATTTACAAGCTTGAAGAAACATCCTTCTAGGTTCTTATTATAATTGTTTCAAATTGTTCTTATTGCTAATCTACTTCACGATAGGATTTTTGATAAAACATTTTGCTTAAACGCATAATTTCGATTTTTTTTCTTTACTGTAACGTGTATTTTTAGGAATTTTGGTATGTCAGGCGGGTTGCATTTTAGAGAATCTCAACAATTACTTAGCAGATCGAGGTTTAATCGTACCGTTAGATCTTGGCTGCAAAGGCACTTGTCATATTGGAGGAAACGTATCTACCAACGCTGGTGGTATGAGACTATTACGATATGGTAATATGCACGGAAACGTCATAGGCTTAGAAGCAGTAAGTACTGGTAATATTTTTACTATATCAAAAGAATGTGCAAATATCTACTTATATTGTTACTGAAAGTTGTAAGGATTTTCGAGCACATACTAATAACACTTATTTTAGGTGAAAGCCAATGGGGAGGTGATAGATTGTTTAAATACATTGAAAAAAGATAATACTGGATACCACTTAAAGCATCTTTTTATAGGATCTGAAGGATCGCTGGGATTTATCACGAAAATTGCTCTTCATTGTCCTCCACGATCGAAAAGTAGAAACGTGGCGCTTTTAGGTAAATATAGGTTAGAATAAAGAACTTGATTGGATACAAGTTTTCTGCAGCTTTGGTGTAAATGTATTCACAATTTTCACATATAGGTCTCCAAGATTTCGACAAAGTCTTGAGAACTTTTAGGAAAGCTCAGGCACAGTTAGGAGAAATACTTTCCGCAGTTGACGTGATGGACTCTGTTACAATGGACTTTATTGAAGATAAAAACCATCAACAGTCCCCTATTGGAAGTCATCCCTTTCATTTGCTTATTGAAACGTCCGGTTCTAACGAAGTACACGATTCCGAAAAAGTAAACAATTTCTTAGATGACGTCATCAATAGCAACTTGATCTCAAATGGGACAATGGCATCAGAGCCATCAAAAATCGAGGTAAGATTTTTTCGTGACGAGTTCATAAAATTCAAGTATAAATAATAATGAAAAGTAAGTTATGACCTAGAAGATTTTCTATATCTGGTCAGATTTTGTTTTTTGTTTGTATCATATTTTTCATAAAAATATTAACCTAGCTGTCAGATTTTTATGTAGTTTACAGTTAGAAGAATTCTCAATACTTTTGTCTGTTTTAGGCAATTTGGTCAATCAGAGAGAACGTATCTAATGGTTACAAAAAATGCGGTGCTGTTTTTTATTATGATGTTTCTCTACCCATCGAACATTATTATTCATTAGTGGATGATATGAGAAACCATATGGGTGATAAATGCGAAAGGGTTTTTGGATATGGACATTTGGGTAAGATTTATGTAAATATTCATAAATAAATTGAAATAATTGAAACCCTTGGTTTTGACATACAGGCAACAGTAAAAGTATACTATATAATTCCAAGGCTTGCTTATAATTAAATTATTTGTATTATGTTTATCAACAGATTTTTTTCGCTTTTAGGTGACAGTAATCTCCATTTACAAATAGAAATGAAAGAATACCGTAAAGAATTAAAAGATTACGTTGAGCCATACATATTTAAACGAACTGCCGAGCTAAAAGGCAGCATCAGTGCCGAACACGGGATGGGTTTTATAAAAGGGAAATATTTAAATCTGGCGAAACCTGCTAGTTCCATTGCTCTCATGAGAGAGTTAAAAAAAATATTGGATCCTAATGGCATATTAAATCCTTACAAGATATTTCCTTCTCATTAAAGATGTGTATAATGAAAGACGATGTTTTTCTTTTTTTCCTCAAATTTAATATATTAAGATTTATGAGCAGATGATGAATTATGAAATTTTAATAAAATTTTTCTAATTTCCATGTAGCTAGGAGTTAGAAACATTTCTACGCCAAAAATATATTTTAAAGTTTGTAAATCACTAATACTTATGCAGGGTTATTCAGTCATAATGTCATTAATTTTAAGGGAAAATAGGAAAAAATGAGTAGAATATGAATACACCATAAACAATATTTTAAAATGTATCAACTGTTTCGCTTCAACGGTTAAGCAGCAAATGTTGAAAGTAGGGCGCCGAATTAACGGGAAGTAATGAGTAATTTGCTTATTTTTTAAGATCGAGTTTTTTTTTCGATTTTCTGCCATTATTAGGTCTTCCGAATACGTAGTTAAAATTAATAAAATTATGACTGAATCACCCTGTATTTTGAAGAAAAGAGTTGGAAGTTTGTAACTTCATCCACTTTTCGTAGTAATTGAAAGTCTATAAAAAATTTTTTATCAAAATAGGGGTATATTTCCGAGAAAAAAATGACCATGCTCCTACATTTGAGTGACAATCAGTCACAACAACTGAAAATATAACACCGTTTTTAGAATTTAATTACCTTCTGTAACTAACAAGGAAAATGCATATCCCAAGATGTACTGATAACCCTGTACATATAGACTAGGCGGTATCTGTTTTGGTTTGGGTGAATCGTATATCCACGAAGATTTTTGGCTTTTTGGCTTTCAAATATCACTAGAAATGAAAATTTTTCTATGCGCATAAAAAAAAACGTGGACTTAACTTTTGGCGGCACTATGTTAAAAAAATTCGAAAAATGTCATATATTTCTTCCTATTTAATTATGTATCTTTTCAAGAGTTGATTTTAGGNTAACTAGACATGTTTTGTAAAAAATTTAATTGCAAACATTTTTTTCCTCTTCCATTTTTGCCTAAAATCAACTCTTGAAAAGATACATAATTAAATAGGAAGAAAAATACATTTTTCGAATTTTTTTTTTTTCATATTGTGCCGCCAAAAGTTAAGCCCACGTTTTTTTTATGCGCATAGAAAAAATTTCATTTCTAGTGATATTTGAAAGCCAAAAAGCCAAAAATCTCCGTGGATATACGATTCACCCAAATATGGCTTTTTGAAACAGATACCGTCTGGACTAATATACATATCTCAAAGTGTGCAAATTCCCATAATTGTGATCTTAAAAACCATAAATAAGACAAATCCGTCGTTGTTTGATAGTATTTATTATCATATTTATTTTATGTGGGTAATAGCAGTGTCGTGGGTGATAAAGATTTTTTCTATACAAGATATACTTTAAGTGGGAGTTAGTTTTCGTCCGTTGTCCGCAAAATACTAATTTGAAATAATTATTTTTGTCGTCTTATAATACGCACAATAAAAAAAATATATAAAAATAATATAATAACGTTTTTAATAAACAGTGTTTGTTACAATTTTTTAAAGATCTGTGTTTAGTATATGAATCTCATGTTAGATGAACTACATAATATCAATCCACCTGATCTGATATCACTAGGCAGCAAAAAACATAATGCCAAGCCAACTTTAACTTGGCAAAACGACAATGACCAAATATGTCACCGCTTCACTTTATTATACAAACCTTCATAAATGACTAAAAGCCATGTGACCGCCCAGCCAACATTACACGACTGGTACTGTCAACTAAAATCAATATTAATGATACGTTTACAATGAATAATGACAAACCGTTGAGTCTACGCTCGAGATAATGCGATCGCTGATTCGTTGAATAAAATCTCGTGAAAAATGACACCAATCACCAGTTTGGTGAAACAGAATGTTTTGTTTTAATGTATTCCTGATGTTATTGTTTTAATTTGACCAAAATTTAGTTGCAAACGTGAAGGAAATAAAATTACTGTTCCAGACAAAGTTACCGGTCATGTGGCTTGTAATCGTTTATGAAGTCTCTGTATACGCCGTGTCCCATTTTAATTGTTCACCCCGAATAATTTTGCAGGATGACCTCCAATTGAATAACTTCTAGAACAAAAGTTGTAAGGTTTTAAGGGGGCCATATGGCAATGACCTTTATTTTGACTCAAATGTCAGATTTAGGGGTCATTCGGAGGTCAATTTCAGAATTTCAAACGGAAACCCCATTTTTTTTTGTCCAGAAATGGAAAGAGCAGGAAATTCTACGTTCCGAGGTGTATTTTCGATCTTGATTGGCAGATTGGCCCCTAGGGGTCCTCTGAAGGTCAAATCAGCTTAAATGGCCCCTAAATTTGACCCCAGGGGTCACGGTCTGAGTTACAATTAGACTATAAATCGTGACCACAGTAGTTTGTACGAAATTTGTCACAAAAATTAGTCAACCTTTGCCATAAAATGTAAACATTTCAGTCGGAAAGCTGATTTGACCTTCAGAGGACCCCTTGGGGTCGATTTGACGAAAAATCAAATATGCATCTCTTAACGTAGCTCTTTCCATTTCTGGATAAAACAAATAGGGTTTCCATTTGAAATTCTGAAGCTGACCTCCAAATGAACCCTAAGTTTGACCTCTGGGTTAAAACCAAGGTCATTATCGTACGGCCCCCTTAAAACGTTATAATTTTTGTTCTGAAAGTTTTTCAACTGGAGGTCATCCAACATCCAATAATATATAGAAGTAGCGAAATGGGATAGAATGAAAATATTTATATTTTTAAAAATCATTATATATAAAAAAAACGAGCTATTCACATAATCGCTGCGAATATATAAAAACCTTTCAATTGTTACCAAATAGGTACATTTTCCTTCGTTAGTAACTAACAGATTTACGCAAGGAAGATGTGATGTTGAACTATATTGAAGACAGTAAATGAAGACACAAACAACATTTGCTTAATGAATAATATCTGACCTTTTCATTCCTTACTCGACGCGCATGGAATAGATAAAAACTTTAAGTAGGTAAATACATGAAATGAAATTTCTCCATTGTACGATAATCGCCAGCACTGCTACAATGTTTTTTAATTTTCGAAAATGTGTTAACATTATTACTTTAACGGTTAGGAAAAGTCATAGTATTAAACGTTTTACGCACAGAAAAACTGATTTGACTAAAGTAAGTAGATAAGATGGCATAAATCATTTTTCAAGTACAAACGAAAAGTGTGTTTTGACAACAAGAAAGTACTCGTAGAAACAAAATATGATAAGTAATTAATTTATGACGTTTTATCATGTAATTAATATTTATATACTTTTGGTATCCATAGGCGCGCCGAATCTATGCGGTTTTAACGAATTTGAAATGCGAACAAGTATAGCTGTGTTATTAATCGAGATACAAAAAATATTAAAATAAAAGTTGGAAGAGATGAAAAAGCCGTACCTATCGTAAAATAATTGTCAAGATGTATGAGAGCCTCTGATCAGTTAAAAAGTAATTTTTTTAAATGAAAATTGTTATATACTTACCTATTTAATAACTTCACATTTACATGCGGCGTTGTCAAATTATTTAGAAATACTTTGAATTTGGCTAAAAACATGGTCTTTTAAAATTTTATGTAATTTTATAAGTTAGAACAACGATATTTGACATTGTGAAAAACAAAGATTAATGAACCGTTTCAGATTTCTGACATATTATTTTTAGTGTTTTCAAATGACATTTTCTCCAATTTTCCATTTTAAGCGTTTTTTGCACACGTTTTTACCCGCTTCAACTTTGACTTTCATCATCTTGGACAAATTTTACACTATAGTTTCATTTGTCCATGGTTTTAGTTTTTCAAATAATAAACTAAATATAAGATATAAGTATATACTTTTAAAACTGGACTGACATAAAATGTAAGGAATTCTCTAAATAATGTAATGTGAAGAATTGTGAATACCAATCATATATTGAATTTTACTGCGAATTAAAATAGTTAAAATAATTTGATGTTTGAAGAAAAAAAATAACTTTTGCCGCTATGTTTTCATGTGAAAATAGTTTTAAAATGTAGTATCGACTTTTTGTATTTCAAGTAATAGCAGAGTTGTTACAACTTTTTTGCACCAATGCACCACGATGTATTATTTTTTTATAATTTTAATTTATGTACTTGTTCATCGACTACTAATTTTGGAATTTCATTTGGAATTTCCTGTTAATATTTCAGCAACTTATTATAATAAAAATAAAACTTTGCTGCGATTAGGTACCTAATTTTAACAGATAATTCAATAATTGTGATTTTTGTCATTTTTTAGACACTTTCATTACTATTTTTTTTTAATTCGAGAGTGTGTACATGTTAATTTAATATCTATAATCTCCTGTCACTCCTCATTAATTTTATAGGTCACTTATAATGTTCAAAGGCAGAACTTTAATGAGTTACAGCAGAAACATATAGATTTTTTCAGAAAGTTGCTAGGAGAGCACAGGGCAGTTATGGGAGTTTCAAATTTAGAAAAATACAATGAGGATTGGATAAACAATCTGAAAGGTAGAGCTAATGAATTTTTTATATATAAATATAAATTGAACCTGATAAATAACAAAAATTTTAGGCACATGTTTGGCCTATATCAATTTGCAATTTTTAATCCCAAAACAAATAAATAAATCTTTCTCGACACAAATAAAGAGAAGTCTTTAACATAGCTTGAGAGTTTTAGGTAGCAGTGCAATTGTTTTAAAACCAAAATCAACTGAAGAAGTGTCCCATATATTATCATTTTGTAACGACAACAATCTGGCAGTTTGCCCACAAGGGGGAAACACAGGATTGGTTGGGGGACAGCTTCCAGTTTTTGATGAAATTGTTATCTCAACTGAGTTAATGAATGAAATTATAAGTTTAGATGACAACTCAGGTAAGTACTAAATATTTTTATATTTTCGAAGTGTATTTTGCTAATTTTATGAAATTTACCCTCTTAAAATGTTCTAGGAGTCGTTGTTTGCCAAGCAGGCTGTGTATTAGAAAGCATAGACAATATTTTAGCAGAGAAGGGATTAATGGTACCTTTAGATTTGGGTGCCAAAGGCTCTTGTCATATCGGAGGGAATGTTTCAACAAACGCTGGTGGTTTACGACTTTTACGTTATGGAAATTTGCATGGAAATGTTTTGGGTTTAGAAGTGGTAAGGATAGTCAAATAAATAAAAATTACTACCTTTTTTAGTTGGCAAGATGTAAATGATGTTTTTTATTTAATGTATTTTAGGTGAAGGCTAATGGTGAAATTTTAGATTGTTTAAGTACATTGAAAAAAGATAACACTGGTTATCATTTGAAACACTTATTCATTGGATCTGAAGGAACATTGGGATTTGTAACTAAGGTAGCAATGCAATGTCCACCTCGATCTAAACATACAAATGTTGCATTTCTTGGTAAGTAGACTATCGAGTCGTTATAACACGTTGAAAAATTCAGAAGGTTTTTTGTGTCTGATAATATATTCATATGCAATGTTTTCATGTTGAATCCAAATCTGGCTACGAAATTGCTCCGTTAAGTCGAGATTTTTGAACATTTGAACAGAATAGTGTATACATTAATTTAAAGTATTTCCTTAATTCTCATTTTGAATAGTACCGTTACAATCTTTTTTCCCCAAGATATTATCAATTTAAAGTTTAGCTGATTTCAGTACATAATAATAAATCAGTCAATTGCTAAGATACATGCAAAACTTACTAAATGATGCATTCCAGTTTAAACATGAAATTCTCAGTAATATTAACTAAAAATCTATTTGTCTCTCACAATTAGCAATGCTGGATTAGCACGAGTATCCTTCTTCCACGATTCAAGTGCCTGATTAATGTGGTATAGTCTTTCCGATATCAGTTGAAGAACCAAGAGGATGATAGTATGTACCAGGTTCGGTCGCTGACGCAGCAACTCGGCATTGAAATATTTGACAAACTTGTTCCCATATTTATTTAGCCACACCTATATGTAGGTCTAGTCGAACTAAAACGTGGAGGTGGTAGAAATGTATACGCCCAGTTGAAGCATGCGAGCGCGGGCAAACAAAATACAAATACAGTTGCATTGGGCCACTGGGCAATAAATCTCAGCCGTTGATAAGTGGTCGACAAACTGCCCAGCAGTGCAGTGCAGTAATGCGGAATTTGGTGTGATTTAGGTAATTTTAATTTATTATAGGCACCTTATATTAATCATTGATATTATAATTGTGAAAGGGAGAAATATTATTATTACAACATGGCATTTTGGAGACATTTTGAAACGGAACAAAACGAAATTTACCATCAATATAATAAAATTGTTTGAGGACATAAATAATTAAAATATGTTGTTGGCCAAATGAACATATAATAGAAATTTTTTGCACATTATATACAAATTATTATAATTTTTTACCTTTATCAGAAAACTTTTTTAAGGACGCCTATGACTCATTAAATTTTATTGCCAGGCGTTTTTTTACATGTTCAACTCACTTCGGAAAGCCTATAGCTAGGATTTTCGAATTTGGAATAAGTAGTACATATATTATTATATTAAAAAATATAATGTGTTTTAAGTATTAACTGAATGCAGCTAATTGATTTGAATCAACCGAACTTTAATTGCTGATATCCTGGAGAAAAAATGTCATATCGTCTCAACAAACCAAAATGGAAATTAAAATAGAAGAAAGGTACTTTAAATTAACGTGTGCAGTAAAAATGTTTCTGTGGGTGTGGTATAACCTCAAAACCATGTCAAAATTGGCCTTTTTGCACTATTAAATTTGAATATTGAACTGTGATGTGATGGAGCATATTTACCAGATTTAAATTCATGGCGATAAAAATATGTCAACTAAGTAACACATTTAAAACAACCAAGTGATTGATGTGTATTTAATAACATTGTTACAGGTACACAAAATTTTGGGAAAGTACTTAAAACTTTCAAAAAGGCTAAGCAGGATTTAGGTGAAATTTTGTCCGCAGTTGAAGTAATAGATTCATCAACGATGGAATTTATCGATGAGAAATTAAATATAAAATCACCCATTGGAGAATACCCTTTTTATCTTCTTATAGAAACATCTGGTAGTAATGAATCTCACGATACTGAAAAACTTAATACGTTTCTAGAAACTGCTCTGAACAAGCATTTCATACTAAATGGAATCGTTGCCAGCGAACCTGCAAAAATCAATGTATGTATTTTACATCAATAATGCTCAACTTCTTTATGGTTTTATCACAAGGAATTCATAGATTCATCAGATATTTCTATTTAGTCCTAGAAAAAAATTAAATTATAGGGATATACTTATACTTGTTTTTTTTCTGTATATGTACCTATTCAGAGATGCTAAGTGGTTTATTTTCAGACAATCTGGTCTATACGTGAAAAAATTCCAGAGGGATTCAAGCTATGTGGCGCTGTATTTTGTTACGATGTATCTTTGCCACTTGAACATTATTTTACATTAGTAGATGACATGAATATATACATGGGCAATTTATCAGAAAAAGTTTTTGGATTCGGTCATTTAGGTAGAATTGATAATACAATTTTCTGCAGAACATTTCACGATATTCAATATTTTTTTTTATTTAGGTGATGGCAACCTTCACTTGCAGATTGAAATGAAAGAATTTTCTAAGGAAGTAAAGGATCACATCGAACCATACATTTTTAAAAGAATCAAAGACTTGGGCGGTAGTATTAGCGCAGAACACGGAATGGGTTTTTTGAAAGCTCCATATTTAGATATTGCTAGGCCTCAAAGTGCAATAAAACTGATGAGGGATCTAAAAATATTGTTTGATCCCAAAGGAATTTTAAACCCGTACAAAGTATTGCCCTGGTAAAAAGAAAAAAAGATAATGCGTAATGATATTTATTTAATCAAATAGTATAATAGGATGATAGAAAACAGGAATTTTTAGGAGAATATTCTAATAAAATAAAGGCCTAACTGCTTGTTCAAGTTGTCCTAAGGTAGCACCAAACGAAAAATTTCCATCAACACTTTTTATTTCAGGATTGTACATATTCTTGTATGCCTGAAGAACACTGAAAATGTGATGGTTTTAATAAAAAATATCAAATATGTTAAAAAATTATATTATTATTAAATTATTCTCAAAAACTATTAAAATATATTTATTAATTTGCCCATTATATGAAAACCCTTTATTTTTTTAATGCATTCTTTTATGTGAGAGTAATATTTATACCTTTGCATGTGCTATGTAAACTATAGGCTTTTTTCGTGAGTGAAATCGTCTGTTGTAGTATGTGTATAGTATGAGTGAATGAAGATGGAACCTATCATATGACAACTAAGATCAAAAGAGATAGAAATAGTAACTACAAGTCAGATATTCGCCAATATTCAGTAGCGAAAAAAAGCCTTATGTTTAGAAAAAAATACTGACTAATTTCAGTAATAAATTAGAACCATATTCTACTCCTATTGACTTTTTTTATATAAACATACATCTGAAATTCAACCATTTTAAAAAATACCGGGTGTTCAATTTATACCATAAAAATGTTTTCTTTATAACTATATAGCGATTTGAGCTAGAAACTTCTAGTTGATTTGCATCCTTAATAATAACCTCAGATTAAATATGTCATCTGTTGAATATCCATCATCTGTCACTACTACTACTACACTCATCTACTTCTAAGTCACAATAAAGGGATTTTAAATTATATTTTTACATTTTCTGCCTAATTTCTTCCAACTTTTTCATATTTTTATTTATTCATCCCGTTTAATCCAAAACCTCTTTATTTATCTGTAAATTGGGGCAATGGTTCTTATTTTCATAAAAACCTTTTTCCACCGACAAGATTCTAAACAACTTAGCAACTGAACGGGACGAGTTATTCTGTGTTCACATTCTAACATTACATGTGAAAAAATATATTTAGTAATACTAATATGTGCACCTATTTAATGTACCTACTTTATATTTTGCTGTTTGTTTTGTTATCAATTTGCATAAAATGATTTTAAAGGAATTCTGCAAATTTTAATTTAGAAAAATTCATGTTATATACACTCCTTTCAACCCATTTTGGGTTTATAATATTATATAATCTATTTGATAATAAAAATTACTATCAAATTAAAAAGTATACACGGTGATTTATACTGAGAGTCGACAAATTAGGGATATAGTTCACAGTCCAATTTTAACCAAAATGAGACAAAACCTGATAGGAAAAATTTATTACGTCATATTTCATTTCTTTTGCTTTAAATTGGATTTTGAACCAGATCCTTAATTTTTCACCTCCTGGTATAAATCACCCTGTATATTGTTCTACATTTTTTTCATAATCCTTTTTATTTATAATTATTAATCATATTAGCTAAGATTAAAAAAATATTTTATTATCCAGTAATGGTAATTTTTATTAAAACATTTTTTTATCTACCCATCGAAACATGTTTTCTATCTTTTTTTCAATAGGCTCAAAATAAGTGACATTTACACGATAAAAATGAAAGTCGGATATATTTAGGTCAGATACCCATTTGGATAACGAAAAATGATGTTTTATGGATGTTTAACTTATTTGATTTTATTAAAAAATTTAAATAAAATGAAAAGATGTCAATCAACACTACAGAAAAGGATATCTTATGAATTTATACTGGGTGTTTGGCAATTCGATTCATTCCTTGCAGGCGGTTATAGTACAAATGATTTGTGATGTATTTCCTTAATATACCATATTCCGGAAACGCTTAGTTTCTTATCTACAGGGTGATAATGTTTTAATAAAAAAATGCAAATTTATAAATATTGCGGAAACTGCTCAGAATATTTTAATGAAATTTTACAAGCTTTTACAATTAACAACAATACATGTTTTACGATAAAAATATTGTTTTTAGTTTCACCATTGGCGTGCGCTCAGGCACGTCTTTGGATATTTTTTAAAGAAAAAAATGATAGGCGACTGATTTTTCTTAAAATAAAAATTATTTTTCAATTGCTTGTTCAATTTGGAAGAAAAAATTTATGAGTTTTTAGATTCACTATTCAGTATCTAAACAGAAATTAGCAAGTTGGCTGTGCACTCGTTTTTGTTATTGTTTGACAAAATTAATAATAGCTGTCACTTTGAGTTTTTGAGTGCGAAGCAGTTAAGGGTATAATTTCTGCTATTTTTCAAATTATTGAAACCGAATTACGCCATGCAATAGATCGATTTTATTTTTTTTACTCGAAAACGGTGCGTTATAAGAAAAACAGTTGAGATACCTTTTCTCTTCCCAATTGAACAAGGAATTCAAAAATTATTTTTATTTTAAGAAAAATCAGTACTGTATCATTTTTTTCTTTAACAATATCTAGACATGCCTGTGCGCACGCCACTGGTGAAACTGAAAACAATATTTTATCGTAAAACATGTATTGTTGTCAACTGTCAAATCCTGTAAAATTTTATTAAAATATTCTGAGCGGTTTCTCCAAAGTAAGCGTTTTCGAAATAAGATATATTAAGGAACTATATCACAAATCGCTTGTACTACATCAACCTCCTAGGAATGCATCGACTTACCAAACACCCTGTATAGGAAATATCCATTTGGATAACCGAACAGGATGTTTAGGGATGTTTAATTTATGGATACCTATTTGAGATACAAAAATATACAGGATGGTCACGCGAAAATTGTTCCCCTCTTTTTCTCCGTTATTGTTCCCGAAAGAAGAAAGGAATTTTTAAAATTTTCCGACTCACTACAAAGACAATTGAATGTCTAATTTCTGAAATATGGGCCTAACTGTTTTTCTTTAAAAGGAATACCCTAAAGATAAACTATTGAAAAGAGTCAAACTAACTTTTCAAGAATGTGTTATATACAGCGTTTTGGTTTCTTTGGAAATTGACGTCACTGTCAACAAGTATGTATAATCTGCAGTTAGATATTTGTCATAAATCATTTTGACACCAATTGTGGATTCAATACCATGGAGGAAGAAGCTTCTGAAGCTGTTCGGATTTACGCTCACCGCTTTCCAAAAAGAATTTGCATATTTGAAGTGACGAAAATCCCCATGCTATTATTCAGACAAAACACCAACAAAAATTTACCATTAAAATGTATGGATGGGAATAATTGGAAACTACATAATTAGTGGGACCACATATCATTGATGACACTTTAAATGGGAACAAATATACCTATATTTACTGCAGGAACACCTTAACCCGTTATTGGAAGATGTCCCTTAAATATTTGAAATAACATGTGGCTTATTATGTCTGATGGTGCACCACCTCATTCTAGCAGGGCAGTAAGGGCTTATTTAAATACTACATTTCCCGATCGATGGATCGGTCGAGGTAGTTCTTTTCCGTGGCCGCGTCGGTCTCCCAATCTTAATCCGATCTCGATTTTTTCTTTGGGGCTATCTTAAAAGTCTTGTTTATCAAACTCCTATAAATAGTAGGGAAGAATTATTAAATGTCATAATTACATATGCCGACATCATTAAAAACGATTACCATGTTATTTCGAGTAGAGCAGAGGTGATTGAGCAATTTCAGAAAATGCATTGAATTCAAGGTCCACATATTAAACATCTTACTTAACAGTTCTCTTTTTTTTAATTCTATAGAAACCAAGATTTTTACAAGAATGTTAGCATCACATTTTTGATACAATAAATGTATGTTGATAATAAAATTTGATTTTCTCAAAAACGGTACAAGATATCGACTGATATATATGGTATATCTTTTTTTAGCAAAGTGAGAGAGGAATCGAACTATGAAAGAAAAATGTCAAATTTGGCAACGCTGTAAAAGATGTATAAATTTAAATGGATAATTTCGTCGATTTCGGATAATTTAATCGATAATTGCTCTTGTATAATCCAGGCATATTGAATATCAGTTTAAACTTGGAAATAAACATTACGATGAGTTACTTTAATTGCCCAAATTTCATTGTTGTCATGGTGACGACTTGTTATAACTGGAATTTGTTTTTCAAATTTCTTTCTTTGAAGGCGAATAACCACAACGAAGTCTGATAGGAAAAAATTTTATATGAAGTACTACATCTATTTTGACCTCTTCTGTATACCACTTCATTATTGACATGATTTTTCCGGACACCCTTTATAATGCTTATCTTTTAATCGTCTTCAAGATATTACATATTTTATTATAGTTTTGTGTAGTAGCCCTGGAAGAATATTGACAATTAAAAGAATGTTAATCTATCAATTACATAAGTTACTTCAAGAAAAATGTTTGTAGAAGCAGAAAAGTGTGAGAAATGTATTAAAATTTACTTAAAAAACATACAAATTAAAAATTTGTACACAAATATGTACTTCTAGAATTGTAGAAGTTTTCCCTCAAAACATACTTTTACAACATTAATACCAAATGGATGGCTATGAAATGTTTAAAAATATAAAAAGGAGCAGTATTAATAAAAATGCAAAATAAAAAATAAAATTGTTTGATACAAATTACCTATATTCTGAATTATTTGTGTTTTAAATATTTATAACTTTTTTCCTATACCTAAAAAAACAATTATTTTCTCAAAAGTACCATATTTCTCTGTTGAATATCCATCATCTGTACACTACTTCTAAGTCACAATAAAGGGATTTTAAATTATATTTTTACATTTTCTGCCTAATTTCTTCCAACTTTTTCATATTTTTATTTATTCATCCCGTTTAATCCAAAACCTCTTTATTTATCNTGAGCGGTTTCTCCAAAGTAAGCGTTTTCGAAATAAGATATATTAAGGAACTATATCACAAATCGCTTGTACTACATCAACCTCCTAGGAATGCATCGACTTACCAAACACCCTGTATAGGAAATATCCATTTGGATAACCAAACAGGATGTTTAGGGATGTTTAATTTATGGATACCTATTTGAGATACAAAAATATACAGGATGGTCACGCGAAAATTGTTCCCCTCTTTTTCTCCGTTATTGTTCCCGAAAGAAGAAAGGAATTTTTAAAATTTTCCGACTCACTACAAAGACAATTGAATGTCTAATTTCTGAAATATGGGCCTAACTGTTTTTCTTTAAAAGGAATACCCTAAAGATAAACTATTGAAAAGAGTCAAACTAACTTTTCAAGAATGTGTTATATACAGCGTTTTGGTTTCTTTGGAAATTGACGTCACTGTCAACAAGTATGTATAATCTGCAGTTAGATATTTGTCATAAATCATTTTGACACCAATTGTGGATTCAATACCATGGAGGAAGAAGCTTCTGAAGCTGTTCGGATTTACGCTCACCGCTTTCCAAAAAGAATTTGCATATTTGAAGTGACGAAAATCCCCATGCTATTATTCAGACAAAACACCAACAAAAATTTATCATTAAAATGTATGGATGGGAATAATTGGAAACTACATAATTAGTGGGACCACATATCATTGATGACACTTTAAATGGGAACAAATATACCTATATTTACTGCAGGAACACCTTAACCCGTTATTGGAAGACGTCCCTTAAATATTTGAAATAACATGTGGCTTATGTCTGATGGTGCACCACCTCATTCTAGCAGGGCAGTAAAAGCTTATTTAAATACTACATTTCCCGATCGACGGATCGGTCGAGGTAGTCCTTTTCCGTGGCTGCGTCGGTCTCCCAATCTTAATCCGATCTCGATTTTTTCTTTGGGGCTATCTTAAAAGTCTTGTTTATCAAACTCCTATAAATAGTAGGAAAGAATTATTAAATGTCATAATTACATATGCCGACATCATTAAAAATGATTACCACGTTATTTCGAGTAGAGCAGAGGTGATTGAGCAATTTCAGAAAATGCATTGAATTCAAGGTCCACATATTAAACATCTTACTTAACAGTTCTCTTTTTTTTTAATTCTATAGAAACTAAGACTTTTACAAGAATGTTAGCCTCACATTTTTGATACAATAAATGTATGTTTATAATAAAATTTGATTTTCTCAAAAACGGTACAAGATATCGACTGATATATATGGTATATCTTTTTTTAGCAAAGTGAGAGAGGAATCGAACTATGAAAGAAAAATGTCAAATTTGGCAACGCTGTAAAAGATGTATAAATTTAAATGGATAATTTCGTCGATTTCGGATAATTTAATCGATAATTGCTCTTGTATAATCCAGGCATATTGAATATCAGTTTAAACTTGGAAATAAACATTACGATGAGTTACTTTAATTGCCCAAATTTCATTGTTGTCATGGTGACGACTTGTTATAACTGGAATTTGTTTTTCAAATTTCTTTCTTTGAAGGCGAATAACCACAACGAAGTCTGATAGGAAAAAATTTTATATGAAGTACTACATCTATTTTGACCTCTTCTGTATACCACTTCATTATTGACATGATTTTTCCGGACACCCTTTATAATGCTTATCTTTTAATCGTCTTCAAGATATTACATATTTTATTATAGTTTTGTGTAGTAGCCCTGGAAGAATATTGACAATTAAAAGAATGTTAATCTATCAATTACATAAGTTACTTCAAGAAAAATGTTTGTAGAAGCAGAAAAGTGTGAGAAATGTATTAAAATTTACTTAAAAAACATACAAATTAAAAATTTGTACACAAATATGTACTTCTAGAATTGTAGAAGTTTTCCCTCAAAACATACTTTTACAACATTAATACCAAATGGGTGGCTATGAAATGTTTAAAAATATAAAAAGGAGCAGTATTAATAAAAATGCAAAATAAAAAATAAAATTGTTTGATACAAATTACCTATATTCTGAATTATTTGAGTTTTAAATATTTTATAACTTTTTTCCTATACCTAAAAAAACAATTATTTTCTCACAAGTACCATATTTCATGACTTACTAGGGCAATATACATGTCAATGATAAATATATATTATCATGAAAACAGATAGATAAGGTATGATATATAATATATACTTAAAAAGTTCTTTTGACAGTTTTTCCAATGACGTAAAGAGACATAGTATTCCATTTAAGTTAGGTCTATATGCAGGAAAAACTATTAATTTCAACATTTTATTAATGTCGCTACAATTTTTACTCTTGCCCCATGCATGTTTCGAATTCCAATGGATAAAAATGAGGGACAATTTTCACCTGACCACCCTGTAAATATGGATCTCCTCGATACATAAAAAATGATATATGGATGTATACCTTAAACAACATTCACTAAAATTACAAAAAAGGCACATTTAAGGTTGATGCTAGTGATATGGGAGCATTCGAATGCAAGAATTGATATGCATTCGATTCTTAAAAGTTCTCGCTGTTCTCGAGAACTTTTATGTGGGCATTCGAATACTTGCGAATTCTTGATGAGGTTTCGAGTATCCCTCATGGTAGGCAGATAGATGGACTAGACACTAAGCGGATATGCTTTAGAGGCCAAAAATTGAATGTTTTTTAAGATTTGTTGTATTGCATATTTATTATCATTACTTTTTTAAAATAAAATCCCAAACTAATGATTAGCAGCTTCATTTTAAAAATAATGTCAATAATTATAAAATAACTAAAAACATTAATATTTAATAACGGAAAATGCTCCATAAAACAAATCACATACCTCGTTCGATACGAGGCTTACCTTAATTACTAACTGCTAAGCTAACCGTTGATGCGAGTACAAGAACAAAGTTGAGTTATGCGAAATAAGAATATCCCGATGATGTATTTGAATCCACACCGTGTCGCCAACATACACCGATTCTGCATTGCCGCTGTTCTCGAGTTCTGTGTTCTCGGATACCTACTCATTCGGTCTCGGTTCTCGGTGGGTCTAGTCTTCTATCCGGTACTCGGTTCTCGGTCTTGGTCTCGCACCGATTCTGCATTGCTGCTGTTCTCGAGTCCTGTGTTCTCGGATACCTCCTCATTCAGTCTCGGTTCTCGGTGGGTCTAGTCTTCTATCCGGTACTCGGTTCGTGGTCTCGGATAATCATTCGATTCTTAAAAGTATTCGAGAACCAAGTTCTCGATTCTTAAAAATACTCGATTCTGCCCATCACTAGTTGATGCCCATATCAAAACAGAATATCCTTTGGATATCCAAGTAAGGGACATATTATCTTTCAGACATGGAGTTTGTACAAGGAGTGAAGACTCCGTGTTAAAAAAAGTGAGCCATTTCTTGGGTCACATGAAGTCAGTAGAGTATGAAAAAGATGCGCGAGAAATTTAAAATGTTTATATAAACGTAACTTATATTTTCTATTAATTCCTTGAAAAATATTAAATAAGACCTCCCGCTTATTATCTACTGCATCTGACGTTGTAAGCGCAACTTCGTTACTAGACTCTCCAGTGCATCAGCGCTACACCGGCGACTACTTAAAATTCACTTTGGGTCATAAAATGGGATCCGAATTTGTATGTGCAGCCCATAAGAGTTTTCAGTCTTTGCATAAACTCCATAGTTTCAGCTTATAAATCCATGGATCTCAGAACCAAAAATGGGCAAAAAATGGATATCCATAGAACATCATGTGCTACAAGGTAAGCAATGCGTTTAAAGCTAAATGGTTATCTTTTTACTTCAAATATTTTTGCAGACATTAAAATTTCACAAAAGACAAAACAATATTTTAAAATAAATTTTCCATTAGAACAGCTATAAGATTGGCATATGCAATAAAAAGTTGTCAAGCAAGTGGGGTAAATACCCTAAATGTCATTTTTGTACATATTCTAGTATTTCTAGTTATAGCACTTTAAAAAGTTTCTAGCTCAAACTTTAAAGTTATGGAAAAAAATATATTGTTTCATGGAAGAATTTGAATACCGTGTATCTCAGAAATAGTTGAGTGTTCGACAAATATTTATACAGAGTATTCTGAAATAGTAGTACTTTACTTTGAGGGTACATTTTTCGACTCAAAATAAGACAAAAATTTCATATAATCATGGGAAATAGACGCGTTTGAAGATGACTTTAAATAAATGGGTTTTTGCCAATAACTTTTAATGCTTATTGAAGGACGGGGATGTTTAGTGTGATAAGTTACTACTAAAGGGCAAAGAATTATTTGGTAGTACAAAAATATCCAGAAATTAACTGAACAATTTTTTTTTTTTTATAAAAATGTGGTCATGCCATGGGTTATAACCTGGATCAACTAATACCCTCAAATAATCATGTTTCTTAGTAATTTATCGTCCAAAACTTATCCCCGTCCTTTAAAGGAGTTATAAGTTATTGGCAAATAAAACCCATTTATTTAAAGTCATCTTCAAACGTGTCTACCTCCCATAGGGTGGATTTGTGGACCTACGTTTATATGAAATTTTTGTCTTATTTTGAGTCGACAAATCTACCCTCAAAGTGAAGTACCACTATTTCCGAACACATTGTGTATACATTCAATTTATTTTCACTTATGTTTTACTTGCTTTCGAAGTTAAAATAAAATTTAGCACCTCCACCAGACAATATTTTTTGTTTTTAGGATTGTGGCCTTGAGAAATAAACAAGAAAATATTTATTTCTAAGCTGCTTGTATCAGAAGACCAATATTAAAAGATAAGGTGCTAATAATAAAAACAAAGTACATTTATCTGTTATAATCTCACTGAAATGACCACAAAACATCCGTGAAAATGCAGTAATGTAGTGCAATTTAGTTATTACAATTCCATTTTTAACAAGTAACCAAGTATTTCGATATATTTCTACTCTTAAGTTTAGTTTTATATAGATTAATTTTCAGTTTGATTTTATTACATCATTTGTGCATTCAGTATTATAAGATTCTCACTGTCAAGATGTTGTATGTTATAACATACATATATTTGCCCGAGATTATGTTTTTACTTACTTTTGTCTAAAATCATATGAAGATTTCAGTAGTTCTTCCTGAGTTGTATAAGTTTTTCTTCTTGAATGTCTTTCAAGGCGAACATCCTCATTAACCTCAAGTAATATGACAATATCTGGTTTAAACAAATCATTGGGCCAACAATATATTTGATGGCCACTTGGAGGCATTTTATATTTAGCGGGATCATCTGCCACTGCTTGGGCTATTGCGTATGCTGCAGTTGAGTGCCAATATCTGAGAGAAAAAAAAAACAGGAAATGGATATCATGAACACCCAAACATAAAAAATAATAACTTTCTACTTCTACTAAAAAAATATAAATTATATACCTATCCATCACAACTGGTTCATATCTTAGAATTGATTGCACCTCTAAAGCTGCAATATAATTTCCTAGAGAATAGAATGCTGTTCGAAGAACATTATCATCAAATAAATTTCTTAAATGGCTAATGGATTCAGGAGGAGTACGCCACTGTTTTGCATTCAGTTTTTTTGCTAAACGTTTTCCCATAGTTGTTTTACCTACAATTACACTTTACAGATACTAAGTTAAGAATTTTAATATTAACGAAGTAACCTGAACCATCAAGTCCTTCTAAAACAATTAAAGGATATTGTTTTACTTGACCTAAAGCTGTATTTTTCTTCTGTTGTTCAAAAGCGTTACTATAAATGGCCATTAATTCTTTTACACCATTTATATCCTTATTCTAAAAATTTTACAAATTCATATACATACCCATTTATTATTGATAATATCATCTTACCTCATCTTTTTTAAAAACATCCAAGATCGATTCCACAGAATGATATAATAAAGTATTGCTAGACATATTTGTGTCACTGGCTATATAAATATATTTTTCTCCAAGTTTTGCGGCTATCAAATTTGAAAACTTTATGATGCGTTTCTGACTAACCACACAACATGACTTTTGTAGTATTTTTAACATTGCAAAGTCCAAAAATCCCCTAGCTGATGCGATATCTATGGACAAAAAGAGTAACTACGTATTCACTGTAAATTCGTTTGAAAAGACAAATTTTAAAATACTTTGAAATTTGCAAAATTTAAGAAAGATTAACAATATATTTATTTGAATAAGACAAATATTTAACTGTTAACTGTGTACGTCTTTTTAAAGCAAAATGCTTGTAATGAACCCGAATAATTTTAAGAAAAAAAAATTTATTTTAAACATTCGCGCCACAGCGTCCCGTTACACATGCCATCTATAAACAATTTTGTATTACTGTCACCGGTACTTCATAATCACAAACGTTAATGATTAATGTTATTTCGTAAGAAAATGCAATATTGTGCTATAGTTTTAAGTTGGTTTAATGTTCATAAACGCAGATTGCGATTATTGATTGTACCTAAGGTACAGTTAAAGAACAGAAAAAGTCATCCGGTGCAGGGTTGCCAGATAAATTCTTTCTATTACTGCCCGTAGATTCAAATACATAAAATAAAAGTTCTTTGAAATAAAAGTTAACGTTGTTAAAAAATTATGTTAGATGACGCTACGTTAATTTCTTTTTAGGGATAAGAATTCTGAAAGAATATTTTATAATCAGACATAGAAGTGTCAACAAAATACGAATTGGACTGCAAAGAAAATATTTTAGATAAGAAACACTTTCATATTTTAGCTTTAAACAACTGACTATAGAAATAATTACTACCATCGTATCGAACAGCCAGTTTCCACAATTATTTTAAATGGTTGCCAGTGTTGCCACAATGGCGATAAATCGCCACGTCTGGCAAGTCTGATCCGGTGTGGTGTTAAATATTAATCTTAGGTGCTTTCGTTTTGGTTTTGACAACGACAGTACAGCTCTAGGCTAGGCTCAGTTAGTTCTAGTTCCAAACACAGAAGATAAAATGTATTTCCACTAATTATGTTATTTGGTCATTAGTTGGTCATATCTAAACTGAATTTAATTGCACTAATAGTACAATATAATAAAAATCTGTTAGGGACATACACTTTTTTGTAGATATATATTTTAAGATCTAAATAATTTTGACCTTGAGCAAGTCAACCATATTAAAAAGGAGTAGATTCCTCTGTGTTTCATGTGTCTATGGGGAAGGCGATAATTTTAAATTTCTTAGTATTCTTAGTGATCATTTCTTTGCATATGTTACTATACATATATCTATTTTGCATGTAAAGCATACATGCCAATCCCGCCGCATTTGTATATATGTCTACATAAAAGAAAAATATACTCCTTTTTAATATGATTTACTAGTCATAATTCTTTATCCCCTTTAAAACCTATTTATAAAAAAGTGTATATAGGTTTCTAATATCTACAGGGTCGGAAAGTCCCATGGTTCATCGGCCGTTACGTGAGAGCGATAAAATAAGTCATAGAAATCCGTGCGATAGAGAAAGATGGCTATATTGAAGGCGTCTAATAGTCACCGCCCATTTCGCGCTTCCAGAAATAAGATCCACTTCATTATAGCCATCTTTCTCTATCGCACGGATTTGTATAGCTTTCTGTATCGCTCTCACGTAACGGCCGATGAACCATGGGGACTATCCGACCCTGTATACTTATTTGTATTGTACTGTGACTTGTGGAATAAACAAGCATACATTATATTATTATAATTAAAGATTGCAACTGGCAATGTATTATTTACTAATAATAATGTTTTCTTATGCCATAAGAACAGGAATCTTACGTATAGAAATGAGTATTTCATTGATTTTAGTATAGGAATGAAATAGCATTGGCAACCCTGCATCCAACCCAGCTGTAAATAAACGGTGTCAACGGTGATCATATTTTTAATATGATTTCTCAAGTTCCCATTTAAAATAAGAAATTTGTTATTTCGTTTATTTATTCACCTGTATAATAGGGATATTTTGGTTTAATGAGAACAAAATTTGTATTTGTTTTTGTATTAATAGCTTTGTTCGTAAACCTACACAACGTGTAGTGTAGTGTAGTGTAGTGGAATTCAGTGTTACACTAAAATAATAATTGTGCACCACTTTTAGAGAAAACATTTGGCTGTTCGTTAATTCAATTTGGGTAAACTTAAACTGGCATAACCTAATTGTAAATCATGGAGAAAATATTTGTGATGAGTGAATTATTTAGTGACTCTGGAAGCGAATCGGAATCAGATGATGAAGATTACCTTCGTAAAAAAAGAAAAATTCATGTTTTATTGAAGACCTGTTTCCAAAAAAATAAAAGAAAGTGCATTACAAATTTTATAGAACTTGTTCGAAACTGTGAGGAAGACGAATTTATCAGCCATTTTAGAGTAAAATCAAATATTGCCAAATTTTTAATGATCTATCTAAAATATCTACCAAGATGTGATAAAAGTTTCATTTTCGCACAACAAATATACTACACTACACTTTTACACCACCTTGTTAGCCAGTGTAGTAGTGTCTGCACTATTACACTACACTGGACTTTTCGAACACCTGGATTATACCTGCACTTGGCTACACTGCAATAAACGAACAACGTACTACTACACTAGTGCAGCAGTGGAAGGTTTACGAACAAAGCTAATGTCTTTCCGTCCCAGCTAATATTAATGTGTTAGTGATTTATATATTATTGTTTTCTTAACAGTTAATATGTAGAGAAGAAAAATAAATGAGTAAATCGAAAATCCGTTTCATTAATACATAAATTTTAAATTTCCCTCGTTTTTTTAAATCTGTGTAGGCTAAAAAAATAAAAATACTCAATTCGACAATCCTAATAAATTGGGACTCATTTCTGCTTATTTATTTATAGGCCTTAATTTTATCAAAGATAGTTGTAGTAGATATTTTGTTTTGCTTTACATTTAATGAGGTATTTGTTGTGAAGAATTTTTGGATGCTTGGTGCTTGGTGAAGAAATTTAAATTGCTTCATCTGGCATCTGGCAACACTGTTTGACAGTAATTAATTGACATAACCTAGAATTAAGTTTGAAAAATATATTTAAAAATCTAAATAACCATGGATGAAGTAGAAGATACAATATTTAACAGCGATCCTATTTATATGATGCATCTAGTTGGTAAAGAAGTGGAGTTAATAACTATTGAAAATGTTACTCACATTGGAACTGTATATGTGATAGATCCTATATATAAAACTACAGTTTTACATACAAACAGAAAATCATTTGACGAATATGAAACGGTTTTTGTACTTTATCACGCCATAAAGTCTGTTAAAATTTTGTCTGATAAAGCAGATGAAAGTTATTTGAAAAGTGTAGAACCCAAATCGTTCGAGGATAAGGATATAAAGAAAAACGTGTTAAAAAAATGGTTGGAGCATATGTTTATTAATGTAGTTGAGTCTGGAGACTATCTAAAAATAGACGATCATTTGGTAATAGTACCTCCCTATGGATCTGATAACTGTATTTGCAACAATACAATAATATTAGATAGAATTCAGAAAATTATTTCTCTAATGCCACCAGATTTTAAATAAGTAGGTAATAAAATACAAGTAATACAATGATTTAGGTTAATATGCAAATGTATAGGATACTTTATTTGATAAATATATAATAAATAATAGAAAACAAAAGTTCTTTACAGATAAATATGTAACATTTATAAAATATAAGAAATATAACAAATTATAGGTATATTAAATTAAATTCCTACATTTTACCATGCTGCAATGCTAATATTAGTGCTGTTATCTTTAGTTTTCTTGGTTTCTATGTTATCAACTTCAATATTAATTTGGTCGAATGTGTCCAAAAAATATTCAATTTTTTCTAATAAATTTGTAGCTACATTTGCAAATTCTTCCCATATTAAATATTCCTGTGTAACAAATATATCGTTGTCTTCAGTATGTTCCTCAACTCCAAATAATTTTTCTTCATCTAAAGAAAATACAAAAACGATCGAGTTATTCCTTGATATTAAACACAGCACAGAACATTAAAATATTGCAAATTTAGATAAATAAAATACTAACGAAAATAGATGAGTACGTCTATAGATGTATTAATTATTTATTAGTCAATGTGTGTACATTAACATTTACATTAAAGTTGTAATTTTACATACTAACAAATATTACTGATTATTTAGTAAATACTATTATTTGATATGTAATATTTTGTCACAAGTACCTTAGAGGGACCAGCACAGTCATGTGCATCTATTAAAAAGAACCCTGTAAGTTTATATCTATTCATCTTATTAGAAATAAATGGAAACTACTTTACGGCTAAACCACTATGTTAAAGATTTAAACAAAATCCTCTGTGTGCTTATTTTGAATGTATTTTAAATTTAATAGCTTCTTGGTGACCAAACGTGTTAGAATTATTTTTCTGGAAAAATGTAATAAAACTGTTAATAGAAGTAATTCACATCAAATATGTTTAGGCAGTATGAATGATTTTTGCCTTTCCGGTAACATTTAAAAAAAATACACATCCGGTCGTGTTTTGTAGGTGCAAGAATAATTTACTATCTAATTACCTATTTCCATAGAAAAAAATGGTAACAAAAGATTAAAATTTAAAAATTCTGGACATTTAGGCTTGCTACTTTGAGTCTCGGTTAAGGCTTGATTAACTAATCGGGTGATTAGACTGTGATTATAATTTTTAAAATAAATCAGTATGTACAGTCTAATCACCTGATGAGTTAATCAAGCTTTAACCTACAGTACTGACACTCAAAGTACCGGGCCTTAGATTCTTAGATACCAACCTAAATAGTCTGCTAGTAATATTAATAGTTGCTGTATTTCTGCATCTGATAGCAGTTCATATAGATCTATAGTGTCTATGCAATAATTCCAAAGTACTTGGCATACAAGGTTACCTAGTAACCAATCGTTTTCGCAGAAATCCTTAAGGATTTTTATTAATTTTGCCACACCTCCTTTTTTCTTAAATAAAGTTCTTGTTCGGTTGTCAGACATCAAATTTATGAAAACTCCAATTGTTGTTTTTAGCAAAGTTGGGTCCACTAAGAAAAATATATTTTTATATTAAGGTATTTAAATTATTTTTACAAACCTTTATCTAAGAGACATATCAAGGTATTATAAATTTCTGATTCTGATATGTAATTTCTAGTAATTTTCGACCTGGATAAATTTCCCAAAATTCTCATTGTTTCAATAACACATTCCTTGTTTTTCGATTTGGTGAACTCAGTTATTCCTGTAATGCATTAATAAAGTCGTCAACATTTATAAATTTTCTCTGTAATCTTACCTTCTACAATATCAATTTGCTTAATATGAAAAATGTCCACATCCAAGTCATTTGTGTAATAGTAAGATAAATTATTTAATGTACTCAAAATTGATAAAACCAATTCTTCATTCTTTTTGAAGGGGTTACTTATAAGAACTTTAAGCACTTCATCGATCAATTTGCTGCCATATTTTTCATTTAATTCTTTTCCAATTTCAGGATTTATCACCATATTTGCAATTACCCTTATTATCTGCAAAAGTTATTGAATGATTTATAAAACATTTCTTTTGTAATCTTTTTATTGTGAATACCTTTATCATTACATCTTCAGAGTCACTGTTTACTTGTTCTTCAGTATGTTCTACTTTTAGCGAACAATTATGAAGAGTTCTCTCCAGATAAATTTTCCATAAGTCTATGAGACATTTGATTGACCCTTCTTCATTAAAAAACTAAAATGCACATGTATTTAACTTAATAATATATTTTGTTTTGTTAATAAATACCTTTATTCGGGTATTATCTATTTTTGCGACAATATTTCCTAATGTGTATGTTAAACGTACAATTATTTCTTCATTTCCAGGATATTTGTCAAATAGATTAATAAGTATTTTGTATATATTTTTATATTCTATGATATTGTCGCAGCAGCAATCGTTTGTAGAAATTATACTGAAAATAGAATTCTATTAATACAGCAATTCTAAAAGAATTCTATAATAGCATTGTCATAAAAATTGGTCAAGTTATTTGTTCAGCGAATAAATCTAATAAAATTTAATATTTTAACTAGATCCTCATGTAATTTTGTTAATGTTGTATCGCAATTAATATAGAACATCACAATATTACTAAAATTTAATGAAAAACCTGAAAAACCATTATACAAGTATTTTATATTTTACCTCAGTGTCCTGGATATATTGGTAACAATGTCTAAATCAGAGGAAAATATTTCCAGTGCTTGACATAACTGTGCAATTGTTCCACATGAAATAAATGTATCATATATATGTTCTTCCGAAACTAAATTCCTTAAGGCGCCAGTCAGTTGAAATAATGCATGATTTGTTTGGTCCGGCATAACATTCTTTTCTAATTTCTAAAATGCTTGTAGTATAAATATTGTAAAAATTGTGAGTAAATGTTTATTTACCGCTGTATTAATTATTTTTATGTGAAGCACCATTAACTGCAATATACCTAATCCTAGTATTTTTTCTAACAATTTAGGATTCATTGTCAGGAATTTGACTGCCCCGTAACCATAAATACATGCTTCGGCATCATCTAATGGGCTAGACCTTCCAAGAGCATCGAGAAATAGTTCTAAAATTAATAAAGAATAATATATATGTTAATTACCTTCTGTGCAGATGTTTACCTAGAAGATTTTTTTGGAAGAACAAATTGTCATTTTGATCATTTTTTGCAACTTTGAATATCAGTTTGCAGACTCCAGTCAAGTTATTACCAGTTACTTTCAGCTGAAAATAGTATCGTAATAAAAACAGAATTTGCGACAAATTGCAAATTTAAAGCATGTTAACTTACTGATAATATAACTTTAGCAATATTTAGTAAAATTTGTTCACTTCGTGATTCTACAAATTTATATAAGCATTTCAGGATTTGTATTTTTATTTTTGACGATACTTTGGAGTTCACCAAATTTTCTTTTTCCATGCAATCGTATAATTCAAGTAATAAACTGTTTATTTTTTCCTCATTACCATTCTCACTTTCAAAATTTAAGTCTTGCAAAACGTCATCCACAGATCTGTCCTTTTTACTATCTGCTAAAATGGATTTTTGTGTTTTATTTGATAATTGTGTTTTGTGCAACTGATTGGTAAAGTAACCTGTATTGAGGAAAAGAGTTTCTGAATGTTCAATTATTTCTTTGTTATCAAATATTTTTTGTAAATTTTGTGGTCCCAAGAGCAAACATTGAGATAAATTTTGCTGTTTCAAAGAAGGCCTTCCAAAAACTGAGTCTGACTGATTGAAATCTGTACGCTCTTGTGGAGAGCTGAATGCATTTCTCGATTCGATTGGTCTTAACTCAGCTGGACATTCTCCTTCTTCTGGAACTGAAAATACATTTTGAAAAATAATAAATCATAATTCATTAAGGTTGTTTATATTTTAATTTAAAGATGTATTTATCAATTTAATTATTTATCCTTGGATATATAGGGTGTCCCATTTTAATCGATCATCCCGAATAACTTTGCAGGATAATTTCCTATTGAAAAACTTCTAGAACAAAAGTTGTATGGTTTTAAGGGGGCTGTACGATAGTGACCTTGGTTTTGACACAGAGGTCAAACTTAGGTCATTTGGAGGTCACTTCAGAATCTCAAATAGAAACCAGAAATGAAAAGAACAGGAAATTTTATGTTTTAAGATGTATACTTGATCCTGGGTCAGATTGATCCCTAGGGGCGCTCTAAATGTCAAATCACCTTTCTGATTGAAATGACTACATTTTATGGCAAAGATTGATTAATTTTTGTGTCGAATTAAGTGCAAACTACTATGGTCATGATTTATGGTCTAATTGTGACTCTTATCTTAAGTCCTGGGGTTAAAGTTAGAGGTCATTTAAGGGTTAACTTTAGATTTTGGGGATTAAAATTGTACACCCTATATATTTGCTTATATTGCTCGTATGTTAAAGCAAGATACTTACGGTTATCTAAGGATGAGGTATTTTTGAAAATTTTTCTCTTCTGTAACGGTCTGCAATTATCCAGTGAGGGCAGTTTGACTTTGTGAGAATCTTTTAGCGTTATATTAAAAATTTTATCATTTATTTCTGATAGGGAATTCGATCGTTGATGAGTAGTTAACTTATTAACAGTTTGAGTAGTTGGTATAAGCGGTTTTGTTACCATATTCGGCATAAGAACCATATTGTCTGGAGGGGTACTTGGTAATTCTGTTTCATTTTGAAGATATCTTAAGCTGCAAAATAATGATTTCTACCTATTTTGCATTTCCAACATATGCAAAAATAGAAGAATATAGGAAAGAATTATTTAAATTTACTATATTTTTTGAGTTAGTGTTAATCCTAAATTGTCTCAATATTTTTTGTACATAAAACATTTTATATAACAATGAAAATAAAGGGGTATATTTCCCTTGAAGGGTTATGGTAGATTACATATATTTTATCTGATATTTTAATAACCTTTTAAGATATCTTATTCATATTTTAAACATTTCGACATTAATTTACACAATATTATTCAGATCCAACATATTCGTAAGGCGTAATATTGTGGGGTGAATATCATATCTCTCAGTTTTTTATTTTTTCCTATTCTAAAAATATTATTGAAAAATATTAATATCTCAGTATTAATGAGAAAAAATGTTCTTTTGTTTAATTTTGATAAATTGAGTTGAGTTTTCATATGAAGTGTGCATTTGTAAAACTTTAATGCTGTGAGATATCACATGTTTTGAACAATTTTCATAAAACAGGTACTTTGTGTTATTGCTTAAAAATATTGTATTGTAATATTTGCTTTTGGTGAAGGAAATAAGTGCAGCAGATAATTTTTAAGACTGGAAATTAAAAAACACGATGTAGGTACAAATTTTATTTTTTTTAAAACCTAGAATTAAAGTTCTAGTTTCATGGAAACTGTATTTTAAGGTGAATGCAATAGACATTCAATTATGCTTATGCGTTATGCTATAAATGCAATAAACAAACAATATTTTTTTCTATAGTTTAGAGATCACTGTTTTTAAGAAATTAAAGAAAATGATATGTATTAAAAATGTTGATGTGACAGGGTGGGTGTCCCTTACTTAAGGTGTGCGATTTAAATAATACTACGTAAATTAATAATGTACAGATGCTTTAAGTTTAAGTTTAAAAAATAGAAGTTACCTTGAATAACTTTTATAAGGTATCATAAAAATATAATATCTACCAAACTTCCTGTGAAATGGTATTTCTCCCTTATTTTCCAATTTTGGAAAAAGGTTTTATGAAAAAATCCTTAAAATGGATGCAGGAAATTTAGAACCACCCTGTATACAAGTTTTATATAATTATTAGTTTAGTTTAGTTTAGTTTTAAAAATCCTTAAAATGGATGCAGGAAATTTAGAACCACCCTGTATACAAGTTTTATATAATTATTAACAAATGAATACAATTATTAACTTTTTAATTCAAATATTTTTTGGGAAAAAGAAATGATTATTTCACTAACAAATTCCAAAATTTTCAGCAATTTTTTAAATTTAAACATAGCAGCTTAATAATGGGCTGCAAGTTTCAATATCTTCAATTGAGTGATTATCGCACAAGTTCATATTTTTTTTTATATAAAAATTATAGGTATCTTTTAGTAACTATATCTTGTGTTATTTCTTACTGTATATCAATTACCTGAAAGAGCTTGGAGGTCGATCGGACTTTTTCTTTCCAAACAGCAATCTTTCTTTGTCCCTTGGTGTAAATGGTCTTTGCGTTTGCAAGGGTTTTATCGATGGAGCGGCAAAATTATTTTCTGCCATTTGAGACTCTATGGAAAATAGTACTTTAATTAGTTGTAAAGAAATATTCCATTCTAAAAAATTGCCGGCAAATTGTGTGAAACTAAAAATACGTAGATTTTATTAACGCCTTTATTCAGTTCTACTATAATTACATAGAACTCATTGAACCTTTATGAGTTGGTAAAGTTCAATAATGGGTTGTAACTTGTAACCCTTGATTCACGTAAACAATTGTTTCACATGAAAAACGCGTGTTGCATGTTTATATATGATTCCAGGGTTTATACTTCATCACGCATTTTACTCATTATTCACGAGAGCACTAACGTCCACAGTTAATTTAGTTTTCGCAATGTTAGTAAACCTTATCTTTGTATAGAAAAGTGCGATAGGTACTTATGGCTACATTAGAAAACATTTTTTCAATTGTAAAAAAAGGATTGGATTCCATATTCCAGATAGGTACATTCATTCCCTTTATTATATAAAAACATATATGAGCGGAAAGAAACGCGTTACTATATCCAGGGTGTAACTTAAATAAAAATATCTTAGGATGATTTATAGGATGCAGAATTTTTTGAAAAATCAATGAATGAACGTCAGCGATTTTGTTGACCTATTGATATGATGATACATCATCAAAACACAACATACTTATTGGCTAAATTATCGGAAGTAAATTATTCATGTCTTTTAATCTGAGAAACTTCGAAAATCGCAATTATTTCGAAAATTATACCTCACCATCAAAATTTATTATTTATTTGTAAATAAAACACTTATTTCGGAAAATTGTGATGTTATGCAAAAAAACTTGATTTATAATTTCATATTTATAACATTGACGACGCCCGATATTTACGTCATTGATTTTTTGTGAAATGTCAGTAAATTAAATTATATCCCGAATCGACTTGTACTACACTTCTAAGTTTCAACCTTTTCTATATTAAAGAAATTTCAAATTTTAACTTTGCAGGGCCGTACTTTCGTAAATACGCTCAATAACTGACCAAAAGACCATTTTCATAATGTTCCATGCTAATCAACGTGAAATTATGGACCACCCTATACATATAGGTACTACCTTATGTTTTATTCTAATGTATGAACTGTACATGTATAGTTTTTTCTGACTTATTCTTACACAATTGACTTCAATGAAATTATTACTGTTGGTGGAAAATTACAATTTCTGTTGGTGTTGTACAGGGTGTTCGGAAACTTATGAGCCATACTCAATGAAAATAAATCAATTTAGATCAAGTTACATTAGCATAATTTTGTTTACTTAAAAAGTTACGGTTCCGAAAATATTTTTTATATTTTGTGACATCATTCCAGACAAAAGTGGATTTCAGTATTCTACTGCAGTTGTTAGTTGGAGAGCCGAGTTTTTGCGGGAATTCTGGTCTGTTCTGCTTTTTAATAAATTTCTAGCTGTATTAAATATTTTTTCACTTTAAACCACCTACCATCAGGTGTTCAAATCTCAGTGCAAGTATTGAAACATTTCGCTCTGAAATTTAGGTTTGTGAGATTAACTGTTTACAATAGTCGATCGTCTGATTTGAGAGTGCTCTTCAAGTTTATCAGTAATTAAATGGTATTTGCTTTCAAGAGTATTCTTTTAGATTTTATTCTCAATTGAAAATTGCTGATGCCATTAAATTTGAACTACCTGTTAAGGAAATATATGGATAAGAATAAGAAGAAAAAATTAGCAAATACAACGCAGTTAAAAATGAAAGGAAAAGATAAATATAGCTAGATTTCAAAATAATCTGCGCAGAATGCAAGTTATAAAGGTGTTGGGTTCTTGTACTATGATTTTATATCTGTAAATTCTAAATGAAGTAATTTTCAGCATTTAAATCGTTAGAGAAAAAAAAATATAAAAACGTAGGTTCAATTGTAAATAAAAATTAGGACTACGTACCTACATTTCTATGTCAACACTAATATTTGATATCTTATTGAAATATGTAAATATTTTGAAATTGACTCATCTCCAACAGAGTCAAATATTACCTGACTGTAAAAAGATTAAGATGTCATTTCCAATATTACAGTTTTAACAGTTTCGTTCCATTAAATTCTAGAACGTGCTCTTTGCAAAACAAAAAGTAATCGATACCTACTCAAATATTTTTAGAAATCGGCAAAACGCGCTAAAACTGAAACATTATGGGTAACATACCGCGTATGGCAATTCTTGCTTCATTAATGATTTCAGCACTGGTTTTCCTTTGGGGAGGTTCGTAAAACGGTAGGGGCGCTTTTACTGGGTTGGATTTCATGGTAGCACCGTCACTCTTGACTTGCATAGTCGATTGCCACACTTGAAGTCATTTTAAAACAGACCTGCAGACAGTAAACATTTTCGATTTAAAGCGATTTTGAATAAGTAATACGTGTAATTCCCTTACCGATGCGCAATTGGTTTATAAGTGGACAGCAAAGCTTCCCATATGTTGCGTCGGTTCTCACTGAAAAACTACCCGCCTTACCTGGAATAATAATAAAACTATTGATTATTTCGGTGAAATGTAACTCGCAGACATGCAAAGATCTGTCCCAGGAATCAATAAAATGTGGAATAAACTATTTTATCGTGCACGATGGAAAAGTCATTGACACGGCGTATGTATATTATGGACAATAATTGTCATTTCTGACATTATTGGGTTAGATAGGAGCACTTTACGTGTTGTATACGAATCCAATATTTTGTATTTGGCCTAATTAGGTATATTTCCCGTTTTGGTTGAATCGGCGAATAAGACAAATTGTTCATTTACATTTGTTGAGTAAATTCCTATCGATATACCTAGATAGATATCTTTTACAGGAATCTTGCTCTACTTCTAATTTTCAGAAATTTGTTACGTGGGTGCTTAATAGACTAGCGGGGTCATACATTTGCGCTACTCAAATTGAATCTTTAATATAATCGAAAATAATAATAGAAATATTTACGCAAAATGATAATATTTACACTGCTAGAGGTGCCCTCAGTTTCTAGTTCCTTTTTTTTTTATTATAAAAACAATTATTAGGTACTGTTTTTAAAACATTTGTTTTATAAACTGGATGCAAGTCGTTAATGTTCCTGAAACTTGCGATGTGTTTCCAATAAAGCACTGATATGAAATATTCTAGCAAACTTGCAATGACCTTACACAGTAAAATTACATAATTAAAATGAATGTAACTTTGTTGAAATATATTGTACAGTTTCTTGTTCAGTATATAGGTATACAATTATATTAACCAGTGGCGGAGATACCCGGTAGTCATCTATATTAAGAATCTGAAAATTTCGGTCCATGTGGGAATTTCCATAACTTCATTGAATTAGAAACCGTACTTCAAACGAAAAAGAAAACTGGTAATTTCACAAAAACGATTTATAGATTTTTTTTATTGTAAATACAATTTTAACTACAGTATAATTATTATTACCTAAATAGAAAAACATTTGCTCAGATATTATAAATTTCTTGAAGGCAAGAAGCAAAGTGCGCTGTTGAATTTTTCGGACTTTTAATTATTTCATTATATTTAAAACTGTATTTACAATAAAACATTCGAATACATATTTGTTTTTGGTGAGATACCTTTTTTTAATATAATTCAGAATCAAATGCACTCGGAAAATGTCCATAATATCCAGAAGTATCTAGATTCTGAGATTCTTAGTATTTTCGTTATTGGTTAATAAAATATTGCATGTAAATTAAGTGAATTTCTACCTTTATTTCGTTATGTCGCTAGCTCAAGCATCTTTCAAGATATCTGATACATTAAAAAAACTTACAACCTTATGCAATTTGCAAATAAAGCAATTTTTGACTAAGGCATATTTGGCCCAATTATCATATTTTTGCCTCAAGATCGTCTATTAACAATTGTGCGTCTAAACAATGTATTATTTTTTTTATGAAACTCAACATTTTCAGATGTGTAAATTTTTGTTTCCGTTTTAGTTAGTGTTCTAAGTTTTTAAAAGCCAATAAAAGACCCTGTATGTTCAAAAAATGACTGTATGTTCATCGAAATTATATGACGTGATAACGAAATCTCAAAAGATGTTTTTTAAAATTTAGTATTTACCCCTGTCTCTGTTTATAAATACCTACTTATGTAATTCAAATGACAACAGATATTTCCATTGCATTGTATAGTTTGAAGGAAAATTGAGAATGTTCAGAAGAACTCTTAAGTATTTATTAGTACCTTATTTATTTAATTAAAAGACAGTAAATATATAAATAAGTATGGCGATAATTAGCAGTTACTAAGTAAATTCGAAGATGACTATGTGCTTTCTCTTTGATTTGATCTAGCATAGATTAGTAGTAATTTTTTGTCCTTGATTTAAAAATTTATTATACCATTGCGAGAACGGTAATTATTGGGTCTCCTAGTACATATGCAACCGGCAATACAGCAGTATTTTGGATAGACGAACTTCTAATTTTTAAGCATTGCACGTCACGTATAATATGTGCAAAATAATTTTTTTTAATTTGTCATAAAATGTAATTTTCTTTTTATTTAAATTTTAATTTAATATTAACATTCTGTTTTTCAAAATTCATACTGCTTTAACTAATAAAAATGAAAGTTTTGCGAAAAATGAAAAAACTAATCGTGTTTATTAGCTGATTATGAAAAAATATAAATACAGGGTGTATCTAAATAACACCGAAAAAATATAAGGGGCGATTCCCTGATGAAAATTATAAATTACAAAATAATACAGATAATGTACACCAAGTTTGGTTTCTTTAGCTCGATATACATGGAAAATGAAAAAAAAACAATTTTTTTTTAAATATTTGGAGGGGCGTAACTTTTCAGGGGAGTTTTTTAAAAAATTTGTTTACCAATTATTAATTTTCATCAGATAATTGCCACTTACATTTTTTCGGTGTTATTTAGATATACCCTGTATATTACAGATATGCAACCCTTTCCGAGATTCCAGGATGGGCACCCTATTTTGTAATTTTTTATTTAATTTTCATGGGTCTAGAAATCATTATCTAAAAACCGGTATTTATTTATAAAAAATTTGACCAATTTTCACCAGCTATTACCTGTCACCTTAGAAATATGCCAAAAAAATTATAAACAACTGTCTTCGTTTTTTTAAAATAATAATAAAATATAAAAACCTGTTAATAATTATACAGGGTGACACAACTTATCCAAACAAATTTGGGAATTGATGCGGCATGAGAAATGGAGTCAATATCGTAAAAAAAATTTTTTGTAAAATCCTTATAGTTTCCGAGAAAAAAATTATTGAAGTTGTAGTACTTTCAACCATTACATAGCTGGATAACTGTAATCTCTAGAGTCATTCTCAATAAACGTGGAGAGCTACGTTGCCTCAGCGACTCCGAATACTGAAATCCGATTTTACAATCGTCGTTGCGATAGTGTTTACAAAAGTTTTTTAGTGTCAAAAATGGCTTGTGTGTATATAGCAACTCGGAGTTGATGGATATCATTAATTTTTGGTGAAACAAGAAAACATTTGTATTATGGTGAAGCATTTGTGTTATGGTGAAGCAAGACAAGGTGTTAGTTCGTAGAAATTGAGTAAGACGGACCTAAATGTGTTTACACGTCGGTGGACACGATTTTGAACAGATGTTGTAACATCAGGTATATCAAATTATTTTATTATTTAAATCCACAAATTAATTTTATTAATTAATAACAATAGCAGCAAATTCAGTTGAGTTTGCTGATATAAAATAGGTGCTATAAAATTCTATTTATTTCTTTGCTTGCGAAGTTTTTGTCCATTTTTATCACACCGTCATGTAGGTGGCATTGTGCAAGGTCAGGTTTTACAGTGGACTAGATTCCAGTGCCGTGCAGAAGTGTATTTTAAAATAATTTTCGAACTGCCTTTTTTTGAATTTTTTACAAAATTATATATGTAAGAGACCCCTGTACATCCAAAAATTTTTTTTGGATAAGTTCTAAATCATCCTGTATATATGTATTTTATATTTATTATACTTACTGTACGTTTTTTAAGTTGTAGTTTATCATTTAGCACAACGGAAATTTCAATAATGCAAACATTTTTTGTAAATCTCAAACAGGATGAAAATAGAAAAGTAACTTCTTAATTTAGATAAATCCGGATTTGTCTGGTATTCAAAATTGTTAATTGTTAGATTCATTCACATAAGTCATCACTCGGTGTATCTACAATATTTTCTCAAAATTATTTTAATGACACTTGCACAATTCTTCGATAATATTCACTTCGGTCTTATAAATTAAACTTTTCATGTAATCTCGTAGGTAAAAATCACACAGCCTGGCACACTTGGAGTTCATTACACTTCCATTATGTAGCCTATCCATTTGTTAATTATTTAAATAGTATCCAGTACTCATCAAACAATGTTTCAAATGTGGAGGAACTCTGTCCCCACAATAGTAATACCATATTAATTTTATTCTGTTGTAAATGGATCCATTTTAAACATAAAAAATATAACATTGATGTAAACTGTAATCACTAGCAATTGTCGTGCCCATCATCCCAGTAAAGATAAAAAACTTTAATATAGTTAATACCCCCCTTTTTTTTTGTTGGATTTTTAGCTTTTAATAAGGATATTGATATTCATATATTACCCCTGCTACCTTTAAATGGATTAATTAATAATTTTATTATTTATTACTTCTGTTTTGGACATTGAAAATTTTATTTGAAATTTTTGAAGATGCTCCTTTATTTTTTGTAAGAATGTGAAACGTTTACTTTATGAGTTTCGATAATGAAATGAGCTCCACGAGCCGCTTGTACACATTGCCACTGACCACAATAAAGATAATCATTTTTTTTTTGTAAAATAGTCAAAGCTTAAAATTCCTTACAAAATACCAGAAAAACTGTTTTTCATAAATGTAAATTTTCTTGAGAAAACTGTATAACTAATCTAAAATGGAATTATCTGATTTTGAAGCTATATATAAAGTTTAAACTTGGAATATATCTAATTAAAAGCAAAAATCCACTGAATTCAGATGTACCAGTGGCAGGGATACCAGAAGTTACTTCCAGTAAAAATCCCAGAAATTCAGCACCACTGAATATCTACTTCTAGCTCCTTATTGTGTTTCCAAGAATAAAGATATTTTTCATTTTATTTGAAAAACAAACCATTTTCGATTTGTTACTTTTTTAACTTTAATTAATGCTAACAAGTATTTTGTTAAACCTAACGCTAGAACTACAAGTTTCGTTTCATGAAAAAAGCTAATAGAGTTTTTTGCCGGGTTTCACACGGTACCTCTAACAAAATGCAAAATTTCTGTTACTTATTATTTTCAAACTGTCAAAGTAGTTCCTATTTAACATTGTATTTTTAGCAAAAAAATCCAATGAACTCTTTAGAAATGAGGAATTAATAGTATATTATTCAACGAGCGTATAATGATGGGTATTATTCACGAGGTGAAGTTTACGGCCNGTTTCCAAAAATAAAGATATTTTTCATTTTATTTGAAAAACAAACCATTTTCGATTTGTTACTTTTTTAACTTTAATTAATGCTAAAAAGTATTTTGTTAAACCTAACGCTAGAACTACAAGTTTCATTTCATGAAAAAAGCTAATAGAGTTTTTTACCGGGTCTCACACGGTACCTCTAATAAAATGCAAAATTTCTGTTACTTATTATTTTCAAACTGTCAAAGTAGTTCCTATTTAACATTGTATTTTTAGCAAAAAAATCCAATTGACTCTTTAGAAATGAAGAATTAAAAGTATTTTATAGTTTTTGGTTTGGTAATATCAAAGAAAATAAAAAAAAGTAATATTTCGAGTTAAAGCAGTCATTGAATTTTCAAAATATTAAATGGCATTGTATTTCTAGGGTTTTCAGTGAGGGTGACTTTTGGTATCTCCGCCACTGGCACACATATTCAAAAGTAGTGCATTCTTGCCATCAATTAGGTAAATTATTAGCACAGACAAAATAGCTATCGCCCCAGACCGTTACTGGAATACGCCAGCAGTTTTAAATTTCCGAATTGCCGATAGAGTACACCACCAGCAGAATTTTAGGAAGAATCAAATGTAGTGACCCGCATTCCTATGTGTAGCCTAGCAACATATAAACAACAGTTTGGCAATGTTGCCACGTGTACTTACGGATTTATTTTGTACACTTTTTTATCAATGCCTGTTTTTTGCATTACTGTATTTACTTAAATTAAATTAAATTAAATTGATAAAAATGTTTTAAAGAATGAACGAATATGTACCTATGTAGTCAACTTAGACGATCGGATATTCTACACGGTTATTTAATCATAATTTCGTTACTTAGCTACTATTTTCATTTTTTGGTATTGAAATACTGCAGAAAATATATTTCCAAATAAACAAAAATCATAATGATATTTTAAACAGCTTGTAAAATAATTTTTTTAATATTTTATGAGAAATTTATTTAATATACAAGGTGGATTATTAGTACGTTGCCGATTGTAGGTACAGGGTTTTTATTTGTATTTTGACATTCACTTATAGGTTTAATAATTAAATATAGAAAAATCCAAATGTATGACTTTTACTTTATTTCTTTTGACATCAAAATTTGCTGACATAAAATATACTTTTAAAGTAAAAAAATCATTAAAAAAATTAAAACACATCCTTATTGAAATAACAAATGATTTTTATAACTAACTTTTACAACAGGATAAGGAGAATACCTAAAAATGAATTAATATCAAAATACTTACCAATTTTTACAAATCTTCAAAATGCAAGTAATTGTGATGATACAGTTGAAAATATGCTTTTGAATTGCGTTAAAAACAAATTCAGAATTATCAAACATTTCGTCCTGTATTTTTTCTTTCAATACTTGTAAATTTTGAGGTCTTTAATAATATATTTTGTTGAAGTGTGCCCACAAAAATATGTCTAAAGGACTGAGTTCGGGGCTATTTTCTGGCCACCTAAGGTTTCTAATAATGTTTTTTTCCAGTGTTCGTTGACGAGATTCGTCCTCCATAATAAATTTGACGATATCCCTGAAGAACTTTTGGACATTGTTGTTATTTGAATAATACAGTTTAATTATGTTTTATTTTTCATCATCAGAATTATCCATTTTAATTTTTTTAAATTAAAATGGATTTTTCTGATAATGATAAATTCCATGTATTTTTAAAAGAAGGTTCGTTTCTGTCATTTTTGTCTGACTGTGAGCGACAGAGACATAGTTATAGTGTGCGATAGAGATAGAGTGATTTTGTCGTAATAGAAGGGTTCTCTCTTTTTCTGCTGTCCTCGGGAGTCTCTGGGACTTCTCCAGCATCTTCAGGAGGGGGCGGCGTGGGGTAGAGCGTGTGGCCTTTTTAGCGTTCATCATTGAGCTATGACGTCACAACGTATGAGAAAAGATTGAAAAGTATAAACAGCTTTTGCTCGTAACTCAGAAATAGTTGGAAATATAAATAAATCTCCTATTGGTTCTGAGTAGAGCACTCAGAGGTTGAGGCAGGGCGGGACGTCACAATATATGAAAGAAAAAAAAAATGATTTTTGCTTGTATCTCAGAACTGACTTGAAATATCAAAAAATTTTCCATGATTGGTGATCGAGTGAAAAAGGTCTGAACTCCGTATGTCGGAAAAAAAATTTGGGACCAACGGTGTATGTCATAGAATAAAATTCGGAATTGGTGCTTTGAATCGAAAAAATAATTGAAAAAATCTCACCACGTCCCTGGTTCTGATTGTTCCTTCTGCGTTGAAGAATGCAAAAGGTCCGAAGTTGATATATCAAAAATAAATTTTGGAAACAAGAGGTGTATAAGGCGATACATTAAAAAAGGTTTTATAACTCGGAAACAATGCGTTGAATCAAAAAAATAATTAAAAAAATCCCCACACCCGAAAAGGTCCAAAGTCTGTATGTTGAAAAACCAAAAAATTAGTCAAAAATTGCAACAGCAGTAGCGAACACATTATATTATCTCTGTAAGGGATCATTGATTGATGATTTGTTGTTGTTTTTTAATAAATTTCGTATTCAACCACTCCTTGAGGTTCCAGCAATTTTACAGTGTTAATTTTTTTGAACACCTTGTATAACAAATATGAGCACTACCAATGGCATCCATGATATGCAACACTTGTGTCAATAATTATTTTACCTATACAGGCTGTTACAAATTCACTTCTCACTATAGGGATCTCGGAAACAGTAAGTGGTACGAAGTAACTTAAATGGGAGCAATGTTGTGTAATCAGGGGACTAACAGTATGCCTCTAAAATATCAAGGCTAACATGATTAGTTTTCAAAATATTTGAAAAAACTCGAAATTTTGGGAATCCGTTTTTTTTTCATTTCAGCCTTGTTTGAGGTGATATTGAAAAAAGAAGAACACTTTCTCATGGCCACTTTTTGCCCTCTATCGAATGGCATAATCAATTTTTGTATGTATTGTAACGTTTTGTCTCTCCAGGACCATCATCAACTTCATTTTTTTAAAATACAACCCTAGAAATTTTATTACATTTTTTTGCAAGCCTTCATGACCCTCAATACTGTACTGCCTCAACCCGAACTAGATCCAGATGTTTTGTCTCGAAAAATTCATCTTTAGTCTATTCGTTCCAAATTCATTAAATTTTTTATTTAGATTTCTTTGTTTATTGAATTATTTTACACTGTAAGTGTTGTTAGACCTTGTGAAATTCATCTAGTTATTTAAATTATTACCACTATGCGTTACAATAAAACATTTATTATTATTATTATCTATTACCATTACTTGGTCATACATAACTCAATAAGTTGTTGCTTCAAAATAAAAACATTAAAATTTTAATTTTATTATGACAAATTAATTCTTAAAATTGCATATGAACAACCAAAACTGGTTATATTATTCAATAAAAAAATTCAGTAAATGTTCAAAAACGTTTTCGTTTTGGCAATGTTGAAAATGAAGATCAGTGTAATATTATCGGAATTTATTATATCTGTAACCGCAACTGTGAAAGAGCATGTCAGATGTATTTGTATGAATATCCTGAAAAAATAGATCGGAATTTGTTTGAATTTTGAGCACTTGAAGAAGTAGAAATAACTATGGACACGGGAATCAAACTTTAATAATGTTTTATTTTATTGCGTGGTGGTAATAGTTTAAATAACTAGATGGATTTCACAGGGTCTAACGACATTTACAGTGTACGATAATTCAATAAACAAAGAAATCTAAATGAATACATAAAAGATGAATTTTTCGAGACAAATCGCCTGAATCTGGTTAGGGCTGAGGCAGTACAGTATTGGGAGTCAAGAAGGCTTGCAAAAAATGTAATAAAACTTCCAGGGTCGTATTTAAAAAAAATGAAGTTGATGATGATCCTGGAGAAAATTTCCTTTTTTTTCAAATACTTCGAAAAGTAATCATGTTCATCATTTGATTTTCTAGAGGCATAATGTTGATCCCCTGATTACTCAACTTTGCCCCCATTTAAACTACTTCGTACCTCTTACCGTTTCCGAGATCCCTGTAGTGAGAAGCGAATTTGTCACGGCCTGTATAGAGAAGTCAACAATAAGAGAGCAGTAGCCATCTAAGGATACACAACCTGTATAATGCAATTTTTTTAAACGTGTTAATATCGTACCAAATTGGAAGTCAACGCACAAATCTAAAAATATTAATTAAGTTTTTGAGTTCTCCCATTCCAAGGTGATATAAAATAAATAATGAATTAGGTAAATTCATAGTTTTAATTCTAACTTGATTTATTTTATTTAGCATTTATCACAAATGTGATTTCTAAACAAAAGATAAGTTCCTTATAACTCTTCAGTTACATAATTAAATGCATTAAATTTATTTGGCAACAAAGCCACCACTAGAACTGCCAATGTCGCCTATTACAAGTAGAAGAGTTACCACGCTAAATTTTATTGCTGGATGCCCGCTAACAAAAGCCTGCATCCTTTTCGGGTTGCCAATTTCCAGCATTTAACACGCAGTCTGTAGCGATAAGCTATATTGTGTCTGTGTTATTAGTCTAAGTTTCATCATTGTCTATCAAATGTCTTCAGCTGAATTTTTTAATTTTTTGAAAACTGTTGATTTGTGGCACCCATAACATTTTTAGTTTAAAAATCACTCAAAGAATCGGCTCTCAAAATTTATCGATGTACTTAATTAACATCCTGTATATTTGTATACTGCAAAATAATATAATAAATGTGTGCTTTAGGAATTCCAATGCTAAATCCTTCAGCTGTATGTGATCTTCACATTAAAATAGTAGTAGTAAACCACAAAATTGGTGTTTAGCGAAATGACTATCGTCATCTGTTGATAGATTATGCAACTATATTAGTTTTTTTTTATTGTGAATATGGGAATAATTTATAGCAAAAAAAGTATAGAAAAAATCTGTTTATTAAAAAAGCACTCTGCATATACAGCATAAAGTTTTACAAAATCATGTACTACTGTATAAATTATTGTAGTGGAAGTCTAACAGTCACAAAAACTACTGCTTATCCAAATTTGACACAATTTCGAACCACTGTCGCAAAGCATCACTTAATACATTAGGTAAAGAATTGATATCTCTTAAGATGATATAAAAAGAAAACGGGAAAGTATCCATATAATTTTCAATCCCTAACAATTTCCCATCTCTAAACACGGGCATTCTTATATCCAAGACAGAACTTTTATTTTCGGGATTATCGATAATTACGAATACCATAAATATGCCACACAGTTTCGCCCTTCTTATGGCTTGCGTGACATAAGTTTCCCCTTCCGAAAACACTCCTCTGCCGTCACTAACGATAACTAACAATTTGGCATTAAGAGCGGATGAATGAACTTGCGACTGGTTGAATATTTCTGTAGCAAAATCAACTAGTTTGGCCACATAGGTCTTACCCTGGTCGAATCTAAACTTCTGCAACAGCTTAACTCCACTTTTATCAGTAAACTGATCCGTCAACTTATGTAATACTTCCACTGTTTCTCCAAAGCTTATGACGGATAACTGTCCACTCTCCAGTAAAGTTAGAGCTTTTGAAATAAGCGACACGCTCTCAAACGCTAACTCTTTCGAATGATTGTCGGCCATACTTGATGAGTCATCTATGGCCAGCACGATCTGATACTCTCGTTTGGATGGTTTCGTTCTGCGCAACCAAATTTTGTCTTTTCGGAATTGTGACGCGATGTACGGTATAACTTTCCTCATATTAATTCTCCGTCCAGTCCTGAAATCTCCTTTCAATCGACTTGCCTGAGTGGGTTCTAAAACAAGTCTCAATTGCTCCGATAGATCTTGTGCCAATGAGGCGGTTACCGAGGTAATTTTTTGCCATGTCTTTTCAGCTTCTGCACTGGGTGGTGGTTCGTTCCATGCCATAAACTGTTTTTCTACTTCCGACCTCAAATTGTTTATTTCTTCCGGTGAAAGTCTAGTTGCTGAGGTCTCAAAAATGTTACTGTACTGTGTGTGGTGAGTTGACTCCGTATTTCGTGGAACTGTTGTTGTTCGTACTATATCTCCTTCTACATCTATATTTTGCGTCTCCTCTAAAATGTCACCTACAATTGAATACAATAATTTAGACAATCTTTCTACTTATATACATATTGTATTTAAATAAAGTACTACTTGCAAATAAAGCAACTTTAGTTATTATCTGGTAGCACTTGTACCCCATTTAAATACACCTTGTACACAGCATGTCCTGGTTAATAGGCCAGTGAGCAGGGAGGAAAGTTTCTTCATATTTACCTAGGATATAGACAAAAGGCAGTTAGACGTTTCTTACTTGATTTTTGAGAAAAACCGAATGACAAAAACAGCCTTCGAAAATTTTTTCATACAAAAATAAGAAGTTATTTTTATTCTTGAGCATTTTTTGTTCGTTTTGTTAGTTTTTTTGTTTCGTTTTTTCTTCGTTTCGTTTTTTTGTTTGTTTTTTTTGTGTTTTTGTTTTGTTTGTTGTTTCATATTCACTAATTTTTTTATACTCTTTCTAAGCAGGTTTATTTTTTTACTGAATATTATAACAAATTATAAATCTTTAAATGAAACACCCTATATACAGTGTGTGCCATTTAACACTCTCGCTGCCAATATTTCCGAAATTAATAAATTTATTTTAGTTCCAGAAACTGGGGCTGTTAGGTCCCTTGAAATTGTAGTTAGAACTGTTAGTTCAAATCTTTCTGTATAGATGGCGTGGTGATACTAAAAAATTTTTTGATCCCTGGAACATGCAAATGCAGTCCATCTGACAGATCGTTAAATTTTGAGTAATTTTTGTAATTCACCAAATAAAAAAACTTGGCTAGACATAATTTTCTCTGGCTAGGAATGTTTGACAACATCGAACAAATGACATCCTACCATTGCGTTTCAACTATAGCCAGTCCAATCAAGGAACTCCTGGTGTAACTACAAAGGGGAAAAGTTTATGGTCGTAGCGGACAGTTTGTCTTGCCTTATTAATGCTGAGTGGATCAAATAAGTATGTTAGAAAGTTGTTCAAACACTTTGAGGCATTTGATATGATTGTTTCTGACAATGGCACCCAGTTCATCTCACAGAATTTGCTTGATTGTGCTTTGAGTTCGACATCGTATATCTATGTTCGTCACTCTGTACGTCTCAAGAAAATGGTCTGTCTAGCCGAAAGGATAGTTCAAATGATCAATAAATCAATCCCACACAATCTCAATAAAACAATGGTAATGTATAATTGCACTCCACACCAAGAATTAGATTCCTGTGAAAGTATTTTTTTGACGTCACACTCGAATTCTTCTTGACATTTTCAAACCTGTTTTAACTTCTGCAAGCAATTCAATGCTTACCATGGTGCTCGTCATTGAAATTTTGAGGACGAGTGAATGGTACCTACAATATCCAAGTTGATCAGCAAGACAGTGGTAGAAATTGGAATTGAATCGGAAATCAATACTACAATCAAATGTGGAAGGGACATGTGGGACACAAAACTAACACTAATTTTAACTTAGTGTTAGATATGGATGTTTCATATCTGGAAAGATTTGAGAAACTGACAAATTTAAAGTCAACACTCATCTCCTGATGAAGAATCTAGAGTGTGACAGAATAAAAAGTGTGATTACAGGAAGCTGTATGGACATATAGTTATTACCACCGGAGAAATATAACTTCCAAAAGGAAGGAAGTGTTGGGTTAAGAAAANAGCAATTCAATGCTTACATGGTGCTCGTCATTGAAATTTTGAGGACGAGTGAATGGTACCTACAATATCCAAGTTGATCAGCAAGACAGTGGTAGAAATTGGAATTGAATTGGAAATCAACATTACAATCAAATGTGGAAGGGACATGTGGGACACAAAAATAACACTAATTTTAACCTAGAGTTAGATATGGATGTTTCATATCTGGAAAGATTTGAGAAACTGACAAATTTAAAGTCAACACTCATCTCCTGATGAAGAATCTAGAGTATGACAGAATAAAAAATGTGATTACAGGAAGCTGTATGGACATATAGTTATTACCACCGGAGAAATATAACTTCCAAAAGGAAGGAAGTGTTGGGTTAAGAAAATTCCAGGTTTATATTTATGGTACCGTAAATCAATATATGTGACGTTGGAGTGGAAATGGCAGTTGTAAAATAAATCAATTTTTAAAGAATCCAGCGGGGTTTAAATTCAGTATTCATCACTTGAAAAAATGTATATGGGGTGACACAACTTATCCAAAAAAATTTGGGAATAAATTCGTTATGAAAAATGGAGTCAATATTGTAAAAAAATTGTTTGTAAAATCTTTATAGTTGCCGAGAAAAAAATTATTGAAGTTGTAGTATTTTCAACCCTTACATCACTGGGGGTAGTGTAGTCTCTAGCATCATTCGCTGTGTGCAATGCACTCTGTACGCGGTCCCCAGCGATTCCGAATATTAAAATCTGATTTTAATGTTAACGTTCTGTGATAGTGTTTACATTAGTTTTTCAAGTGTCAAAAATGGCTTACGTGTATAACAAAAAATGCTCTGTGTCTCTTAGGAGACTTAACATGTTTTTTTTTCTGAAAAATCGTTCTCAAGGCACTTTAACTACCTATTGTCTATCTCTTAAGGCAATACAAGAAATTCCCCAAATGTATGAAATGCATCTTAAGAACATAGTCATCAATCTTGCAAGTTGAGAATGCTACTATCTTTTGTATTAGCAGTTTTTTAATTTCAAATTTAATAATATGATGCCATTCCAGGATTTGGAATTTTGAGAAATTTCTAGTCTAATAAAAAAAATAGTTGCAACTTTTGTTACGTTAAAAATTTGTACACCTATAACACAACTTACCCTCAGGATGTTGTTTTTGAGAACCTTTATTACTTTTACTCTTCTCAGTTTTTTCTGACATTTCGGTAGGAACTTCAGCCACATCGATATCTTCTTGCTCTTCTTCAGAAGGTAGATTTTGAGAGGACTCCATTGGCTCATCTGTTATTTCGTCTTCTTTATTTACAGTTTCTTTTTTCTGATCTTCCGCTTGTTCTTTAGTGGCTACATCTAAAATCTGGAGAGAACAAACATTAGACCTTATTATGACGTTGCGGCCAGTTGATTACCTGAGTTGCTGATTCTTTACTCGCATCTTTTATATGTTGATACATTTCAGCTGCTTCATCATCATTGTTTTCTTGATCCTGATCAATATTTGGTTCCTCCTTCCTCGAATCTACTGATTTCAGTTTTTTACGAACTGGTTCATTAACATCACCTGCAAAAATAATTTACACAGTGTATATTAAATATGAGTGAGTGATAATTAGCCTATTACCTAAACTTCTTTGCGAATCTGATTCTCCTGGTTTTTGTTTTCTCATTTCCTCTTCTTCTAATTCCCTTTTACCAGTTTTCACTTCTTGTGGTAGCGTAGTTTGTGCTGAATGGCCGGTTGCACTTTCTTCCATTTGAGACTGACCCATGCCTTCGTTATCAGGTGCATCCTCCTGACAAAGTTCATCTATAGGTTGATTTGACTTTTGATTATCTGACTGAGATGCTTCTACCTAAAAATACAACAAACCTATAAGTGAATTTGTTAATGAATTTTCTAAACAATTGTGTCTTACATTGTCAGCACCGGTAGCTTCCATAGCCTCAATGTTTTCCTGATTACTTTGAGATTGATCTAAAGCTGAATTATCTTTATCTTCTGCTTCTTGATCAGATTCAGAGTCTTCATCATTTTTATGAGTTTCTTTGGTTTCGTTATCTTTACCTTTTTCTGAATTAGCATCATCTTGATTTAAATCTTCTTTCTTTGTAATTTCTTCATCATCACTACTGAACTCGTCTTCTTCATCATGTTTTTCTTCATTCTCCTCATCTCCCTTGTCCTCATTAACATTTTCTTCTTTTGATAGATTTTCCTCTTTCATAGTATCAATATCAAATGGATTTTCTTCCGGATTATTGTTCTCATTATCATTGTCTTGTCCTTCGTCCAATTGCAAATCGTCTGGTAGATCCATTGGCTCTGGTTCTGGTAATTCTGGCTGTTTCCCATGATGGGGATCAATTTGATCGTCATCATATTCTGGTTCTTCCATTTCATTTATATCTTTTTTGGTACTTTCCCTTTCTTCTTTATTATTTTTATCATTATTTTCATCTGAATCGGTTTTAGAGGGGTTGTCTTCTTTGGCACCTAATTGATCCTCTCCTAGCTCTTCTCCTTTTTCACCTTTCTCCTCCTTTTTCTCAGATGCTATAGAAGACGTTAATTCATTAGGAATATTGTAAAATGAATATAAATAGTTATATCAATTAACAAAAAATATACATTACCTTCATCTTCGTTTTTGTCCTCTTCGTTATCCGATCCCCAAATTTCCTGATCTAATTGTTCAGCACCTTTTTCTGTCTCACCCATTTGCTCATTGGCATCCGAATCGCCAGAGTTGCTTTCATCATCATCATCGTCCTCTTTCTTTTCTTTATCCTATAAAATTACAGATTTTAGTTATTTATCTTTTCCTCGCAAAATAATATAATTCTTGAAGACAAAATATTACAATATAATTACATACTTGCAATTTACTGTCGAAATCCTCACTCATTTCAATTCCTTTCTCTGATTCTTTACAATCCGGATCCTCATCATTCTTTTTCTCCTGACCTGCTGGTTGCGCATCATCTAACTGATCTTCAGATTCTATTTTATCAGAGACGTCTCTTTCACCTTCACCTTCACCTAGTCCAAGTCCATCGGACGGTTTACTAACACCTTCACCATCCATTTCATCCGAAAATTCAGGAGGAACACAAAATCCCTAAAATATGGTAATAATTTTAATCACATGAAGATCATAAAGTTACAAAAACTTACTTTTGATACCAAATCTATAAAAATATTTAATAAGATTGAGTTCATTTTACAGGTGAGTCTGTATGCCGAAACCTGTTGGGTTATAAAATACTGATAGAGATGAATTGTTTGATCCAAGAGTGGTAGGCATTGATATACCAGGGGTTTTAATTCGTTTGCATACTTTAGTGGCGTTTTTAACAGATGACTTGAAATGTCGTGAACTGATTTTAATATGTCTTTCATTTTTAAAGTTGCAATGTCGTTGAATAAATTTTCCACGATAAGAGTTTTCAGATGCTCTTCTTGAAGTTTATCATCTTCTAAATCTTCATTATTTTCTTTCTCTTTCATCTCAGTTTTTTTATTTTCAATGACATACTTCTTGTAAAGATTTTGCACTATCAATAAAAGTTTTTCACAAAACTTTGGGATTTGTTTTTTAAATTCGTCGGTGTTAACACTTAACGTGTCTGATTTTTGCATCTCAAATTGCTCTCCTACTGTAGCAATCAGCTTCATCAACCAATTCAGACTTTCATTTACAGCGATGTTTCCAAATATTAGTTTCAAGTTTTCTATATTTTTGTACATGTTAATCAAATCATTTTCTATACTATTTAAATCAGAAATTGGAACAAATTCTGTGGATACCAGATCGTATTCGACACTTGGTACATTTCCTTTACATTTCTGAAGAAATGAATTCAATTTACTTGCTGCACTCAAAATATTATTTATAAGTGCAGCTGCTTTAGACCATATTGCATCATGTTTGTACTCAATACATTCTTTGACATCTGATTTTAAAACTGGTACTTCTAGGAGGTCATCTCCAAAATTTCCTTCCGAGGGGCAACTGTTCAAAATTATCTTGCATTGATTCATTACAATTGTTACATTTTTTAACAAATCTATAGTGTTTTCTACAGTTTCAACGTGTAGGAAATTTTTTCCTTCACACGCTTCATTCAACTGTTTTGCATAGAAGCGTAAATAGTAATATATCCTGCTTGAATTTATTAACTCATATTTCTGTTTTCTTGCATAAGCCTTGAAAATAAATATCACTGTATGAATAGTTTAATTTACAAATAAATTACTAAATATATTAAATTTATCGAGGTACAGAAATTTAACATTTGAAGTATTTAAAAAAAACTCACCGTTAAATGTGCAGAAAAACCTTTACATCTTTCGATGTTCTGTAAGCCGAGGTCCTGAGCTGGATTCTTCAATGCGGTGTCCAGTACATCTGTTCTCATTAAAGACTTTGTGTAGTAGATTTCACATGAGTCCCATATAGTAAGGATTTTTTCTTCTTGACGACTGAAATGAAGAAGTAATTAGTTATCATTTAAATGTATGTATATATAATTAATAAATTTAAATTACCCATAATTTATATGTTCGAAAGCTGCACTTAAATTTATAGGTTTTAAAGTGAAGTCATCAGAAACAGCTTTAATTTTCGATTCAACAACACCGGTTCTAAATGACAATCCAATTTTAGTTAGACTTTTAAATAAATCTGCTAGAGCTCTGTGTTTCTGTTGTAGTATATTTTTAGCCTGAGATTTTTGTTTTTCTTTTGGCAAAGTTGTATCCACCTGAAAAATTTTTATTGTGGAAAATTATTAAAAACAAATAAGTGGTTATCTACCTCTAAACTTTGTAAATGGGTGCTAGTTTCAATAATATCAGTTATAAATCCATCTAATGTTTGCACCAAATTTGGGTAGCTGGTGGCCCCTATTATTTCTTTGCACAACTTTCTTGACTTCAGGAAATAAGATTCTACTCTGGCCAATATACCTTCGTCGGGTTTGGATTCTACTGTATGAATTTTCTGAAATTAAATAAAAAAGTTATTACCAATAGCACTAATATATGAAAGATGTTTCCAATCCTCTTAAACGATTGCAATATGTAAAGATAATAATTATGAGTTTAAATAAAATAATAACACATTACTTATTTTGTAAAAAATTTCAATTTTCAGTTTCCACAATTTTCTGGCAGTTGTTAAGGGTTGAATAATTTCCAGACTATTTGTCACATCAGGTACAAATTCATGTCATTTCAGTGTGTGGTTTTAAACCATTGCTTTGTGACATTTTAGTCCTTAATTTTCGCAAATGAATTATTTTCAAACTCCAGGTAGCTATAAGCTTTTGTTTAAGTTGATTGCAATTTTTCTGGATTCTTGCTGATTCTATTATAGAGTTTTAGCCTAAATTATACCTCTCCCTCACTAGAAATGGGCAATTTTTTAGGTTTGTATCTGCCCAAAGATCCACATACCAGGGGAGTAGCTGATCCAACTGCAGTAATTATTGCATAGAATGGTACATTCAACATACTGAGTCTCACTGCCAATTTACCGGAAAAATGGGACATTGAGTATCCACCATCTGTGAGTTTAAGCACATAGATAGGGAACTATATGTCATCTACAATTAACTCTCCAAAGAAACAAATATACCAGCAAAATATTCAACAAACTATCAGTAGAACAAGAATAATTAAAAGGAGGAATATCTGACAAAAACTGATCTCTGTGTATTCAAGGATGTACAAATGAAATAGGTCACTTCTTAAAAGGGAGTATAATATTAATAACATACAGGCTGTTTCACACGTTACAATAAAACATTATTAGAGTTTTAATCCCATTTAATCATAGTTATTTCTAGGTTTTTCGAGTGCTCAAAATTAAAACAAATTTCGGTATATTTTTTTTTCAGGATATTCATACATTACAGGTATAATAAATTCCGATTATATTATGCTTATCTTCATTTTCAACATTTGCCAAAACGGAAACGTTTTTGAACATTTACTGTAATTTTTTACAAGTACAATATTTATTTGGAATTTTTGGTTGTTCATATGCATTTTTAAGAATTAATTTGTCATACTGAAAAAAAAAAAATTGTAATGTTTTAATTTTGACCCAACAACTTATCGAATTATATATGACCAGGTGATGAAGATTAAAATTTCAATAATGTTTTATTGTAACGTGTGATGGTAATAGTTTAAATAACTACCTAGATAGTTTTCACAGGGTCTAAGGACACTTAGAGTGTACCATAGTTAAATAAACATAGAAAACTAAATAAAAAATTTAGATAAATTTAGAACATTGAAGATGATATTTTCGAGACAAAAAGTCTGAATCTGGTTCGGGCTGAGACAGAACAGTATTAAGGGTCATAAAGGCTTGTAAAAAATGTAATAAAATTTCCAGTCTTATTTAAAAAAAAATAAAGTTGATGATGGTCCTGGAGAGATAAAACGTTACATTTAAAAATTGATTATGCCATTTGATAGAGGGTAAAAAGTTGTCAAGAGAAAGTGTTCGTATTTCAATATCATCTCAAACAACACTGAAATAAAACAAAAACGGATTTCCAAAATTTCGGTTTTTTTAAAATATTTCGAAAACTAATCATGTTAGCCTTGATTTTTTAGAGGCATAATGTTGATCCCCTGGTTATGCAACTTTGCCCCCATTTAAGCTACCTTGTATCTCTTACCGTTTCCGAGATCGCTGTAGTAAGAAGTGAATTTGTAACAGCCTGTATATACCTTCTCAATATGTACTGCAAGAGTGATATAAATCAGCTGTTGCAGAACAGAGGACAGATACAGGACACGGAATAGATATAAGTGATACCAAAATTCTAGTGTGAGAGAGAAAATTTTGGCTAAAGCTCTACAGAGAAGCAATAGAAATGAAAAATCGAAATACACATCGTATCAACCAAAACAAAGGTTTTCAAAAGTGCTCACAAAAAATTCAATAACCAGAAAGTCCACCACTGGAACAATATGTTTTTTCTAAAAAATAGGGCGAAGTACCTCTTAAAGAGTTAAGAGGTCTAGACTGATAATGCGGTAACCAACCAATTTTAAATTTGGTTTAAGACAAGAATAAACAAATTATTTGCCATAAGGTTAAATCAGCAACTTTATCTTAATATGTCATACTAATTTCTAAATCTGTTAAAACCTACGAGTTAAATTTCTAGTTAAAGATTGGCTAAAGAATATTCACCTTAGTTAATGATTGCTTTGCCAGATAAGCTTCAGGGTCCAACGTGTAATGGTAAGTTTTTGGACTTTGTCTTTGAGGCCTGTCCCATATTCCCACATTTTCTGTTACATTATCGTTGTCTGTATTAACGAGATATGGAGTTATTGGTTGTTGTAACGCCTCCTAAAAACATTTGTAATAATACTTTCTACACTCTAGAACAGTTTATCAATTACCTGAAATTCCCTCATGTAATTGTGTAGAGTTTTATGTGATTTATCTACTGTCTGCTTAATTGCCCAATAGTTTATATCCTTCCATCTGATGATTTTAACGTAATCTTTTAGTTTCTTTTCAATAGGCGTTCTTAGATCTTTAATTTTCTTTGAAATCGTTAAGCTAAATTGTTGGAAATAACTGTAAATATTCCACAGAATATTTATGAACAACTCTGTTTCTTTAGATCTTTCTAAATATGTAGCATGGCAATGGAAAATGTACAGCAAATTCAACCTTCCTTCAAACTCAGCCAGGTTGGACTTTGTTAAAAATGTTTGTAAAGTTTCGATTAATTCTATTTCTGAATATCTCTTCTCTACAACAAATTGTTCCATTATATTATAAATGTACAACCACCATTTAGTTATTGGTTCATTTAATCTGCAAAGAACAATTTTCCAAAATAATTTGGTGGATATTTCACTTCTTACTTATTTACAATTGTTGAATACCACTGGCGGCTCGTGACATTGAGCATACATGAAGACTATTCATTGACTAAAAGGAAAAAAAGCGCGGCAGGTGAAAATTTTCAAATTTTTTCATGGTCAAACGGCTTTAAATGAATCTGGAAATTTTTAGTTGCATTTGCAATATTACCGAAAAACTGACGTTCGTGAGCATTTTCATTTAGATTTTATAAAAAATAGAAATATTAGTTCGGGTTGTGGACTTCTGCGAACATTAACGCACACCGTACATGTATATTCCAAAGAAGCTTACGACAGCCTCGCGTGACGTTTTTAAAATTGTTAAATCCCTCCTTATTCCACACAACCGACTTTACACCCACAACTAAACACTGCATACAGAAAAGTTTGTTTTAAATAAACACTTTCATACCCACTTATACTCCGAATACCATTCATTCCGAAACTCCCGAACGTACACATTGCCTTTGGACTTCCCCTTTTTTTCCATATCGATAGAATAAGGCACAGGTCTCTCACAATTTAAAAAATCCTTTTTGTCCTCAATTTTCCATCTGGAAAATGGCGTTTCCAATAAAATACATACTGCGTCATACATAGGAAACATTTCTACAATTATTATACAAAACAAATATTAACTAAGAACCGTTATAACCGTGCACTGGGCGACGCGTATCGTATAAACTGTTTAAAGGCAGGCGATGGGCGATGACAATGCTACTTCAATATATGCGTCACGGCGTAGTTTACTCCCGTGTTGGCCGCCTCGTTGCCATGACAACCGCGTAGACAACGCTTCAAAGAGAAGTGGAATACAGACTGATTTCGATCCACATCACTTGCTTATACTACGTTGTATGGTACGAGGTTGATGTTCGTGCTCAACGAAGGCAATATTTTTTTAGTAGGCGTTCACCGCGCAACTATTCTGTTTATTTCTGCGTATTAAACAAACAAATATCAAACGGAAATTTTAGGCGAAGCGGTGTGTCACCTGAGGAGCCGCCACTGTTGAATACTATACCTACCTTTCGTATGTTTGATTTAATAGATCTTTCCACATAGTCAACTCCAATTTTCTCCAAGTAATAATTTGCTGGGTGATATTTTGGTAATATTGGCTCAAACTAACACCTGAGTGAGCAACCTCTTCCCATTCGTGGCATTTGCTAAGAAGAATCTCAAAACCAGTTAAAAATCTTGATATTGGACTAGTTATATCAAATTCGTATATTCTGTCAATGACTAAAATAATCTGTAAAATCACACACAAATTAAACTGGAAAGTAAAAAGAATATAGCTAATTTACAGTTTTTAATGTCGGTTGGTCAGGCCACTCGTCTAGAAGTTCGTTTATCCTTAATCTTAGTTCCTCCAAGATGTGGTAGCAGGACTTCACTTCCTCTACATTAGGGTCTCTATAGAAATCTCTTTTTTTGTGTAATGTTTTAGTAGGAGAGAGGGTTTGATCAGCTAAAATTATAACAGAAGTAGAAGATTTTTTATATTAAAAATATAAATTGGGATTCTGAAACAAAGTATAATTTTTTTGTCAAATAAAAATAAGCGTAACTCACATATATCACTGGATTGTCCATATCTTTGTATGACGCTCAACAAAACATTGAAACTGGTGATCAATTTTATGTCTAAACTGTAATCTAAACAATTAATTGATTTATTTAATATTTGGGTAAATACTTTATATTTTTCTAATAAAGGATCGATGAAATTATGGCACATATTTTTGGCTACAGTTGGGTTCAGCCACTCAGTTTTAGTGAAGTTTTGGACAAGCCTCATATGCAATTCTACTACAAACTTCAAGTCTTGATAGGAGATTTCTCCTTTATATTCCTCCACTAGACGTTCTTCTTGTAGATCATCTTTTAACTCAGCACTACTCTGAAAATCTGAAAAATCTATGTCATGGTAATTTGGGAAAAGTTCCTTTAATTCTTCTTCTATCTGCTGTTCTTCCGGTTTATCGTCACACTTGGTCCTAAAAATATTTATATTCCATGATTAAAATAGTTTATGATATAGAAAACCAGTACCTCGTTTTATATAGACTTTCCCCTTCTTTCTCCTGTTTTTCCTTTTGTTCTTGCTGTTTATTCCATGAACTTACCAATACATTTAGAAGTGCAACAAATTTCATAAACAAATTTTTATTCAAACTGTCCCCAGCTTTTGCATCTATTGTACAGAGGTTAAAACTCTCTTGAATACCACATTTTAGCAGCCTGAAAAACATTTGTTTCAAAAATAGTATTAATAAGCACTTTATGACCAAACCTAAAGCTTTCCTGTTCTTTAATATGAGGCATATTTTCATCTTCCAGAACGTGTTTGACAAAATTATTAATTCTCTGGCTTGTAAGTGTTTCTATGTGTTCACTGTAAGTACTTTGATTTTCATCTAACACTGGCAACTTCACAAAATTTAACAATTCTTGCTGGACATTTACGCCAAATTTCATATTTTCATATTCCGTTATAAGTTTGCTTAACAGCGATACTTTCATTCTGAAGCCGTATAAAAATTCAACCACGTTACTCAAGAGAGGTTCTATAATATCTGGAAAAGTATTACGGAAGTTGGTCCACTCGTGAATTAACGATTCATAGCTTGGAATAAGAGACTTGTGCGTATTTAGTTTATTAATGAAATATCTGTAATCAATTTCTTCCTTTGACGAAAGAGCACTTATTATATCCAATATTTGATAAGTTAGAGCTGAACTAGTTCTGTTGACATTGTCTTCAGATAGAATGGTGTTAAATGCATGATTAATGACCTAAAAGAAAAATATTTATAAATTAAACAAAGCAAATAAAGAAGATGTAACTTGCCTTTAAAATACTCTCATACAACACCACTGTTGACCTTACGGCAACGTATTGGCAAAGATCATCATTTTTCATTTCCAATTCTTCAATAATTTGTTGTACCGGTTCATGGTATGAATGTATCGTTTGATATGAGTTACTGTAAATAGAGTTTTGCAATTCATAGCATTTTTTCAAGTCTCTGAAAAAGTCGATCGATTTTAAACAGTATTCCTTCTTTAGCGTCTTTTTTGCCAATGGATCAATTAACGATAGTTTTGAATTAAACACAGCTTTGATAAAACTCAATTCCATATACAAGTCAGAAATTATCAATAAAGTATTATTTAATTCGGTACAATTTTTTAATTGCCCAATTTTTACGGAGCAGTTCTGTAGGTGTTTTTTAATTTTAGACATTTCATTACTGACATCTGTTAAAGAACCAATATTTTTGTAGTGGTCTAAAGTCTGCGTACATTCATTAATAATCTCTGGTAATGTTTTACCATTTGTGTCTTCTATGTTTAATGATTCAGTTAACTGTATTATGAATATTTTAATTATTCGCAAAATATATTCCTTTTCGGTGCACCTGAAAAAAATATGTACATGTTAAATTGGTAATCCCAACCATACATGTTTGTTACTTACAGATAATCATATTTCTTCTCAGATAAATGATATATATTTCTCCACAGGATCAAGCTAAGGTGGTTGTGTTGCTGTAATCGTTCTCTGAAGTTGCCAAGAGTTATAAACTCAAAATTATTATAATTTTTGTTACTATCCAGTAGAATACTTAAGTAGTATGTCAGTTTTGGATTAAAATTGCTAATAATTAATCCTTCACGATCTTCTTCGATATTTATTAAATATTTATTTGGTCTAACTGCTGGTGAATTCAGAAGATACAAATAATATAACTTTGTAATTTCATGTAACAACCTTAGATCTTCAGTTTTGTTATACCACATTAAAGTACCAACAAGGTCAGTTGGAATGGTGATACTGTTGCTTACAAAGTCTGAAAGATCTACTTTAGGTAAAGTTTTCAAAATATCTCTTATTGATAAATTTGAAATATAGTCAATTACTGGCAGAAGTTGTATTTCGAATTTAGATACACTTTTGCGAGGTTCCTCAGATGTATATGTTTCATGAAGCAATTTCAAGCGGTCAATACTTTTAGATGCATCAGTGAAGTGATAATCCAATTCAGATTTAAGTTCAATTAACAGTGGTCTTAATTCTTTTTCTTGTTTTAAGAAAGTAACAATTTTTGTGATATCGGTTGGTCTTTCACATAAATTATAAAAACTGCTTATTCCATTGTAAACAGGAATTACTTTCAACTGATGAGTGTTGATAAAAGGTGGTGGTGTACTGCTTACTTTTTGATAATTTTTCCCAATTTTCTGCATACAAGAAAACTGTTTTTCCAGTGTAGTGTTGATCTTAGTTGTAATTTTTGTCAAACTGTTGGGTACATCAACCTTTGTGAGGAATGACACATGTTGTATAGCATATTTGAAAAACCATTTGTAATGTACACTTAAATTAACTAACATATTGTATTGATCTGTTGAATTCATATTTTTAATGTTTGCCAGTGTGCATTTTTGAAAGGCATGTCTCCAAAAAATTAGTTGCAATACTTTAATAACAGTCGCTTCATCTAAACTGCTTACTTGTCCTGGAATGTTGTGCAAATAATCGTCAAATTCTTTAATTAAGTGGAGATATTCATTTATAATCACATTATTAAATTTGTCTTGTATCTTTCTTTTTCGTTTTTCATGCATGTAATCAAGTAAAGTAACCTCCTTTTGCGATTTACTTTTTTCTTTAATTAAATTAAATTCAGTGTCTTCTTTGAAATTGTTTGAAGCTAAGTGTAGTGCTAAATTTAGCTTGTTACTTTGTAGCAAATTTTTTATTTCGTAAAGCGTTTCAGGAATCCATCTATAATCTTGTGGTAAAGTTGGGTAGTCGGTAGTTTTCATTTTCAAAATAACTTCATTTAATTTTTCATTAAGTTTTATTAAAGCAGAATTTTTATTTAAATGGGATTTAAGAGACGTAGAATTTAAATTATATCGTGAATAGATATGCCTTATTTCTAAATCTTCCAGTGAGCTTATAGAAAAATAGTTTATTAATAAATTAATAAGAATATTATCAACTTCAAATGTATTTGGTGAAGTTAAATATTTATGTAAAACTGAAAAGTGTTGCTTAATTTTCTCTATGGATGAACAAGTTGAAATATTTTGTGTCATTAAAGTTACATTTTCATTGTAAACGTCAATGTCCTTTTCGTCTTGTACACCTGAACACTCGTTAAGAATTCTTTCTATCTCATTTTTCAAGACATTCACAGTGTCGTTACAATTAAATTCGACGGTGCTCCTTGTTTTGTAGTAAACATCAACTATGGCAGAGGAAAATGCCACCAGTGTTTTCACTCCATGATTTATTTGTTGAGCAATTAGAGAGGAAGCATGAAGAATTTCGTTAATATTAGGTTTCTCTCCTAGGGTCAGGTCGCTAACGAAATCGTGGATTTTTAACAATGAGTTTATATGACTTGTCTCTTTTAGACTCTCAAGATTTATTAAACTCTTTATGTCAAGCACATTTAAGTCCTGAGACTCTTTTTCATTAAGCATGTATATTTCTACCCCCCTGTTCCGCATTGCTCTGAAACGGAAAATATCCAGTATTTACAACATCAAATTATAAGCTATTACACAGTGCGTTCGTATAAATTGGACAGAAGGGTTTAGAATTTTTTTTTGAAGAAAATGCTCGGATACGTCGATTTTTGTCATTAATTGATTTTTTATAACTTCAAATATACATTATACATAGAATCATGTAGAATTAATGTTGTCATCGACGATTTCTTTTTTTTTTAACAGAAAGTGGTGATTTACACGACGTACCTTTTTTATTATTAAATTGCTTGTTGTCTCTTTGTTAAATACCTATTCATTTACGTGGTAACTGAATTAGAAAATAGACATATATATTTATTTTTTTAAAATATATCTCTGTATTAAGACAAGCAGTTTAACATTCCTGACACATCTGCGTGGTGAGGAATTTATTAAAATATGCAATGAACGAGCAAAATTTCTTCATAACACCTTCGATTTTTGCATGTTATGATGCACTACAGACTTAAAGGATGTTACAACTTTGGTTTAATATAATAAATATTATAATTTTTTAAAGATCATAGTACCTTGATATTTCTCCATTTTTAGGATCCATAGTTAAAAAGAGCCTGAAATCCTTGTGAGGTCTGACCTCAATCATTTGACCATTTTGGTCGACCCCTCTCTCAGATATTGTCAGAACACCCCGTGGTTCCAAAAGAGCATTAAGGCGATCTAGTACAGCGGAACTGCACAGATTTACATTGTCTATTAGAAGCCATGATCCATCTTGAAGACACTAAAATAATAGTACTCATAGAGTAATTAATACATTGCATAATATTGATTAGATTCAGTTTTTGCTATTTTAGTTGCCTTGCGGAAATATATATTTTAATATTCGCCATAGATATTGTGGAAGATTATTTGCTAACAAGGCCTGACTGATCATTCGAGCCCTTTGATTTCTCCTCCATATTTGCGTAGACAAAAATTTCGTCAGCGAAAGCAACTATCCACATTATGTCACACAAAAGCTGATTATTTGCAAACAGAACTAAAGACATTCTTAAAATTCTTTAATGTGTGTTGATTTACCGACTTTAGGGGCTAAATATACCAAGTATTTTATAACAAACACAACATTTTTATCCGTATATGCATTAAGTTGTCCGAATATTGAACATCAATGCAAATGTTGAGCTCGAAATAAAGACAAACATATGATGAAGTTGGACATTAGTGAAACAATAATTGCTGTTTAAATAGCCTTTGTCGGAAGAATCCTTTATCATATTATCCATAATATATCAAATACCATTTCGTACTCGATATCCCTCACCCTATTCGATATCGTTCCCGAGTCAGCATAGGTATGTTTTCATTAATTTGTTGCGTTCACCACTTGCTACCGTGATTGACAATATTAATAGAACCTTCAGGGTTCAACTGCAACCAATGCAATACAAATCCCAATAACTCGTTATAATACATTAAAGGGAATAATTCGTACACTACAATGTGCATAATGCAGTATATTTGCTCACTCCCAGGCGTTTATTTCTGAATAACAAATTACATGCTGTGATTTTAATACCAAATATTTAATTATTGTTAATTAAATATTTTCATGAAGACTCACTATTGAAGATATACAGGGTAGCCCATCGAAAACGTACCGCAAGGCATTACAGGGTAGTAAAGAACTTTTCGGCAAAATCCAAAAACAGGTCAAATTTGTTTCTGAGGGGGACAACTTTTGGCTCAAAAAGCATACCAAAATCTTCAACCCCCTAAGTGGGGGTGCTATCCCCTAAATTTTTTCAAATGGGAATGGGGGTCAAGTGGGGGGTCATTAGAAAGGGCTTTTAATTCTCTATACATCGATTCTTACTTTTTGAAAATCGATTCATTATTTTAGAAAATATGCAGCTTTGAAAATACGAACAATATTTTTGACGAGAAATGCGAAAATCGATTTAATTTTACTTCAAAACTTACGGTATTAGTCAAGTAAATGCTGAAAATGTTGTCCGCCAACTTGCATACAATGATACAGGTTGTCTTCAAACCGTTGTCGAACATTCTGGAGCACTTGCGGTGTTACTTCGCGACATACATTAATGATTCGTCCTCGCAGATCTTCCAAGGTATCAGGTGGAGTGCTGTAAACTTTGCTTTTAATGTGCCCCCAGAGAAAGAAATCTAAAGGATTTAAGTCGGGTGACCGAGGGGGCCACTCAATTGCACCTCTTCGTCCTATCCAGCGTCCTGGAAACGTCTCATTTAGGTAATTGCGCACATTGAGCGAGTAATGTGGAGGAGCTCCGTCTTGCTGGAAAATCAGTTCGTGTTCATTGTAAGCAGGGTCGTCCTCTATGATATTTGTTAGAGCTGGGTCGATGACATTTTGTAGTAAATCCAAGTACATATCGCCTGTCAAATTTCCAGGAAGGAAAAAAGGACCTACAATGGAATTTCCAAAAATACCTGCCCATACATTCAACTTCTGGGGGTGTTGGGAGTGTGTCTCATGGAAAATCCTTGGATTGGTATCAGCCCAGTAACGACAATTATGGCGATTCACTAAACCATTCAAGAAGAACGTACACTCGTCCGAAAAACACACATTAAAGAGGAAATTATCGTTTATCGCTCGTTCAGTCATTATTTCGCAAAATTGCAAACGACGATCAAAATCGTCTTCATTTAGCTCTTGCACTAGCCGAATCTTATAAGGATGGAATTTGTATTTTTTTAATATTCGTTGGACACTTGTACGACTCACTCCTGTCGCAGTAGCCAATTGCATTGTACTCAGCGTACTATCCATTGCCACTTGCCCCAATACCGCTATTTCCGTAGGTTCATTTAGTACCGGATTTTCAACCTGCCTCTTTTTGTTATGAACGGAGCCAGTTTCGCGAAATTTGGCCACCAATTCGCGAACAATTTTTCCAGACGCATGTTTCTCAGGATGCCGTTGGTTGAACAGTTCGGCGACCCGATTTCCGCATTCATTGTTTTTGAAAAAAAGCTCAATAATTTCTACTCTTTCTGGAATTGAGTACACCATAATTAATCAATTTAAAAGACTCGGCAGTATTGGTACTCTTCAACTACAAGTCACAAGACAGTTATCTAGCAACTTCTTGTGGCCTATCTAAATACGAAACAAAAAGCGGACAATTTTTTGCTCACCAAAATCAGGCTAAAGAATTCGCAAATCAGAAAAAAAAACAGCGAATTCTTTTGAAGGAATTTACCAAGCTAATACCGTAAGTTTTGAAGTAAAATTAAATCGATTTTCGCATTTCTCGTCAAAAATATTGTTCGTATTTTCAAAGCTGCATATTTTCTAAAATAATGGATCGATTTTCAAAAAGTAAGAATAGATGTATAGAGAATTAAATGCCCTTTCTAATGACCCCCCACTTGACCCCATTCCCATTTTAAAAAATTTGGGGGATGGCACCCCACTTAGGAGGTTGAAGATTTTGCTATGCTTTTTGCGCCAAAAGTTGTCTCCCTCAGAAGCAAACTTTACCTGTTTTTGGATTTTGCCGAAAAGTTCATTACTACCCTGTAATGCCTAGCGGTACGTTTTCGATGGGCTACCCTGTATATCTGGTTAATGCCTGTCTTATTTGTAGATTTGGCACCTCTATTGAAAACTCTGCCTTCACTTTTATAACTGACTATTATATCAATGGAGGTTATAAAATCCTGTAGAGCCTAAAGTTCGCGTATTAATAAGAAGACAAATCTATAAAACTACTCCCATGAAGTGGTGGAATCTAGCAACGAAAACACAAATTGCAAAAATTTACAAAATATCAGACGTAGATAAAACAAATCTCTGTTCCTAGTTCGATAGAAACAGTTTCCAATAGTCGGACGCAATTCCACTTGGTTCGAAATAATGAGTATTGAATCTAATCTAATCCGATTGAAAATTATATCGGAATGTATTCCGATATAATTTCCGACTGTTGGAAATTGTTTTGGACTGCTCCACGAACAAAGCTAATTGTCTTATGTGTGATGGAGAAGAAAGGGGGCTAAAGTTCTGGATTTTCAATATTCAAGATTCAGTTATTGCATTTAATTCTTTGCACCCACTGTAGTTTGTTAATAAATAATCTAGACAAAATTATAGACAATTGTTGCCGTTTTTATAGAAAAAAATAGCTTTCATACACATATATCATACAAGGTTGGTTGAAGACCGTTTTGAAGAACTTGTCATAATGTTAAAAAATCAAAAGGATCGAGAACAATAACTGAATCATGAAAACTGTGATACAGGGCATAAGTTTTACATTTTCTTATTTTTTCTGCCTTTTTTCTGTGAAAATTTTTGTAAAGGGCTTTCCTGTAGAAATTTTTGTATATAATCCAGTGGCATAGAAGAAAGTTTTATATGATTCTTGATTTTTTTCAATATTATTATAATTAACTATAACATAAAACTATAAAACCTCTATAAATTTCGTTTTTATTTTGAGACAGAATAATTTAATAATAGTCACCTCTACACTGTATACTTAACTAGGCATTCGAAAGTACCATTAAGTGATTATAACTATTTTGACTAACAGAATAGTTATTTTCAAATTACTCCAGTATTTAAAAAACTAATTTTTTTTTGTACAAATACAATTTATGACTTTTTTGAACGAAAGGATCATAGCCAGCTACCTTGCAAAAGTGTTTTCTACAAAGATAAAAGATTAGCTGAACTATTTAGAGCTTATTGACAACTTGATGTTATAACACCTGGCTGTTTTGAAGTATACACGTTGAACATAATCAGCTAGATCACATCGGCTTTGTAACAGCACGGGTGCTGCAATTTTGCAGACGACGCCTTGAGAACGACGATCAAAAACCGAGAAAACTGACAATTTATTTGATTGCAATGAACCATACATAAAGCTAAACTTTATATTTTTTTGGTTTTAAACGTGACAAATTAGAGAGAAATTAGTAGGTTTACTAATTTTTTACTGCAATGACATTTAAAATTCCTGTATTTTGCGCCGTTTATACGCCAATTTCAATGCAAATTTTGTTATTTGAAAAACATGGCTAACTATAATTAAAAGAATCATCGGCTTAGAGGATGATTTTTTTTCGTATCTTAAAAATGAAAGACAAAATGTTCTTAATTCATAAAAAAAATTTCTATGCTTTAAACAGAACTTCAACAATTTTATTTTTCTGATTACGTTTTTGTTTTATTTTTTCGAAATTCGAAATAAGGATAACTTTTTGCCAAAAATATGGCGATCTGAAATACTTTACCTTTATCAGAACAGAGTCCACCCACTCGAATTTGCCACCAGCATTCAAAGAACCATCCTCCTTTACTGAACTTGAGACCTTTTGGGATTTTATATACAAATCTTTTAAAACATTTAGATTACCGCTGTTTATGAGAGGTTTTAATTTGTCCCATATTTCATTTAATTTAGCTATCTTTCTCAAAAACAGTTTTGAGTCTTCTTCCATTGTTTGTTTCAGTGCACCTGAAAGAGAAGATAAATTGTTGCAAAGATTTTTAACAATATAAAGATACTTAAAGATACGATAATAAAAAATGATACAATATACTACTAGAAACTGGCAAAAATTAACATTTTTATGAATACATTTGTATTTTGTTGTAAAATATATTTATATGTTATCATAGCCGTGGTTGGTTAATGCGCAGTATCAATTGCAATATTGCAACCCGACCACTTTAGTGTATACCTAGTGTGTTATACAAGTTCTTTAGTTCTTCAGTAAAACCGAAGATTAAACTTAGAACAGCTGTTTTTTTAACAATAATTTATTACTCTTTTGAAACTATTGTGTATCCGCCTTATATGACAATAGTCGAAAGTAAGCGCTGTTTTTCAAGTGTTTTTCAGGAAATTTAAGTATTTTAGCTATGATAAGAACAGAAGAATTGTTGATAAAACAGATAAACGACTTTAAAGGGAAAGTAATTGAGCACTCGCAAAAAGATTGGAGGGTCGTTATAAAATATTTGAGGTATGTTAACTGTTTAAAATTGGCCTCCCTATTTCTAGATCGCCACTGGAAATTAGACACATAAGATCTCACAGATCAATAAGGGTCAAGAAGCAGACACACATGCATTCCCGAAGGATTTTGGTGCGCTGAATCTGAATCTGGCCGAATCACGTCAGATTTTTGAGATATCCTAGCCTAAAAGTGCAAAAAACCGTGTTTTTCGTCATATTTGAGGTTATGTAGTAATGCCATCTATTTAAAAAAATACATATAATTTAAAAGTACAAGGCTCCCTCTTTCGAATGCCGTTGAGTTTGCTCAAATACCTTTTTTTTTCGTTGAGATATCACATGTTGAAATGTTCCAAGTTTCTCAGTTTCTTTATATGCGAAAATCTACTAAGGATCCCTTAGACGTCAAACAGTTGATTGCAGTTCAGATATTTCATACTCAGAAACCTTCAATACATACTCAAACTCACAAACTCCAAATCCACAAACTCACAAACCCCAAACCCACAATCCCTAAACCCACAAACCCCAATCCCACAAAACCCGAACCTACAGACTCCAAGCTTACAAACCCCAAGCCCACCAACTCAAAACCCACAAACCGTATGGGTATGAAGTTTCTGAATTGCAATCGACTGCTTGATGTCTAAGGGATTCTTTAGTAGATTTTCGCATATTAAGAAACTGAGAAACTTAAAATGTTCAACATGTGATATCTCAACAAAAAAAAATATATTTGAGCAAACTCAACGGCATTCGAAGGAGGGAGCCTTGTACTTTTAGATTCAATGTATTAGTTTTTTGAAAAAGTATAGATGGCATTACTACATAACCTCAAATATGACGAAAAACAGTGTTTTTTGCACTTTTAGGTTAGGATATCTCAAAAACCTGACGTGATAGAGCAATTCTGCTGCCAGATTCGGATTCAGCACACCTAAATCCTTCGGAAACACATATTCAAGTTTCTGCTTAAAAAAAAGTTTAATTTTGTAGGTCTGTGTCATTCGCCATTATTATCGTTTACATCGTTTAAGTAAAATACATATACGAGTGTGAAGGTTCGTCGTATCAGCTGACCGTAGTATGGGTACGAACGAAAGGGCGCTGTTCGAAAAGATAAACAAATCTGTGGCTGATATCGTCACCGCCTGTGTTTTATAAACATACAGCGATAAGTTTAAAAAGGGAGAGACTTCTCAGTGCCTATTTAGCTTTGATAGACGTAGCTTACTCTGGAATGATTATACCGATTTATAAAGTGGAGATTTGTAGAGTATATTAATATTAAATAATTATTATTAGAAGTGTTGTGTTTATATCAGAAGTGGGATTAAATAAATATATAAATAAAAACAGGTGATACAAGTGTACCTACCATACAATTATGGGGAAACATAGACGTAGACGGCAAAGTAGCAGTTCTTCCAGTAGCAGCAGTAGCGATGCTGAAAGCAGTCGGAGAACAAGAAAAATAAGGAAAAATAGCGGCAAGTCATGTACACCGGAAAGCAGTCGAAGAGCAAGAAAAACCAGGAAAAATAGTGACAGGTCCTACACACCAGAATTACCATCACATGCAACTGGTTCAGGTTTGACAGAAATTATTAATATACTTAAGCATGATTATAGACCAAAATTAAACATGACGGTCAAGGATGATGACATAACTGAGTTTAACCCCATAACTGACAATGTGAATGAATGGATTGCGAGGATAGATGAGCATGCCGGTGTGTATCGTTGGGATGACATAAATATTTGTCACTTGGCTATAAATAAGTTAAAGGGCCCCGCAGAAAAGTGGTATAAGAGTTTACCGTCGATTCCTAAAACGTGGTTAGAGTGGAAGACACTTTTAGTGCGTACGTTCCCACCTACAAGGGATATACATTTGTTAATGACAGAAATGTTAGCTCTTAAACCACAATCTAATCAAAGTTTATACGAATATTGCTTTGAAAAGTTAGCCCTAATTAAGAAAATGCATTTAAACTTAACTGGACTGGACGAAGTTAATCTTATAGTTGGTGGGCTCGATAATAACAATGTAAAATTTGCTGTGAAAGCGGCAAATATTGATGATCCTTCGAGATTAGCGGTCTATTTAAAAGCGTTTGAGCCGAACATGACAGGGTTCAACGAAAGAAAGGACGAGTCAATATTTCTTTCATCGAATGCTATGAAAATGCGCCCTCAGCTGACGGAGACCCACAGACGTAAATCTCGAACCTTTACTGCTGTGTGTTACAAATGTAACCGTCCGGGTCATAAACAAATTAATTGCCTTCAGAATGCCAAACAGGGTGACCAGCGTTTACATTGTGTTTATTGTCGACAGAGAGGACATACAATAGATAACTGTTTCAAGAAAAATAGGAATAAAGACGTCTTAACAGGTAATAACCCAATAAAAAATAATAGACAAGTTTTACTAATATCTAAAAGTGAAAATAAAAACAAATTTTATAAATCCGTGTTTATTGGGGAAAACAAAGCCCAGTGCTTCATTGATTTTGGCAGCGAGTGTTCAATTACAACCTTCGAAATTGCCCGTAAACTGAACTTAAAACTTGATAAACTGATTGAACCTATCACACTTACTGCTTTTGGTGGCCAAGAAATCGAAGTTACTCATAAAACAGCATGTTGTGTTAGAATTGACACTGTAAAATTAATTATCGACATTTTAGTGCTTGATAAGTGTTTGCCGGGAGTAGATTTAGTTGTCGGACAAAATTTTACTGAAGACATAGGTATTAGATATTGCCGTGTTGGTGATGAATTGCGTTTTAGTAACGCGATGAACGTAAATGCGGTGCAAGTGCACTCAAATATTCTAATCAAAACCGGAACTGAGGATGAAACAATACGGCGGCAGCTTCAAACCATAATCGAAAAATATTCAACATGTTTTCCGTTGGATACGGGGAAATTGGGAACAATTGCTGGAACAGAAATGGAAATAAAACTTAAAACCGAGCAACCTATAGTACAACGACCTTATAGATTAGCTGAAGCAGAGAAGCACGTCTTACGAGGGTTGATCAACGAATTGTTAGAAGCTGGCGTCGTTAGGCCATCACAGTCACAATTTGCTAGCCCAGTCATTATGGTAAAGAAAAAGACAGGGCAACACCGATTGTGTGTGGATTATCGCCTTGTTAACAAACAGACTGTGAAGGAAAACTACCCCTTGCCGTTAATCGAGGACTTGATAGATCGGTTAACAGGCCAAAAGTATTTCACAATTTTAGACTGTCGATCGGGATATCATCAGATCAAAATGTCACAAGAGTCAATCCCAATTACAGCATTCATAACTCCGGAGGGTAAATTTGAATATCTGAAGGTTCCATTCGGATTGAAGAATGCTCCTTATGTATTCCAAAGGGCTATCGACCAAATAATGGGAGATCTTCGTTACAAAAAAGTACTAGTGTACTTGGATGACATTTTGATTCCATCAAAGACCTTAGATGAAGGGTTAGAAACCTTAGATATTGTTTTACAACGATTACAACTACATGGCGTCAGTCTAAATATGGAGAAATGTTACTTTCTCCATGACAAGATCGAGTATTTGGGATATATTATTAAGGATGGACAAATTAGCCCAAACATTGAGAAAGTAACGGCCATTAAAGAGTTCCCAACTCCAAAAGATGTCCATCAAGTTCGACAATTCCTTGGTTTAGTGGGACATTTCAGAAAGTTTGTGCCCCAATTTGCACTGGTGAGCAAACCAATGACTGTATTGTTGAAAAAGAATACAAACTGGTCATGGTCTGCGTCTCAACAAAATGCGTTCGAAAAACTAAAAGAACTCATGGTTAAAGAACCTATCCTAATTCTTTATGACGCTAAGAGAGAGACCATCCTCTACACTGATGCATGCCGCATAGGAATTGCAGGAATGTTAATACAAGTTGAGGAAGGAAAAGAGAAGGTCGTCGGATATTATAGCAGAACTACCTCTCCAACAGAGCAAAGGTATCACTCATTCGAGCTGGAAACTCTTGCTATTGTTCAGTCGGTCAAGAGGTTCAGGCACTATTTAATTGGAGTCCAGTTCAAAATATACACCGATTGTGCAGCGGTCAAAAATGCGATATCAAAGAAAGATCTGAACAGGCGTATAGGAAGATGGATTCTTGATTTACAAGAATATGATTTCGAAATTCTGCATCGACCAGGGAATCGAATGGCGCATGTCGATGCCTTAAGCCGAAATCCCACTACCGATAGTAGTCTCGGAATTTATGCAACATTCTTAACAGAGGATGATTGGTTATTGGTTGCCCAAGAAGCGGATTCGAATGTTAGTAGTGTTAAAAGAATACTACAATCCGGCGAACGTGACGGTAACAAGAATATATTTAATGAATATGACTTACGGAAAGGTAGAGTATATCGCAGAACAGCACATGGCAACAGAGCGGTGCTGCCCAAGACTTGTAGGTGGCAAATCTTAAGATTTAATCACGATGATATAG